TCTACATTTCATTGTTATGACACTTCTTTCCTTGGCTTCTTCAGTTTGGATTAGTGCACATATCAACTGGAGATATCCTCCGAGCTGAAGTATCAGCCGGTACAGAAATTGGAAACAAAGCAAAGGAGTACATGAGTTCTGGTCGTTTAGTTCCAGATGAAATTGTGACAGCTGTATGGAAAATGATTCTACTAAAATTTTCATTTTTCACTTTTATGAATATGCTGCATTAACACTTCATTTTATAGATGGTGACAGCCCGTTTATCACTAAAAGATGTGAAGGACAGAGGGTGGCTTTTAGATGGATACCCGCGAAGTGCTGTCCAAGCAGAGAGTTTGGAGAAACTGAATATCAGGCCTGACATTTACATTTTGCTTGATGTATGTGTCATTATACCTTGGTGATGCTAAAATTTTATTTTTCTCAAATAATGTTTAACAATACTGGGGTCTGGGGCTGGCTGAATCTTTACTCCGCTTCAAATTGATTACAAACAAATCAATTTGTCACCAGGAAAAGAAAGAAAGTCGATTGAGATATAAATTTATCCACTCATTTCAGTATTCTTTTTTAGGTGTGTGGTTTTATTGGACAGTTAGATGTCTTCATATAAAATAGAGCTGATGTTTTACCTTAAAATCTTGACAAGAGATATTATCGTTTCTTCAGGTTCCCGATGACATTCTAATTGACCGATGTGTTGGGAGAAGGCTCGATCCTTTAACAGGAAAGATCTATCATGTAAAAAATTTCCCACCAGAAAATGAGGAAATTAAAGCAAGGCTTGTTACTCGATCCGACGACACTGAGGAAAAGGTATTCTACCAGACAGGTGTCAATTTTACATTTTATACATGCCAAACTGCATATTGCCAAAACATACATATTGCTAAATGTTTAATTATTTCTCAGGTAAAGGCACGCCTACAGATATATAAGCAAAATGTAGATTCACTAGTGTCGACATACTCGGATGCAATGAACAAGGTATTGTAAACCTTGATGATTGGTTTAGTTTTAATATGAACTCCAGAAAACAGATTCCTTACAGTGAACTTGGTATTGCTTGCTTACAGATTGATGGAAAGCGTCCAAAAGATGTTGTTTTTAAAGAGATAGATTCTCTGTTGTCAACATTGCAGAACGATAAAGAAGATGAATCAAAATCAGGTTCAGATTCTAATTTATTTCATATGGAGTTTTATTTTTATAAAAATTAAATTTTAAAAAACCCTTGGGAATATAACATTTTTTAGTAGGCGTTATTTTGAAGTACGTATCTCCATATTCTTGCAAAGCATAGGAACAAATTTTGAAGTTGTAGTCTCTGAGTGTTTTGAGAAGGCTCATTGACCGATGTTTCGAAAGAAGACTAGATCCTTTAATTAAACCTTTTTTTAAGAGAATTTTATTTGCTCGGATATTTTCCCCTTCCTCGCAGAAGATGTAGCAAGAAATTTTAATATTACCAGTTTAGTTTTCCTACCTTGTTTGCTAGTAAGTGGTTTTGATAGATTGTAACTTATTTTACTTTGTCCACAGGTAAATTGGCAAAAACTGAGAGCCAGTTTGACAAATCATCTCTAGAAAAGGTTATTTGAATGTAAACTGTTTACACAGTTTTACTCGTTTCCTAATCCAGTAGTTTGTGCCTCAAGAAAATGTAGTTTCATTTCTTGGCTGTTAACTTCTACAGAATAATTGGAGAGGGATACCGACGAGATTGAATAACATTCCTCATTCTAGAGAAATCAGGAAATATTTTTACGAGGATGTGTTGCTAGCAACCCAAAGAGCAGTGAGAGATGGGAAAACTCGATTGAAGGTGACATATCTTCTTCCACTAGATGCAGTCAGATAGATTTTCATGATTTATAATTAATTCTATGTTCACTGCATTAAATAACCAAAAAAATGTGTCACTTTCCTATGAATTGTTAGGGATAATTATGTGAAATGCATGTAAATTACATTCAAGCTCGCAATTCTAATACATTAAACCCCTATCCAACTAAGCAATATGATATGCGTCATAAATTTACTTTTTCATACACATGCATTTCTCGTTTACTGTTGCATAGATTAGCAATTCTGATTAAACAACTCATATTTTCAAGGCAATAGTGCAGCCCCTTCCAAATTTACTCTCTTGAAATTTTCAGCGTGAGGTTTATTTCATGATAGTGAATAACGACTTGACCATCTTGAACTGAAGGTGGAGATCAGTATTCCGGAGTTGAATCCAGAAATGGTGAGAAAATCCCTTTTCATTTTCTTTCATTTTATTTCATTTTTTTCACTATTCTCAAGATTTTTTAAGCCAATAATTTCTTGCTCAGGATGTTTATCGAATAGGTACCTTAATGGAACTTATTCGTATTCTTGCCCTTACCTTCGCCGACGATGGAAAACGCGTCAAGGTTCCCACAAAGCTCTCCACCGATGAATACATATTTTTCGGCAGTTGTTTTTTGTATTCGTAATCTTCCAGATTCTTCTAGGTTTGTGTTCAAGGATCTATGGGAGAAGGATCACTAGCTGGAATGCCACTTCAGCTTGCTGGAAGTCGAAAGATTTTGGAGTTCATGGATTGGGGTGATGATGGTGCCCTGGGTAATTTTATCAGCATTGGTTCTATAGGTAATCGATTTCATTAATTTATACTTACAATCTTGAGTAACAACACCTAGCTTACTTTTCCATGGTAATTGTATTTGATTGAAACATTGAATTTTTGTCTGCGTACTTATGCCCGCGTGAGTATGTTTACATGTTAGGTGGGAAAGAGGTTGAGGAGCAAGATGACATGTATATCTTAGTGGCTCCACAAAATGCAGTAGGAAACTGTATTATTGATGTAAGGAACTTAAGAATATTCGATTGCTTGCTTCTTTAAAGCCCATTATTTATCGTCGTTTCGTTCACAGTAGTTGTAGTCTAATAATGCAGGATCTAAGAGCTATGACTGATGCTGCTGGTCATCGTCCCGTCATTATTGTCAATCCTAGGCTGAAGGTTAGTTTTTTAAAGAAAAAAATAAAAAATAAATAAATCATAAGTAACACTGGTTGTTTCTAATAGAGGCCTTCTTCAGCATCCTATAGACATATTTCTGCTGATTTTCTAACACGAATGACGTAATTGCATTTCTGATTTTTTAGGATTTACCAGGCTCAAGTGGCATTATGCAAGTAAGTATCCGAAAATCAGTTACTGTTATCGCATAAATTTCCGAATTTTTTAATGAATTTCTTATTCTATATTTTACCCGCAAGACTATGGGTCGTGACAAAAGATTAGAATACGCTGCTTCGTTCGAGATATGCTACTCCTTCCGGTTACTCTACTATGCCGGTACCCAGTTTCCTATAATGGGTGCCCTCCGGTTAGTTCAATTCACTTCTAATCACTTGTTTTCCTAAATAATATTACGTCGATCGCCTATTTTTCGCCTCGAGCTTACAAAAGGGCATTTCTGTTATTAGGATGGCTTACCCATACGAATATGAGCTGTACAAGAGAGTGGATGACGAGTCTCCTAAGAAAGAGAAATACTTAATCTTGTCGAAATTTGCCGAAAGGCCCAGCGGAGAAGAAATCAACGATGCATTCGAAGGAAAAACGAGGTAACTAGGAAATAATTAGCATTTTTCCTTTTTTAATTTTACTTGGTGAAAATTAGCTTAGTTATATGAATTGTTATAAGCCTGTCATTAGTCATTACTGATCATACATATTGTTACTTGCAGAGATAGCAAAAGATCACCAGGAATATGGTAAGCTTATTTGATTAATCAACACACACACACACACACACACACACACACACACACACACACACACACACACACACACACACACACACACACACACACACACACACACACTCACATATATGTATATATAGCAATTTATTTTTAAGCTGATGAATACTAATGACTTTATTGTAGGGGACTATTGAGTAATTTATTTTGAGACGAAGGGTGGATATAAGCTACTGATGTACAGTATAAGCAATATATCGCCGTCTGTTAATTCTTATAGAATCGTCTCGTTTGGGGCGGAAGATGGACGTACTTTCTCTGTAAAATCTTTATGTAATGTGTGTTTTGGGTGCGTGTTAATACAAAACCTGGCAAAATCATAAGTATTTAACAGAGAATTAACGGCATAAACTGTACTTGTACAAAAAAAAGAAAAATTAGGGACAAAAAACGTTACCACGCCTTTTAAGCAATAGAAGCACCGGCAAAATAAATCATTTCTAAAATGAAATAAACAGTGGAAAATATATATAGCAACCCATAGGTGCAAACATAAATCAAGAAAACCAAAAGAGACCCTAGGAATTAACCTTGATTGAATGAAGGGCTAGTTACGGAAAAAAAAAAAGACCCGGAGGTAAAGCCTGATTACGAAAATCCACCTTATATTTGAGTAATTATGAAAATCCCGCTACTGGTCAACCGTTTAAGACGGCAACACAACTCATGGGGATTTTCGTAATTACGCAAACACGAGGGGCATTTTTGTGATTATACCTTACCTCGGGCAGTTCTCGTAATTATATTTTTTCCTGAAATGCTATTCATAGTGCGGTTTTTACCGGCTTGCAGTGCGATTTATTTCATTTGTAACTTTCCTAAAAAAAAACCAAATTCGCCCGCTATTTCGTGTATTATTACACGAAATCCACTCAATAATTTCGTGTCTTTTCACACGAAATAGCGGTGTTTATTGTTATAGAACACGAAGGACGAAACTGTTAGATTAAAAAAAATCGTGTATTTCGTGTAAACGTACACGAAATGGAAGACCATATTTCGTGGCGTTTTCTACGAAATGGAAGACCATATTTCGTGGAGTTTTCTACGAAATGGAAGACCATATTTCGTAGATTTTTCCACGAAATATGAAGTGACATTTCGGGAAATTCAGTACGAAATAACTAATTGATTTATTTTTTAACTAACCAATTTATTTCAGACACTCAAATTGACATAAAAATTCAAATACAAATACAAATTGAACTAGAATTCAAATACAACTACAAATTGATCTAAATTTCAAATACAAAATTGACACAAAAATTCAAATACAACTACAAATTGAACTAGAATTCAAATACAACTACAAATTGATCTAAATTTCAAATACAAAATTGACCTAAAAATTCAAATACAAATACAAATTGAACTAGAATTCAAATGCAACTACAAATTGAACTAGAATTCAAATACAAGTACAAATTGAACTAGAATTCAAATACAACTACAAATTGATCTAAATTTCAAATACGAATAAAATTGAACTAGATTTCAGATACAACTACAAATTGAACTACCGACCAGACTTTAATTGTTCGTACAAGAGTAGTCGGGGTTTGTACGTTTTGAGTAAGTGCCTCAAGTTTTTAGCTCTATGGTGTACCCATGCCGGATGGATTGGTGGTAGGGACTATTTGCGACCAAATTAACAAACATGAAATGATTGTTGTGCAATGTCACAACAATCATACATGATAAGTGACCACTGCCAAACATAGGAAGGTAAGTCATACTCCCTACTTGAGTCAAAAGTACCACTAATGCACTGTATCTGGTAGCAATGGCCAATCCCATTTCATTCATGTCCATCCAATAAGCTTGTGGACAAGGCCCTGAGGTCCAGTCACACTTGCGTATGACCTCAACGTATCCGGTACTGCCAAACATCGCCGTGTAGACACTAGCATGCTCGTATAACTCAATAAGCAACTCCCCTCTCACTTGCGGCCATCTTTCTTGATCCCCGTACACGGCTTGAGCAACGCACCGGTACCCACAGTTGCCATCCGCCATCACGTTAACATAATCTTGAATAAGACGGACCATAAATCTGGGCACGAAAGAATAAAAGTCGATTCCTTCATGTGCAGGTATTGTAGGGGCAGCAGATTCTTGTGTGGCAATACGAGAACCACGACCTTTCATCTTCGATTGAGGGGTTCCATCAGTGCTTCTCTCAACCTTTGTTTTAGGAATCTTTGCACCAGATGAGGTTTGGCGACCCTTGGAACCACAAGACGACTTAATTGTCTCCTCATCAATATGATACTGCCATCTAGAAGGGTCTCTCTTTGTCGAGTTATTCTTTGGTCGTCCTTTGGTCTTAACAAATGATGGCTCGGACAGATGCGACGTAGACGGATAAACGATGCCACGCAATGAGGCCACGGCATTTATCTTACTCGTGTAATTCATCTTCTTCAAATTGCAATTCAGGTCATCAATCTGTTTATCCACAATCTCCTCGCGGTTTACTTGATACTCAGGTAGCTCCGAAGGCTCAACTGCCATGGTACTCCAGAATGGATGCAAGTCTGAAATGACGAACGTGTCATTATCTTCCATTTTCTGCACAATTTTGCACGCGCATGGGAGCCCATGAGTATTCCAAAGATAGTGTGTGCAAATACTCGGATCTTGCATCGCCGGGGACTCCATCTCTTCATCCAATTTCTCTAATGCCAGATGCGTAACATAACAAATCAAACCCTGAAAACACGGCCATGCTGCAGTATGCTTCCTTATCTTGGATGATAATGAAAAATCGCACTTTAGCTCACTAATTTGGATATAAACTTGGTCCCGAAGTTTGCCTTGCACGTTATCCAGACCTCCGGTCGAAGCATTTAACCAACCCTTCGCTGAAGAATGAGCGCTCTCCACCCTATCCAATTACAACAACAATCAGAGCATACAACGACAATCAAATTACAAAATAAATATTATTTTTATATAATATCTTTTATCATTTAAATAACTAAAACATGTAATACCTGTTGGTGCTCGTGTTGCCAAAATGATACACATTGCGAGTATAGGCACGAACAAACTTCTCCTTGTATATCAACCACGTATCATTCAAATACTGTATCAGCCTAGGATACCCTGCATACCGTCCAACAATTTCATTGTAATTGTAATGATACTCTTATTCGGTTTCTGATTTCACCAGCTTAGCCCACAGCACACGTCGGAATATTAGACCTTGGTCCTTGTTGCCTCCCATAAATTTCGTCGCATTTGCCTCAAGATTTCTGTTTATATGGAATATACACAACATATGATACGAAAATGGGAAGACATTTGGCAGTGCTTTCAAAAGACCCAACTCTCTGTCTGTCAAGATCGCATCAGGTTCGACACCATCTAGCAACTCTTTCAAACAATTCAAAGTCCACTCGTAGGTGTCTGCATCTTCATGCGACATAAATGCAACAGCAATTGTATAATTCCTCCCAACTGGAGTTATCCCAATTATTTCCAAAAGAGGCATTCCATACCTACAACAATGTTGTTTTTACATATTTAAACAATACAAGACATTAAAACACAATAATCATAATTTGAACAATCGTAATTTTTACTTACTTATTGGTTTTGTATGTGCAGTCCATCAATATAACATACGGGAACAACCGTAATAACTTAATAGATTCGGGACATGCAAACATAATATCTGTAATCGTGTTGCTCGTTTCACTATCGACGCGATGTCAATATCGATACTCGACTTTTTGAAAGTTATGCATCATAAACTGAATAACAGTCATGCCCTCTGTTGGTCGAAAACCTACACGCAAGTGCACGTATCGTACAAGTAATATAGAGGTTTGTATCGTCGGATCATCTTTTCTCAGTCTATCCATGATCAGCATTGGCTTCACGTGAGAATTTCGCAATTCTTTAATTCTTGCTTTCTGTTGTGGAGTTATACGACTAGTCGTACCTTGTCCGTGAGGAAACAAAGTCGGACGATGACTATGCCTGCCATCGCTGACAGTCAACCGCCATAATTCATCAAACCTTGACCTTTTGCCAATCAATTTGAACGGACAACCACATTTTTTTGTTCCTGAGTTTCTAGGATCTTCCACATCGATATTCGTTTGTCGGCCATGTCCGTATTTGTCACACGTCATGTACTGTGCATTCTCCCTTCTAGACTGACAAATCAAACGGTGACAATGACTAACTGCAGTTTCTTTCGCCCAGTTGATTAATTCTTCCCTACTGCCGAACACAATATCAACTTGGAAGAAGTGAGAGAAATCTTCATATTCCTTTTTATCCAAAACCGAGGGATCAAAATACAAATTGTCGTCATATGGCTGCGTAAATACAAAAAAAAGGTTAGATACTTGCACAAAAAAAATTAATAACAATACTAGGTATTTCGTGTATAATTACACGAAGTATATGCATACATTTCGTGTAATTTTACACGAAATGTATGCATACATTTCGTATAGTACTGCACGAAATAAATAACAAAACAGTTTTACTGATATTTCGTGTGACTTTACACGAAATAATAGGTATCATTTCGTAGTATTGTACACGAAATGACTGGAAAACACGAGTAAAGTGTTCATTTCGTGCAAAACACCACGAAATGACTTGAATAATTTCGTGATATTCTACACGAAACGACTGAAAATCGAAAAAAATCACACTAAAACGTATTTTTTTACCTCATTTACGGGATCGATGTTGGCCATCTTGATAATCGTTGGGTTTTAACTCATTTCTACGAAAACAAATCACGATCTACGAAAGTCGAAATATTTGAAGGTTGAGAGGATTTTGTAAAAGGTTAAAGTGTTTTTTGACAAATGAATTATTTTGCACTGTAGCTGGAAAAAACCGCACTGATAATAGCAAGCCCCTATTTTTTCCTATAAAGAATCGGTAACTTAACCATAAAAGGGTGTCATAGCAATAAGAAGGCTGTAGTTACTCTCATGACTTTTGATTTCATTGGTCAAAACTTTGTATAATAAAAAATCAACCAATTATTAGATAACAAAGAATCATAGTTTTCTTTGATTGGCCATTCTATTTTGGTGTGTAAAAACTAAAAGCCAATAAATAAATAAAGATTAATAAACTCAATAAGCCTATGATGGATTTTAAGATCCGGTAAATCGGGCCCTGTACTAAAATTTCTGGTGGTATAAAGAATAGTGGTTGACATTTACTTACTTCATTTTTTTTTATTTTTTTTCTTTTTTTTTTCTTTTTATGTGTTAAGACATTGTAATTAGGCAACTCACACCTCTATCCCTCAACCATAATAAACATGTTTTACTAAAGTGTGACCTCTCTCTCTCTCTCTGTGTGTGTGTGTGTGTGTGTGTGTGTGTGTGTGTGTGTGTACGTGTGTTTGGTTGTGTGTATGTGTGTGTGTGTTAATGCGTGTGCTGTGTTTGTTTTTGTAATATCTCTCTCTCTCTCCCCCTCTCTCTTTCTCTGTGTGTGTGTGTTGTATTTGTTTTTGTAACTAGCAAGAGAGAGAGAGAGAGAGAGAGAGAGAGAGAGAGAGAGAGAGAGGTGAAGATGGAAGCTAGAGAAAGAACCGAGCTTTACCAAGGGAAGGTAACTCCTTACGTTGTAATAACATGCATAGTTGGTGCTATCGGAGGATCACTCTTCGGTTACGATGTCGGAATATCAGGTAATCGCCATCTACAAACATATAATCAATACAAGAAAACATATTTATTTTGAAAACAAAAAAAAACATTTATTTATTCTTCGCATTTTCATCAGGAGGAGTTACATCAATGGACGAATTCCTCCGAAAGTTCTTCGACACGGTGTACATAAACAAGAACCGAGCGGAAGAAAACAACTACTGCAAGTACAACAATCAAGGCCTATCTGCATTCACCTCATTGTTGTATCTATCCGGTTTAGCTTCTTCTCTTGTGGCGTCCACCATAACAAAGAATAGTGGCCGTCGAACGAGCATTATCTGTGGTGGGGTCAGCTTCTTGATCGGAGCAGCTCTCACCGCCTTATCTATCAACCTTACTATGCTTCTATTCGGCCGTATCATGCTTGGCGTCGGAATCGGCTTCGGAAATCAGGTGACATAGTAAATTATAAAGCATGTTGTATAAACGAGTGAAATTCGCGGAAAAAAAAACTCATATATAAATTCGATCTTTAAGCATATGTTTCTTAGAGAGCATGTTGTAAAATGAGTGAAGAAAAATAACTCGAGTAAAAATCGAATCTTTAGGCAAAATGTACTATCGATTTTTTCGTACGTGAAGGCAGTTCTGTTGTACAAAAAACTCACGTAAAAATTCGATCTTTAAGCATATGTTTCGTAGAGAGCATATGTAAAATGAGTGAAGAAAAGAACTCGAGTAAAAATCGAATCTTTAGGCAACATGTTGGACATATCTAACTATCGATTTTTTTCGTACGTGAAGGCAGTTCCGTTGTACCTTTCAGAAATGGCGCCAACACATATGAGAGGAGGACTCAACATGCTGTTTCAATTATTTACGACGACCGGAATCTTGACAGCGAATCTCGTCAACTTCGGAACTAATAAGATCCATCCATGGGGTTGGAGGCTCTCTCTTGGCCTAGCTGCAGTCCCGGCTTTCTTGATGACTATCGGAGGCATATTTCTTCCGGACACGCCGAACAGCTTAATCGAACGAGGGTTCGAAAGTAAAGGCCGAAAAGTGTTGGAGAAGATCAGAGGGACTCGGAATGTGGATGCAGAGTTTGAAGACATAGTCGAGGCGAGTAGCGCGGAAAATGCGAGCCATAGTCCTTTTCAAGAGATTCTTACGAGGAAGAGGAACCGGCCATTGTTGGTTATTGCGGTTTTGATGCCCCTTTTTCAGATTATGACGGGGATTAATTCGATACTTTTTTACGCTCCCGTGCTTTTCCAGAGTATGGGGTTCGGGGGGAATGCTTCGCTGTACTCGTCGGCTTTGACCGGAGCCGTGTTGGTTTTGTCCACGTTCTTTTCGATGGGTGCCGTTGATCGATTGGGACGAAGGGTTTTGCTTATTTCCGGAGGCGTCGTGATGATTGCATGCCAGGTGAAAATCTCTCTCTATCTAATCTCTCTCTCTCTCCCTCTCTCACACACACACACATACGTGATGCTTGTTTGTTAACGAAATAGGTAACCACCGCAATAATTTTGGGGCTGAAATTCGGAGACGACAAAGAGCTTTCAAAGGGCTACTCAATCATAGTAGTGGCAACAATCTGCTTATTCGTGGCGGCGTTCGGATGGTCGTGGGGCCCACTCGGATGGACGGTCCCGAGCGAGATCTTCCCGCTCAAATTCCGTTCGGCGGGGCAGAGCATAACGGTGGCCGTTAACCTGCTCTTCACATTCATCATTGCTCAGACCTTTCTGTCGATGCTATGCGCATTCAAGTTCGGAATATTTCTATTCTTCTCCGGCTGGATCGCGATCATGACGGCGTTCGTGTACTTCTTACTCCCCGAGACGAAGGGCGTCCATCTCGAGGAGATGGTGTTTCTGTGGCAGAGGCATTGGTTCTGGAAGAGGATGACTCTGCCTGAATTTCAAGAACCAGATGCAGAAAATGGAGCAAGGGAAATCATTTGATTTTTTTTTTTTTTGTTTACTTACCAAAACTTCTGTTTTGTGTAGATTTAGTTTAGTTTGTAGTAGAACTTTGATGCAGATTTGAAATTAGCAGTTATAGGAAAGGGCGGCAAATTACGGCCGCCCATGATGTAAGGTCAAATTACGAAAACACCCCTCTCGTTTGTATAATTACAGCCAAACCCTCAACTACGTATTGCCTTACTTGTCCACTCTTACAGAGTCAAATTCTGTTCACTCTGTTTATAAACCAACCGAATTGGACCGAACGAAAATTTTGTACATGCCGATCACCGAACCGGTAATTCGGTGCGATATTTCCGTTTTTTATTATTTTATATATGTAATATTAGTATTTAAACGAAAATAAATTAAAAAAAATCAAAATCAAAATTTTTAATATTTTTAATAAAAAAAATCGGTAATTCTGTTATTTACCGAAATGCTAGACGGTATGAAATTTTGGCGTACCAAAATTTCGATACAATTTTTACCGAATGAACGGTATATAATTATATATGTAATATTAGTATTTAAACGAAAATTAATTAAAAAAAATAAATAAATAAACACAATTTTAAATATTTTTAATAAAATTTCGGTTTTTTACCTAAACGCTAGACGGTATGAAATTTTGGCGTACCAAAATTTCGATACAATTTTACCGAATGAAGGATTAATATTGTAACCGCAAAATATTTAGGGATAATTTTGAAAAATTGATAAATTTTGAGGACGAAACTGTAATTTTCCACAAATTGCTCACTAGTGGATCAATTATTTGACTCAACTGGGCTACTGGCCCAGTACTACAAGATTAGGTAAGAATAATAAAAATAGATAGTGGACCAAAATTGCACCTGTCCAAATTACAGCATTCAAGAAGAATAAAATAGTAATTCAATTATATTAATTTAATATTTTTTTTGGTCGATTGTATATAAATTATTATTTTTATAATTTAAATTGTGAGAAAAGCTAATTAACTGCTCTAAAAATATAATAATTGTATGGGCCAAAATATTAAAATTCTGTAGCTAACTTTGGTTTCTTCGCTCGATGATAACGATACTTAGGTGGCCCGGCCCGTTTATGGTGGTTCACTAAATACAAAGACCCAAAAAAGCAAAAATATTATTTAATCAATTTCAGACCACGTGTCAGTTTTATTAGACCATTTCATAATAAAAAATAAAATTTAATTCGTGATATTTTATTAGTCGCTTAAGATAAATAATTTAATTTTGACTTTAGAACAATTCTTTATGGAGTTGTAATTACTTTATTGTTGAAAGATCCCTACAATGACCACAAGTCATCACTCACCACAACTAACAACTCACGAGTCAATTATTATATTATTAAAAATAAATTTAAATATAAATGACTGGGTTTAGCTGTTCATTTAGTGGGCACCACATTCTTACCGACATATATAACACCTTGTAAAATCATGTTAAAGAATAATTTATATTATAATGAATATTTAAATAAAAATATTTTTTTACACAAGTTTTTGTAATATTGTAATAGTTTTATCTTTAAAGTTATATGTGATAGTTGTCCGCGTTATAACTTATAACTATTATTATAAGGGTAAATTACAACTACACCCCCGAGATATGGTCAAATTACAAAAACTCCATTCTATTTGGATAATTCCAACCACCCCTCTCAACTATAAATCTTCTTAACGTTCACTCTTGCGGTTTCAAATTTAGTGGAATTTCCGAGATTATATGGAATATTATCACTTTTATACCCGTTTTACCCAAACTCTACATTTTGAATGTGTTTTTTGGCTTGTATATATCAGATTGTAGTGCATCAAAAACTATATTTTTACACAAAACGAGTATAAACTAGAGCACATTCCACGAAATCGAGATGATTATGTTGAATTTAACACTTTAAGGGTGGAAATGTAAGAAAAAAATCATAATTGAAGGGTAGATGTAATTATCCAAACAAGAGGTTTTTTCCGTAGATTGACCACACATCAGGGTGGTTGTAATTTACCCTTATTATAAATATAATACTCCATGGTTTCCACAATATTTGTTGCTTTAACGAATGTTTTTTTTATTTCATATTATCTGTCACTTTAGAATTCCAATACAACATTAATTACATATTTTTCAATTTGTCCGTATTATCTTTTTAACACTTACTCAACATTAATTGGTAAACACTGGTATCTTAGTCTAGAAGTATCTATTTTTCTAAAATCAAGACACATTTATCAAAATTCTTAAGACTCGTGCAAAGGTAAAAACACCATTTAGAAACGGAAGGAGTAGTAACTGACGTACTTCCTTATTACATTAATCTTTGAAACGTGATGGAAGATTTTCTTTAAAGTTCATAAAATAATTTTATATACAATAAACCCTCAATAAATTAATAACCTCAATTAAATAATAATTTATTTATGTCCTACTTAGTAAAAATGTACTTAAACTATTAGTTCGATAAATTAATATATTCCTAAATTAATAAATTTTTGTTAGTTGCAACTGTATTAATTTATAGAGATTATATATATATATATATATATATATATATATATATATATATATATATATATATATATATATATATATATATATATATATATATATATATGTGTGTGTGTGTAAAAAAAAAAAAAAACACATACTTACAATAATAAGAATTAATTAAGGGAGGAGGACAAGAAAGGGACTCATTGCCAAGTTGTTACATGCAAGAGAAAATTCCTTAATTAGTCATAATTTACCTTTTTGCCCTTTCCTTTCCCGTTTGACTATTCACACACATCACACACACATTACACACACAGACCACGTCGGCGTAAATTTCAATTTAATTCAATTCGCTCGTCCCTCTCAACCCACCACCATTATTCTCTCTCTCTCTCTACTTTCTCTCTCTACAGAGGCCCGAGGAGCCGGCAGATCTTGAGATTCTCGAGAATGGCTTCGGCTTCGATATTGAACAAGGTGGTGAGCGACGGAGCCTCGGTGGAGAGTGTTTCGTCGGAGACTGTCTCTGTAGAGAGATTGCCGCCGAGCGGTAATTCGACGATCAAGGAGAACGGCGGCGACACCAGCATCAGAAGCACCAGCAGCCACCGCGAGAGGCTGGAGTTTTCCGGCTGGGTCTACCATCTTGGTGTCAATTCGATTGGCCATGATTATTGCCACTTCCGATTCCTATGCATCCGCGGCAAGCATGTGGAGATGTATAAACGCGACCCGCACGAGAACCCCGGCATTGTACGTAACTGTGTTTTTCTCCTTTGTTTTGGTTCTTCATTCGGAAGAATTTTATTTGTGCCTGAACTTTGAAGGTTTTGAATTTGGTACCGATGCCTGATGATTTTTATAAATTGATACCTTATTACCCCGAAATTATTGTTTATATATTTCATTGAAAAACCTGGCCGATGGAAGCAGAGATTTATTTGGCTTGGGCCAGATTTTCTGATGCTATGCATCGTCGTATGGGGGTGTTGTGAGGAACTTATAAACAAAGATTATCTTCATTAATCAGGGTAATGGAGCTGGACTTGTGATTTGTGGAAATATTAGAGTTAAACGAAAGAAACGAAGAGGGAAAGAACATCAGGGATGGACTTTGTCGTTCTGATATGATTATTTTCTTGAGACATGCATTCAATAGTTACAAGTTTTCAAACATTTTGAACAGCATGTGGTATTTAGCATCGATTTGCTGTCTAATTACTTGGAGGGTTTGATTTTAAGTCATGGCACGGAATAATTGGAAACAACTTGAGCTAGGAAACTTTATTGCTGTAAATGTATGCTCCCACCATCTTTGAATTTCGGCTCATATGCAGTTTATGTGCTGCATGTAGTTCTTCATGATTGATTAACTTGACGAGAATAGAGTTTTTGGAAGGCACAAAGTTGTCAATATAGTATTGACATTCACTCATTAGCAGCTATCTCATTTAATGACTAGACCATCTGTCGTTTACCTGCAATCCATCTTGAATTCATAATTTTGATCTCTTAATGCAACATCGATCACATTAAATGACTCTGGATATATTTTAATTGCAGAAACCAATTCGAAGGGGTGCCATAGGGCATACACTTATGGTGGAGGAATTGGGTCGCCGGAAAGTGAACCACGGAGTAAGGCATCTGCAATTACTCTTTAAATATCTTGAAGCTTTTCCAACTCTATTTATCAAATTTTGTATTTGGACCGCTTCAATTCATTTTGTGCTTTCCGTCGTATATTTTCGCTCTTGTATTTAATTTGTTATTTCAAGTACTTGGAAGGCATAAGATGTTTCAGAGATAAAATTTTTGGTTTCTTTCTGAATATTGGGTGGTCATTTTGTAGGATCTTTATGTGCTAAGGTTCTACAATCGTTTGGATGAAACAAAGAAGGGAGAAGTAAGTGATTATCTTTTTTTCGTATTTGATCTTTCAATGAAATTGAAACTTTATTTGAATGAGATGGTGAAGTACTTCGATAGTCTGCCAATGTTTTTGCTACTAGTTTGATTTTTAATTTGTTCAGATTAATGAAAAATGCACATGTCTATTGAGTATGTGGAACATTTATTTTTCTGCCCCATTTTTTTTTCTTTTTCCTTATTGGACAATGTACAGAGTTTACGGACTAAGTTTTGGTTGGGGGCTGATGGTGTTTCTTACTAGAAATTGTGAGAAATAACAAACATTGGAACGATCCTTATTTTTCTTTAATGTTCCAAACTTAAATCTGTTTTCTGGTTGTGTATAGTTTCTAACTCCTGCTGAAAGAACTTGTTGCTTCTTGAAGATATAGCAAATGACTCATAAATTGCAAAACTATGTTCAGAAAAAAATTAAGATCAAGAAGTTTCATTAAATTTCCTATATTAAGTAGCATTATTGGCTGAAGTGCAAAGACCTTTAACTAAGTATTTGGTAATTTTGCTCGATATGCTGTCGGAACTTTTTATGCTTTTACGTTGATAGACACGAAGTAGTCACATGCTTTAGGTTTCTCATATTGAACAACTATCTTAATTGCTGCAAGATTGCTTGTGCTACTGCTGGTGATGCGCGGAAATGGATGGAAGCATTTGATCACGCTCGACAACAGGTACAAGAGAAAATGACAAAAGATGAAAAACCATTTTATGCAGTATTCATTTTTCTTCCTTTGATGTAAAAAACCATCTTATATTCAGTGCTTTAATGTTATACTGGGCACCATCACTTGCATATTGTCTTAATTTACTAGTATTTGACTTGCAAATAATGAGTCGTTCAACAACATTGATTAAATGGTTTTATGATCTATGCACTTTTTTTAGAATTTTTTTTATATTAAGCTCTATTCATGGTCGGCGGTGGTGGCAATGGTTTTTAACCATGTAATTTGTCTGAGCAGTCCATTATTATTTTTGAAGCAGTAATTACTTACCAAGTTAACATGTCCGAAGGAATTGATCCATTCATTTGACTATTTTTTATTGCTTTAATATCTTCATGTTTATCATGCAATTGTAGGTAGAGTACGAGCTTTCAAGAGGTGCTAGTGTGAGAAACAAGCTAAGCATGGAGGATGAGTATGTTCTAATTCTCAATTAGTTATTTTTTGTATATAACAAATAAAAGAAGCTAAGTTTAATTTTATTCATTGAGAAGTTTGTTCAACAGACAAATTTCTTTTAAATAATGAACTTCATATTGCATAATATGAAGAGTCTGAGATTAGTATTGCTATATCTTTTTGTTGAAGGATTGACCTGGAGGGACATCGGCCGAGAGTACGGCGTTACGCACATGGTTTGAAAAAGCTAATAAAGATAGGACAAGGTGAGTTAGCTTTTTGTGATTGACAATCTAACAAGTGTCTTATAGGTAAAATATAATGTTATTTGTGATTCTTGACCCTTTACTGCTAGTCTGCTAATGACTCTACAACTGAAGGAATACTGGTTTATAATTACGTATGGGTAGATAAACGTGTAACATATTTGTTTTTGTGTTTTTTTGCTTATTCTCTTAAGTTTCCTTTGCTGTTATTATGCGCGGGAGTAATATGTGGTCTAGTTACAAAGCATTTCACGAGGGTGGTGGTAATTGTTTATCATTATCTGTTGAAAGAATTAAGTTTTCTGGCCGAAAGTTTGGTTGCTTTTAACTTTTTTTTTATGTAGTTCGTAGTCCAGCAAACTCTCTTTTTTGGGACCCTGAGATTTTTTGTTGTAAATTTGTCAAAACTTTGTGATCAAAACTGTTTTCAGAGATTATAATTCTTTTACCTTGATGTTTTATGCTCTAAAAATGAAATTATGTTAAGTATGTAAAGTGTTGCGCGTTCTGTATGCTAATATTTGTTTTTTCCATTTCACCTCAACTTCTTATGGTTTTTAGTTCTCCCTGAGCTCCGTGTTTCGTTGTTTACATATTCCAGGGAGAAATTCTCAAATTCTTGCTTTCTGATATGTTGTATGGTCTTGTTTATAGGGCCGGAAACGCTTTTGCGCAAAGCCTCAGGCATAGGTGCAAATAGTAGATTGAACGAATATCTTGATGCGGATAGTGGTGATGTTGTTGAAGCACATGAATGGAGATGTGTGCGCACAGTCAACGGTGAATTTTTTTCTTCTGCTTTTTTCCTTTTGTAAATCATAGTCATCTGAAAATTTAATGAAAAGGGAGGCATGCCTCAGTTGATAACAGCATGTCAAAAGGATATCATATAATCATTGGCTTACGGACGAGATTTTTGCTTTGTGATACCGCGCTTTTTGTTTCCAAAAGTTTTTGTTTAGTTGGAGTAAGATGAGTAATAATATATTTTTGTTTTGACATCCTTCTGGGTTTCAGGTGTGAGAATATTCGAAGATGTGGCTAGCTCAAAGGTAGTTCATTGATCAAAATTACAATTCTGGTTTTTTCATTTTTTTTTACTATTATGATGTATTTTGACAAAATCAAGAATTTTCGTTTTCTTTGTGGTGATTCTTGTGATTTCCCATAAACATTGTCTGAAAGCCTCATGAAAGAAATATGACATTTTATTTTACCAATTGGAAGTTATTTGATGAACTTTCCTTGTTCTGTAGAATGGTAAAGGCATACTGGTCAAAGCTGTTGGTGTTGTTGAAGCGAGTGCAGATACTGTATTTGAAGTTGTGCTGAATCCTGAGAGACACAGCCGATATGAGTGAGTTGGTCGGTCAGCCATTTATTCTTGGGACACGCTCTTACAACTGAAACATCTAACGGCTCTTTTACAGGTGGGATACTTTGACAAGTAACTTGGAGTTGATTGATTCTATAAATGGACACTATGATGTTGTGTATGGGACATTTGATCCACGTTACCTAACTTGGTAAGTTGTTGTTTCAATAACTTTCATGGTATATTATCTTTTGGTGCTAAAAGGTAGATAGTGAATTATGGTGCAAGTACAGGCTCTCCTTGTAAGGCTGAAACTGCGTTGATATAAACCTTCACAGACCGTGCAATAGTGGGAGCCTTGTGGACCAAGCACGCTCTGAATATGCATTATTTTTTATTATTAATTTTGTTTTTGTGACTGCTTGTAAAAAGAAAAGGAGGATATGTTTATTCTATATTTTTTACCATCACTGGCATGATTTTCTTTTATGCAGGTGGCATTCGAAAAGGGACTTCGTCTTTTCAAGACAATGGTTTCGCGGACAAGATGGAACCTACAGTAAGAATCCACATTTATTTTAACTTCTCTGTGCCTACATTTAGTAGTTAATGAATGTATTCCTCAATGCAAATATTAAGGTGGATAAGTTTATTCACTCTTATGATTGAAACTGGCAGTTCTTTGTGATTGACTGTTTGATATACTCTTACCAATGCAGCAATTCTGCAGTTTCCTTGTGTACACAAGACGCGGCTTCCAAAATCTGGCTATAAGCGTACAAAAATTAACCGTAAGATTTACTGCTGAATAAGAGCTTCAATTTCAAATTAGCATTTCTTTATGTTAAATTGAAGAAGAAACAACTGATAGGAGACCAGTCCATAATATCGTAGTATATTTAGTGATGGTTTGGGCAACAAGTCAAAATTCTCCTTCTAAATTTTATCCAGTCTCCACCACAAATTTTACATGTTTCAGTTTTAGGTGGAGAAGGTTTGCTTTATTTCAGTGATTAAATCTAAGAAGTATACACTTATAATTTCTCGGGCATTAAGATTTCTGAAGGTGGGAATGATATGGCTTCCTATTAAATACTAAATTTACTCCCACCACAATATCCTGCGTTTAATAATTAATCTCTTACTAAGTTTTTCATGCCTTTTCATTTTGAGTTAATGTTTGTCAACGACTGCCTTTCTAACCAGAATCCGTATTTGGGAGTTATGAACCCTGTAGACTGTTGTAACTTTTTTCTTTCTTTCTTTTGGTCTGTAGCTTCAACGTGGGAGATTAGTAATTTAAGCAAACCTTTCTCGTTAAGTAGTCCCAAATGTCTAGTCACGCAAACTCTAGAGATAAACCTCAAAGGATGGTTTAATTGGAGGAACAAGCACTGCCAGAAGTTCGAAAATACTGTTCCATATGCATTGCTCAGTCAAGTATCAGGTTTGTTAAAAAATTAGACCTATTTTACACAATTAGAAAGTAATGATGTATAGTAATGATGTTCACATGCTACATGATTTGTCCAGGGCTGAAGGAATACGTTGCAGCAAATCCTGCAATTACGTCCGAGTCTTCAACCACAATTGTCCAATCAAATGTATCGGATCATTCTGGACCAATCAGTGAATTTGAGGATGCAGAACCAGCAGAAGAGTTCTACGATGCAATTGCTGATGATTCATCCTCATCTTCAGAAGATGAAGATAGTGATAATGGAAAAGAAGTTCCTAAGGTTTACGCTCATTGTCCGAGTTATTTACTTCTAGAATTATGCACAACTTTTGTTAACTTTTGTTTTATCCGTTAGGAAAAGAAGATGAAGCTGAAAAATATATCATGGGCCATAGCAAGTTTAACTCTAAAACGCACTTCAGGTACTTTTCTCTCCAGTTCTCTCATTTTGAAGGCAGCTATATTTATCTCTGTTAGTTAAGAATCCTTTAGATTATTCTAAAAAGATTCTTTTTATTCATCTGATACAGCACCAGACTCGGATGAGCTAGATACAAACATACCTCCTATAAATCTCGATTTGAGTCAGTTTAATGGGTCCATGAGGAGAGCAAAGGATGAAGCTGATAAGAATTGCTGGTCGTCTCCGGATGGTTCTGGATTCATGATTAGAGGGAAGACATACTTGAAAGATAGCATGAAGGTACGTTTATTAGAGGCAATTTTATTTATTTTTTAATTTTTTAAACGCAGTAGTTCTGTTATCCTGCATCAAATTTTAGAAATAAGTGATTCTTGTTTTTCAATCCACTTTCTGAATAAATTTCAATAATTCTGGGTTTCCACTCTAGTCGAGAGTTCCATTTTACTTGAGTTCCAAACTCTAAGTAAGCAATCTAATTTGATCAAAATATTGTATTACTCGATCTCTTTTCAGGTCAAAGGTGGAGAACCTCTTCTCAAACTCATAGCAGTTGACTGGTTCAAGGTGGAAGAATGTGTCTCAAAGGTTGCATTGCATCCTAAAAACCTTGTTCAGGTAATGCTAATACGACTTTGCAACGTTTGATGCGACCACAAAATCCTATCATTATCCAATATTCCTCTACAATATGTTCTTTGCTACAAACAATTCGTAATCTTTGGTTGAACGACGGATGGGTTTCGTGAACACTATCACGTAGCCATAGATGATATTTTCTGATTGGTTTGACTGCGTCTATATACTATATCGTTTTCTCTCTAATGTCATTTCTAATTGCAGAGTGCCGCGGGAAAAAAGCTTCCGTTCATCCTTGTCATCAATCTTGAGGTTTGCATGTGACTATTATAGCTCCTCGTTTTGAGTATCATGAGGAATTTTACATAATTATGCTTAGTATTCTGAGTGTGTACGTGTAATTTTTTATGCCATCTATTATCATGGCAACCATTTATTTAGTTTTTGTGGTTTACTTCAGCAAACTTATCATCTAGAAACCACAAAAGAAATTCTTGAATACAGTAGTAATTGACTAAGCCACTATGTTTCACATTACTAGTCTTGTTCAGGACCATAAAATAAGTTATGAAAAAATTGAAATGTGGCAAAACTTAGCTACTGGGCTTTGCGACTAGACCCGTTTGTTGCTACTTCGTTATGAAACCTTCTAGTAAAACAAGCAGGGTGTATTTTATTTGCAGAGTACTGAAATATTCTTGATTCTTAGGGAACTTTTTAGTTTTGCGTTTGTGTTTCGTTCATAGATGTTCGAAAGAGAAAATTTTATGCTGGTGTAATTTGTATCAGGTACCAGCAAGACCAAACTACAGTCTAGTTCTGTATTATGCTTCAGACAGACCGGTAAACAAGAACTCGTTATTGGGTAAATTCATTGATGGCACCGACATGTTTCGTGATTCAAGATTTAAACTCATTCCAAGCATTGTTGAGGTAGCACTATTTTCTGATCTCGTAAATAGTTGACTTTTAGGTGCTAATTTTTTATTCTCTTATTATCGTTCAAAATCGTTTTTTTTTTCTTAAACAGGGGTACTGGATGGTAAAACGTGCAGTTGGAACAAAAGCTTGCCTGCTCGGAAAAGCAGTAACTTGCAAGTACCTCAGACAAGATAACTTTCTGGAGGTCAGATCCTAACTTAGTTCGTGCTGCCGTTTTTTTGTATATTGGTGCCTTTTATATGGAATTATATGTTTCCAACTGTTACTTTAATTTGATTGAATTATTCGGATTTCATCAACTAATAATTATTAATAATTGTTCGTGCAGATTGATGTAGATATCGGTTCATCATCTGTAGCAAGGGGTGTCATCGGTCTTGTCCTTGGATATGTTACAAGTCTTGTTGTTGATCTTTCCATTGTTATAGAGGTTCGTATATAATTCTTTTATCCCCTTATTTATTTATTTTTTACCGTAACAATCAATTAACTGATATCAAATATTAGAAACGAGGAATAAATTGACCGTTCCTTATGTTACAGGGAAGAGAAGAGGCAGAGCTCCCAGAATACATTCTTGGAACCGTTAGACTAAGTCGAGTACAGCTTGATTCTGCTGTAGCCTTGGAAGTATGAGGTTCGATTTAGTCTGAAACATTTTACTTTGTTTTGATCAATGTAAACTGAATCAGTTTTCATTGTTCAACTTGGATTGTCCATCACATGTGAAAGAGAGAATGCATAGATGTAGAAAGAGAGAGAGATAGACAAACGGGATATATCCGCTCGGAAGTTATGTATAGCTATTCGGTGAGAAAGCATTCTTTGTTAGGTGCTTGCATTATTATGTCATGAAACTCGTGACATATTTTTTTGTATATATGCAAATATTCGGGTTTTTTGTGTGTACAGCTCTAAGACGGAGGATTCGATGACGGCTCTCGATAAATTCTGTAAGATATTAGAATTTTTTTGCCTCAGTCGAATATGGAAATATTTTGTTTTCCAGCTTTACTCATTTTCAACATGTTTAGGGGAAAAACTGTAGATACCAGATAGTGCGAATTAGGGGTGAAAATTGGTTCAAAAATTTTGTATTCCGTCGATTTTGATTCGAAAATTTTCAATTTTTGCTAGTTTTTTATATCCAATTTTCGAAAAATTAGAATACATATTAGATTCCTATCCGATTTTTGGCTGAATTCTGCCGATTTTAATTCGAAATTTTATGATTTTGTATTATAGGTGACCAAAAGTTCTCGTTCAAATTTTGATCTGATTTGTCCATTTTCCACTTTTGAATTCAACTTTTAATCATCCAAATAGTTTACAAGGCCTTGTTTGCTTGCTACTGTTAGGTTAGATTGACTAAACAGTAGGAGTTAATAAAGTGTTTCGCTGGTAAAATTCAACATTGTTTAAACCCGCTACTATCAGTAGAAGTCTGCGATTAATTTTGTAGAAGGTAATTTAAAAGAAAAACTGCAATTTTATTCTTAAGACAGTAACTTAATTATGTTTAATAGCTTTATAGACGACTCACTTAATCCAATATAGGTAAGCAAACGATGTCTAAATAGCTTCGTTTTTCAAATAATTTAACCAATAAAAATCAGCACAATCCTTGAAATCATGCATGATTTTAGTGATAATAGCTACTGGGATTAGTGCTAATCAGTCAGTCTTTTTTTTAATCAAAGAATCCAAACTGGGTTCTGTTTGTCAGTTTGTGTGTTGGTATTTTCCATTCCTTCCTTTTTTGTCAATTGGGGCAAGTAAAAAGTGAGTCATAAATAGTATTTTAAAGATTAATTAATTAATTAATTAATTAATTAATTACTTATTCCCCACTTGCAAAGTCTTGGTATTTATTTTTATTTTTTATTTATTGCTTTTACTTATGATTGACTGTTGATTATCGTTTTGCTTGTTGATTGTCTCATTGATTGCTGTGCCACTAATATAATCACCCCATATTTCCGGCACTATAAAAGACTAATTTGCCCCCAATTTTGTTAAACAATTAAAGGATTTGATTGAAATTGTAGATATCTTAACTTCAACGGCACTCAAGGACAGAAGATGACACCTTTTATTGGCAATTTTTCAAGTCTTTAAATTTAAATTAGCAAAAAAATTAAAAATAAAATCTTTAAAAGATTAATTTTGAAGGAGTAACATTAGGGGTGTAAATGAGACGAGCCGGCTCGCGAGCTTCCCAAGCTTGCTCGAAAAAAGCTCGTACTCGAGCTCGAAAAATCGAGCTCGAGCTCACGAGCCCGAGCTTTTCGACGAGTCGAGCTCGAGCTTCATTTCAGTTAGCTCGCGAGCTTTACCTTTTCTCTATATTTTTCAATACATATTAATAATATATAATAATGGATATTATTAATAATAAATAAAAAAAGAATAATATTACTTTTTAATTGAAAAAATAAATTTAATGGATGGATTTTTGGTTGTGCCGAGCTCGAGCTCGGACTCGTTTCGTATACGAGCTCGAGCGCGAGCTCGAGCTCCTTAGAAACACAAAGAGCTCGAGCTCGAGCTCGAGCTCACGAAATAAGGCGAGCTCGGCTCGAGCTCGGCTCGTTTACACCCCTAAGTAACATTTCCCAAAACCACTATTTTAATGTTCCTAACATTAAGAATATGGCCACTTAAATTTGAAATTACTAATCTTATATAATTAGTGTTATTAAACATCTTTTTGACCGTCAACATAAAACAGGTAAATTACAACCACCGACGAAAAGTATGATTAAAAAAAAAAAAAAAAAAAACCCTTACTTTTGAGAAATTACCTTCAACTCTATATGAAATTTGTAGATTTCTTACATTAGTCCACTATAAATGGTGTTAATGTAAAGAATCTACAAAATACAAGGGTGTGGATGTAATTATAAAAAATGAGTAGTTTTTTCATATAGACCTTTAACTCTTTATAATTACCCAAAAAAGTTTTTCCAGTCCAAGATCAATTCCACTTTTGCCCCTAAAAAGTGTCCTCTTCAAAGTGTATTTAGTTATCAATTTCACAAATCCCTATGCATGCACGTACTTTATTTATTTCCAGTCGTGAAGAGATTAGTGAATTTACTTTAAAGATTGATAATTTTTAAATTAAATATTAGAGATGGTGTCATGTCAATAATGTGTATATATAATAACTAAATGCTAGTAATCAATAAGGAATAAAGGACCGTTAATCAATCAATTCTTTGATTAATCAAATTCAAATTACTATTAGTAATTACCATTAAAAAAAGTTAAATTAACCCTTGTTTGGTTACAAGTTTGCACCGAGATTAGCAATTTAATTTTGGTCTAATCTTAGCACTACATTACTAAATTGGAATAGTGTGATGATTTTCAAAAGATGCATTTTTTTGCATGAATTCTTATTTAAAAAAAAATTGTGCAGAAAAATAAATTTTGGAGTCCACGTAGGCTGTGTAATTTCAAAAATCTGACAGCCTTAGAAAGAAAACTTTGTCATTTACTACCAAATTAAATAAATCAATTTTCTACTACTATTAAAACTTTAATTCAAGCAAAAAATACTATACATGTGGTCTCGTCACAAAATAAAAAATTAAATTAAAGTATTTCATTTATTATAAAATAAATTATCAGAGAAAGAATATCATGTCATTAATTTTTTTTTCTGAACATTCATGCAATTTATTAATGACAATACTTTAATTTGAAAATAAATTGAAGGAAATGGTAAAAGGGTAAAATGGTAAAATTAGAAGCACCAATAAGAGTGGTGTAGTGCTGTCACGGGTACAGCAGTAAAACCCTGTGACAGTATTTAATGCCACAAATACAATAAATATAATTGCAGATGAAAGGACTTCATAAATACTCACTTCTGAACATAACTTGTTTTTTTAGTAATTATACAAGGACAAAAATAAATGCCTCTTCTATGTTATCCACAAATCGGAATAAATATTATTTATATTTAAATTATCAGTTATTAATTAAAAAAATATGATAGAATTTTTTTATCTTTTTTGAGATAAAATTTATATTATATATACAGTGCTTAGTAATTTTTTTATTGAATAATTTACAGTAACTATTAACAATTATATATTTATAGCGTGTTGGGCCGTGTAAGTTGAGTTTGGGTTGATTCGATCTCATATACTATAAGCTTAAGTTCGGTTTGTATAAAATTTTCGGCCTTTGAGTTTATATCGAGCTTATATGGAACAATTACATCATTTCCAAATAAAGTGAAAACTATAGTTTGTTCGTTAAAACAAACGAAGTTTAACGTTGCAAATGTTTAATTCTTATGTAATCTTATATATAAAAGAAAGAAACGCTGGGCAACCCTAATGGTATTTCTGTAATTATTTATTTTAAATAGTTTTTCTACACTAATTTCTAACTTTAATTTTTAACAATTATCAAAATTAAAACTAACATGTGAAGAATCCTACCTTATTGGTACTTATGTAATTATTTATTTTTAATATTTTTTCTCTACTAATTTTTTAACTATAATTTTCAACAATTATTAATCTCCTATTTTTCATCAATATATCTCAAATCTTAAGAGATAAAACTAGAAATTCGATTTATTAAATCTAAGTCTATTTATTTGGATTATAAATCTTAATACGTAAGATTTAAAAAAAAAATGTTATTTAAAATATGAATAATACTATATTATTAAATTTTACTATATTAGTATACTATATTTTCTTAATATGTATTAAATTGATTTTTTTTTTCACTATTTAAATAATATCCTGTGCATCGCACGGGGAAAAATGCTAGTTAATATAAATAAAAAAAATACATCAGACTCTTTAGTTGGGCCTTATTCGGATTGATCTATAGTAGACTCAAACTTAGCTCATAAATGAATCTGGTTTAATAAAATAACTCAAATATAATTGGGTCGAGCTATCGGGCTTCGAGTAGGCCCGACTCAATGGCGAGTTTTATATATTTACCAACAATACATTGTTGAATTTATAATTGGGCGTTAATATATTTAAATTGGTGAGGCAATATAATGGTTCCAAGAATTGATTTCAAAGTTATTGGTGATTGTGATGGTGCACTTGAATAAAAAAAAATGAAATGTCAACATCTTGTAAAATTAAACAATCTTATCTCACATGGCCCAATTCACAATACTTTAACGTTTTATGTACCAAATTCTAGATTCGAAATTAATTATTAATTCTTTAGCTTTTAAGCTTTAAACATGTGTATATACTATATATATCTAATTTTTCATTATTTTTTTTTCATCTTTTCTTGGTGGGGGCTTAAATTGGATTTTGATGTGATTTGGTATCTCGATGCCACAATGTAATTGCCTAGTTCACTAAAATCGTCGCTGTTCGAAATCTCAAAATTTATAAGGGAAAGGCCGTATCTGGTATTAGGTGAAAGATAAAATGACATATAACTATAAAAATACAATAATATATATATATATATTTTCTTTTCTATACATTAATTATATCTTGATACAAGAATAACACACTTAATTAAGTAAAACACACATAAACAAAATAGTAGTACATAAATAAACCAAGAAAATAGGTTGAAGACTGGTCAACATCAGTGTATGAATAGTAGCCATTATGGAAGACTGAAAACTTTTGTATTTTTTCAAGGCTTCATTTACACAAAAGGCATATCTCATTATAAAGCAATTTACAAATCTTACCCCTTTTTGTAATTAATTAATTAATAATGGCAAACATTTCATTGCTGGTTAGTTAAATCAACAGGGCTCTCTCTCTCCTCTCCTCTCTCTCTCTCTCTCTCTCTCTCCTCTTTTCTCTCTCTACCAAAAAGCAAATCCAATTATTTTCTCGATTCCATCTTTCTTTTACAGTCCCCATGCATCAATAAGGTGATACACACACACACACACAGTTTCAATGGAGAAGATTCTCCTTCGCCCCTTTTACTTCTTTCTACTCATGGCCGCCTCCGCCGCCGCCGCCGCCGGCGGCGGCGGCGGGGGCACGGATCCTATATCCTATGCACTCTTGAGCTTAAAATTCGAATTTGTAGACGGTTCCAATAGTTTAAATGACTGGGTAATTTCTTCGGCTTCTGGAGCTGATCGGCCGGCTGGCGAAATCCGCGCGTGTTCTTGGACCGGGATTCGGTGCGGTGACAATTCCTCCAAATTCGTCGGTTTAGACCTGTCGATGAAGAATCTCGGCGGCTCGTTATCTGGGAAGCAGTTCGGTTTGTTTTCCGATCTCGTCGATCTTAATCTGAGTCATAACTCGTTTTCCGGCCAACTTCCCGCCGGTGTTTTCAACCTCACTAACCTGGAATCGTTGGACATCAGTAGGAACAATTTCTCCGGGGGTTTTCCGAGTGGGATTCCACGGCTCCGGAGTTTGGTCGTTCTCGACGCGTTCAGCAACAGCTTCGCCGGCAACCTACCGGCCGACGTCTCTCGGGTGGATTCTCTCAAAGTGCTGAATTTCGCCGGAAGCTACTTCAGCGGTCCAATCCCGCCGGAGTACGGCTCGTTCAAATCGCTCGAGTTCATCCACCTCGCCGGGAATTTTCTCGGCGGCGCAATACCGCCGGAGCTGGGGAATCTGAGATTTCTCTCCCACATGGAGATCGGCTACAACTCCTACCAGGGCGATATCCCGTGGCAATTTGGTAATATGAGCAATCTCCAGTACCTCGATATCGCCGACGCAAATATCTCCGGCCAAATCCCTAAACAGCTCAGCAACCTGACGAAACTCGAATCGCTCTTCCTCTTCAAGAACCAACTCACCGGAAAACTCCCGCCGGAGCTCAGCAAAATCTCCACCCTCAAAAGCTTAGATCTCTCCGACAACCTCATCTCCGGCGAAATCCCGGAAAGTTTCTCGGAGCTAACAAATTTAACACTACTGAGTTTGATGTACAATGAATTATCCGGCCCCGTTCCTCAAGCCATAGCCAACCTCCCAAATCTCGATACTCTCCTTATATGGAACAATTACTTCACCGGTTCACTCCCACAGAATTTAGGCAGAAACTCTAAACTCCAACACGTCGACGTTTCGACAAATTTTTTCTCCGGTAATATCCCACCGGAGATATGCTCCGGTGGGGGCTTACTCAAATTAATCCTGTTCTCGAACAATTTCACCGGTGGGCTTTCTCCCTCCCTCTCCAATTGTTCGTCGCTCATTCGCCTCCGCATCGAGGATAATTCATTTTCCGGCGAGATTTCTATGCGATTTTCGAATCTCCCATTTATTTCGTATGTGGATCTTTCGAGAAATAAGTTCACCGGAGGAATCCCCTCCGATATTGCTCAAGCCTCGTTTCTAGAGTACTTCAACGTGTCCGATAATCAAGAACTCGGAGGTGAAATACCGTTGAAGACATGGTCTCTGCCTAATCTTCGCAACTTTTCGATGGAATCTTGCGGCATATCGGGGAATATTCCTCCTTTTGAGCCCTGCCAATCGGTTTTGGTTCTTGAATTGAGAACCAATAACTTAACCGGAGGAATCCCGTTAACCGTGTCTAATTGTAAGCAGCTCTTGAAAATGGACTTGGCTGAAAACAACTTGAATGGCTCGATACCCGTGGAGCTGGCTACCCTGCCCGTACTTACCGAATTAGACATTTCACACAATGGCTTCTTCGGTCCGATTGAGGGCGTTTTTGGAAATTCACCGAGCTTGAAACTCCTCAATGTGTCATACAACGATATCTCAGGCTCGATTCCTTCGAGCAAGACTTTCGAAAAAATGGATATAACCGCGTTTTTAGGTAACCCGATGCTGTGTGGGCCCCCTCTAAGGCCTTGCAAAAACGGGATTTCGAGTGAATTGGAAATAGGAAGCCGAAGAGCACAGAAGCTAGCTTGGATTCTCGTACTATGTGCTGTCACGATTCTATTCGTAACAGGTTCGGTTTTCGTAATACTTCACATGAGAAGAAGAAGCAACAAAGGCCAATGGAAAATGGTTTCCTTTAGTGGGCTTCCTCAGTTTACAGCTAAGGATGTGTTGAGGAGCTTTAATTATACAGAACAAGACTCGTTCGGTAAAGTGGTTTTACCGACAGGAATCACTGTTTCGATCAAGAAAATCGAGTGGGGCTCGAACGAAACGGAAATTAGGCTGCAAAATTTTATGAGGATTGGAAATGTGAGGCACGAGAATTTGACGAGATTGTTGGGAGTTTGCTATAACAACCGTTTTGCGTATTTGTTGTACGAATATTTGCCCAACGGGAGTTTAGCGGAGACGATCACGATTAGGAGAGAGTGGGGGAGTAACTGTAGAATAGTAATTGGAGTTGCTAAGGCACTTTGCTTTCTTCACCATGGCTGTTACCCAGCTATCCCACATGGAAATCTCGAGGCTAAAAACGTACTTTTCGATGAAAAAACGGAGCCCCGTTTGGCTGAATACGGGCTCCATTCAATTGCGGAACCGAGTCAAAGCCCACTACTAGTAAAGAGTACAAAGGAGAGAGGTAAAAAAATCAAGAATGCTTTAATCATTTTATTTTTTTGGTTAGCTAACTTTAGTTAAAGATATTCAAGATTTGCTTTGTGTGTGTGTGTGTGTGTGTGTGTGTGTGTGTGAACAGGTGGATTTGGAGCACCATTGATAAAGGATGAGCTGTGCATGGATGTATACAATTTTGGTGAACTCGTACTCGAGATTTTATCAAACGGTAGAGTGGCGAGTGCATCGGAGATTATGGAGAAAAATAAACGAGATAGTTTCGTAAGAGAAGTTGCTGATAATTCGTCCAAAGAGGAGGTGAATTCGGTTATTGAAGTTGTTCTGCTCTGCACGAGAAGTAGGCCGTTCGAGAGACCTTCGATGCAAGAGGTGTTAAAGCTGTTATCGGGGCTTAAATCGGTGAAGAATGGCAATGCTTGTAAAGCATGAATTAGGTGTGAGTTTCAAATTTCATCAAATTTGTAGAATTTTTTATTATTTTTCTAAATTTTAATTTTTTTTTTTTTTTTGTGTGTGTGTGTTTTGATTGATGAATGTATCAGAAACAATTTGCTGTGAATTAGAATGTGTATATATTTATTACTTATTATAAGGTGTTTCTAAGTGTAAAATCATAGTGTTGAGGTTACTTTGTTGTTCTACTGTGCAGTTCAAGTTGCTATTGCATTATTTGGTACTCAGGGAAATTTGTACCGTTTAGTGAACCGAACTATTCCGATTGGTGTGTTTTTTTATCGAATTAATTTGCCCATTTGGGTTTGGTACTGGTAAAACCAATTTTTATTAATATATAAAAATGTGAAAAAAATATATTTAAACTAATTAATTATTGAATTTGACATTCAAATTTCAATAATTGGCCCTAAAAACAAAAAGTAATTATCAATAGAGGCTAATTTGTAAATAATGGAAAAAATTATCAATCTAAAAGTATTTTAAATTTGTTATAACCTTAAATAATTTAAAAGAGAAGAAAAATATAAGGGTAAATTCCACTTTTCCCCCTTGTACTTTAGCTGTATATCACTTTACCTCCTTGTACTCTTAATTGCATCGATTTGCCCCCTTGTACTTTGGTTCGATATCACTTACCCCCTTCTACTCTCAATTCATCGATTTGCCCCCTTGTACTTGGTTCGATATCACTTTACTCCCTTCTACTCTCAATTGCATCGATTTGCCCCCATGTACTTGAAAAATTGTCTCAATGTGGCCCTCGCCGTTAGTTTTCAGAAATTTGACCTTAATACCATTTAATTTAAGTCTGAAAATTACTAAAATGTCACCCCTCCAGTTTAAATAATTATTAAAAAAATAAAAAAAAATAAAAAAAATAAAAAAACAAAAGTTAAAATAATAAAAAATTCAAGACGGCAAGAAAACATAGTCCACGACGCCAGCCATAATTTTTTTTTTATTTTTTTATTAATAATTATTTAAACTGGGAGGGGTGGTTTTTTTGTAAATTTCAAACTTAGATCAAACGGTGTTAAGGTCAAATGTCTGAAAACTAACGGCGATGGCCACATTGAGACAATTTTTCTAAGTACATGGGGCAAATCGATGCAATTGAGAGTAGAAGGGGGTAAAGTGATATCCAGACAAAGTATAAGGGGGCAAATCGATGCAATTGAGAGTAGAAGGGGGTAAAGTGATATCGAACCAAAGTACAAGGAGACAAATCGATGTAATTAAGAGTACAAGGGGGGTAAAGTGATATTCAACCAAAGTACAAGGAGGTAAAGTGAATTTTACCCAAAAATAAATATTTATTAAATAGTTCGATATTCGGTACAGTATACCGGACATCAATGCCGTATACGAGTACTGAATACCGAATTTCACTATCGAATACCGAACCAAACACATACCGAATTTTCCGTTCGGTTCGGTCTATTTACCGACCGAGTGAACACTCTTATGATAGACTAGTAAATTTTAGTATAAGTGCACATACAGATTGCCTACGAGTTCCTTCATTAAAATAAAATGCCATCGTAATATATATTTAAAAAATTATTTATAAGGTAAAAAATATTGAATAATTAAAAAAATAATAAATAAATTTGCATAAATAATTAAGTAAATATACTAGGTTTTAGAGAAGTGGTGGGAGATCATGGCCCCATGATACTATACTTGCTCCATAAGCAATAATAAACTTCTTCATTATTATATATATTTTTTAATTATTTAATTATTTCTTATTTTATACACGTGAATGTTTGTACTCGTGAACAATTATTGATTTACTAGTGTTGGTACTTTGTTAGGAGCATCATACATTTCCTCATTATAGATATATTCCCGCGCATACAAATTATACATACACATACGTATACACATATATTAATTCATTCCATAGCATCTGTACATTAAACCTCTGATAAAGCAAAGAATTCGTACGGACTCACAAAATAAAAAACCCCACTTCTTCCGGGAGAGTTGTATTCACATTTGACGAAAAAACAAAAGCAAACCCCCAATTTTCCGGTCAATCGCAAGTCAAATTCGACTGACCGCCGCCGTCAAACCGACATGAACGGCGGCGACACGACCACGATCATGCGGAGCGGGTCCCGGGAGGATGGGATTCGTAAGCAGCTCTCAACGCTGTCCCTCAATGGTGATGAAGAGCGGCCGATTCCTGAGAAGCAGAACAAAGACCCAAGGAAAATCGCTAGAAAGTACGATTTTATTTTTATTTTTATTTTTCTACGGGTGCTTATTTTGGATCATGCAAGTGCATTCGCTTTTATTGGTTTTATTTTTTTGCTTTTTGCTTGGTTGATTTTTTGTTTTCCTTGTATTTACTGAGAAAGATGGTTGCTTTTGTTTAATTTGGAGAATTTATTCGAGTAAAATTGAGAAACTGAACAGTTGAAATTAAGATGATTAAGCAGGGCAGTTTGCCCCTTAATTTGAGGGGAAAATGTCCTAGATATCTCTGTGTGTGTGTGTGTTGAGGATCTGATTTCTGAAGTTTTGGGTGTGAAGAAGATGATGCATTGGACTGTACCTTGTTAATTCCACAGTCTAATCAAATATCTAGGTACAAATGTAAATGTTTGTATACTGAAGGCATTTAGTATTTTAATTAAATAATATTGTATGAGTTTGGTTTATATGTTGCATTAGTTTACCTGAGTGGGAATTTGTTTTACCACCACCTTTTTGACGAATATACTACCATCTTTATGTAGTTGTGACCCTGAAATAGGCTGAGGCTTGACATCGAGTCTACTGTTTTCTTTAATTTCATACAGGTACCAGATAGACCTTTGCAATAAAGCGTTGGAGGAGAATGTTGTCGTCTATCTGGAAACAGGTTGTGGGAAAACTCATATCGCCGTTTTACTTATCTATGAGATGGGGCACCTGATTAAGAAACCTCAAAAGAACATATGCATTTTTCTTGCTCCTACAGTTCCTTTGGTTGAGCAGGTATGTCAGTCCCGACTCCTTTAAAAGTGCGACGAGGTTGATATACTTTCTGCATTTATTTGTTCAATTAACATTGGTTGGACTAGTCTTGGGTTTCCGCCATGCAGTGTACTTTTGCAGATTTTAGTCTCGTTGACATTATCAGAAATAAGTAATGTTCTGAGTATCAAAGAGCTGTTAAATAAAGGACCAGTAAGATATAGGACTTGATCTTTTGAGTGCAGGAATATTTTTCAGTACTATGAAAAAGTTTGACCATGGGTTCGCTATAAACAGTTCCTTTGTTTGTTTAGTACCACTGCTTTAGAAGCAGTTAGATGCTTGTTTCCTTTTTATGGCCATCTATTAATAGTAATGTGTTGTAGCATCCTGCTGTCTTTTATATTGAATTGTCTCCTTCATTTTATGATTATGTCAGTTGAAAGCATAGTCAACTTCATTTTATTGTTACATTGCATTTATTCTTAGAATTCGCAATATTACATTATATTTTCTGAATTTTATGATTATGTCAGTTGAAATCATCTGTTATTTTTATCTTGTGGCAATAATAGCAAGCCAAGGTCATAGAAAGTTCTCTCGATTTCAAAGTTGGGGTCTGTTGCGGAAGTTCAACACATTTAAAAAGCCGCTATGACTGGGAAAAAGAAATTGAGGAGTATGAGGTTGGTTGAGTTAATTGCGACTTTGCGACTTATTAAATCTGCTCCATGCCCATGTAAGCATTCAAGTGATTAACAACATATGTTACTTCATCCAAATTTTGTTTCCACTCGCAGGTCCTTGTCATGACACCTCAGATAATGCTAAACAATTTGTCACACTGCTTTATCAAGATTGAGCTGATTTCCCTTCTGATATTTGATGAATGTCATTACGCACAACTTGACAGCAATCATCCTTATGCTGAAATTATGAGGGTAATATATTGAAATAGTGATTTATGCCAGTATACGCGGCATCAGTTTTTCAGTTTCTGTTGTCAAATAATTTATGTTCGGATTGTCAACTGCAGATCTTCTACAAAATGGATGGGTCAAAACTTCCTCGTATTTTTGGCATGACTGCTTCTCCAAAACTAGGGAAAGGTAAATGTAATTGCGTCAGTTACTTATCAAGCATATCTCTCTATGAAATGCAGAAAATTATGTGGCTTTTCACCCAGAAAAAATGTATGTTGATTTTATCATTTTCTGATTAATGCACCAACGTGCTCTTATGTCATTTTAGGTGGCTCAATTGATGGTCTTGAGGCGTTGATGCGTGCAAAGGTGTGTTTGAAAGATGGATTTACAAATTTTCTTTTTATGTACTTTAAATGAACAATAATGTTAGATTATATCTTGTATAACTATAAAAGTAAAAGGTTTCGAGGAATATTAGGTGGACGAGAAGCTTAACCCCTAGCTCTCTCTGTACCTCTTTTCTCAAATATTTGATCATTTGAGGGTGTGTTTTTTTCATAGGTTTATTCTGTTGAAGATAAAGATGAACTGGAAAGATTCGTCACATCCCCAAAAGTAAATGTATATTATTATAGTTCAAACAAGAATGGGTGTTCTCCTCACATGATCTATACTACAAATCTTGAGGAAATAAAAAACCAGGTATTGTGTAATTGAATGTTTAAGTAAATTCATTCCACATGAACTATCAAACCAACGCCTTTGTGTTTAACAGTCCATGTTGGCTCTCCGTACGAACTCGGTTGATCAGAGTAGTTTCATAAATACCAAAAAGACTCTTCAGAAGCTTCATTGTAATATAATATTTTGTCTCGAAAACCTTGGATTGTGGGGGGCATTACAGGTAAGGATCACAATATTCGGTTATTCTGTTTGGCCTCTATTGTTTTTAGATTTAATGCATTGACCAGTGCTGCTTAATTGTGCCTCTATCTAACCGTTCTAAGATAGTAAAACTGTAAAAGTGAAAGACAGTTTTTAACTCTTCATGTCTCAAATGTTATTCTTATTGGCTATTTGCTCGTTCCTTTCCATGAGGGTCTCTTAAGCTCTTGCCTTTTTAGTTTTGTGTGTGTGTGTGACTGCGCATGGCATGCCACATTTATCTGGGGAATGGGGATAACACAATGTGCTAGAATTATGAATTCTTGTAGTCTTGGATCCACAAACCTGAATTGAAATGCATTGATATATACCTAAAAAATCTCAGACATTCTTCTACGGAACAGTTAACATTATATTACGTTCAACCTCTATTTTGTTGAAGTATCATAACTCAAAGTTTTGTATACACAGAAGTCCAGTAAATGTCATAAACCAACAAAAAAATAATAAAATTACTGCACAAAATTCATGTAGACGAGCCATTTATAAGGCCAATGTATTATCTTATAAGGGAGAAGTGAGAGAAGTTTGTGTCTCGAGAATGCACACCACAGATGAAAAATGATGGATTTTCTTTTCTAAAACTCTAATAATTATGCATGCTTGCAATTTTTATAACGGCTCAAGTTAATGTAGATTCTGATGCAAATTTTTATAACGGCTCAATTTTTACTGATGCTTTTTTCAAAGGCCAGTTACATCTCTTTAAAGGGTGATATTTCTGAGAATACTGATCTTGTGGAGGAAGAATCGAGTTGCAGTGATGACAATATATGCAACAAATACTTGCATAAGGCTGCCTCCTTTCTTGCTTCTCATTGCACTGGAGGTATTTTACTTCCCCAGGCATGCCTGCAATTTGTTTCTTTTACTGTCTTATGTCTGTTCTTCTTGATTCGATTATATATACAGTTGCCTTCCTCTGATGTCTTAGCAGCGTAGTACATGTACTACCATAGAGATTGATTTAGTATGTATTATCATATAATGCCTTAAACTTATATGGACTACTAATTTCGCCACACAGGGGAACCTGCTTCTTTTTTGCTCCATTTGTTGTGAGATACTTTTGGTTTCTTTGACTGAAAATATAAATGTATATCTACTGTTGACTTTGGAAAATTTATTCTATTATTCATGCAGATGGCATTGGAGCGAATTTGTCATGTGTAGAAATTTTGAAGGAGCCTTATTTTTCGAGGAAGCTCCTAAGGCTTATTGGAATTCTATCCAGCTTTAGGTTTGTTTTTGGTTGCTCTAAAAATATAAAAGACACAAACATATTCAACTAGAATCTTTTCTCGAGAAATGTGGTTTTCTTTAACTCGTGATTAAGCTTTAGGTTTGTATAGGATACTAACAGAAAACAAATTAGCGAGCCTAACTGTTTTTTGGTTTTCTTTGAACTTCTGGTGCAAGAATCTGTTGTTTTTTTTGCAGTAACAATCTTTTAAGAAATTAATATTCTATTTTCATCTTGTTTTTGTGAATTTTATTTTAATTACCAGTAGAGTCCCTTTACAACATCATTAAAGCCGAGTTAATTTTTAGAAGGAAATTAATGTTGAAAATTTATCTGAATCTTTTCAATCAATATAAACATTATATACATGCATAACAAATTTAATTTTCTTTACAGGTTGCAGCCTGATATGAAATGCATAATCTTTGTCAACAGAATTGTTACTGCGAGATCCCTCACATATATACTTCAAAATTTAAAGTTTTTATCTTCTTGGAAGTGTGGTTTTCTCGTGGGAGTTCACTCTGGACTTGTGTCACGTAAAAATACAAACGTCATTCTAGAGAAGTTTCGGTCTGGTGAGGTAATGCTTCCTATCGGGTGACATGTTTCCATTTTACTTATTCCTACAAAAAAATGTTTCCAACTTAATTGTATTTTCCCTTTGAGTACACTATGGTCTAATTGTTTGTTCGGAAGAATTATGGTCAACTTCTGGTCTATACCATACTAATTTCTATTTTCCCTGTTCAAATTGTTTTGGTAGCTAAACCTGTTAGTTGCAACAAAAGTGGGTGAAGAGGGACTCGATATTCAGACATGTTGCCTTGTAATAAGGTTTGATCTTCCAGAGACTGTAGCAAGTTTTATTCAATCTCGAGGTCGTGCACGTATGCCGCAATCTGAATATGCCTTTTTGGTGGACAGGTGCTTTACTGATTTTATTGATTGCTTGCTTATGGAACCATTTTTTTAGTTTTCTATTTATGATTAAAGTTAAATATGTGATGTTCTGAAAACTGCAGCGACAACTCAAGGGAAATTGATTTGATTGAACATTTTAAAAAAGATGAAGCTCAAATGAATGAAGAGATTTCCTCGAGAAAATCTCACTTACCAGTAACCGATTTCGTCGAGAGAACATATAAAGTGGATGTTACTGGGGCAACTATTAGTTCTGTATCAAGTGTCTCTCTGCTGCATCGCTATTGTTCAAAGCTTCCTCATGATGAGTATGATCTTATTCTTAGTGTTAATTGGTTGCTGTTATACTTCTGATCTGGGTCATGGTGCTACTCTTTTTTTAATTTAATTTTAGTGTTTTTTAGTGTCTGTTATTCTTTCTGATTTGGTGTTACAATGATATATTGGTCTCCAAAGTTATTCTTAATATACTTTATCTGCATTAGGTATTTCAATCCAAAACCCTACTTCTACTATTATGACGATGCAGATGGAACGATTTGCAATATTGTTCTTCCGGCCAATGCTCCAATTCATCAAATTGTCAGTGCACCACAAACTTCAACAGAGGCAGCTAAGAAAGATGCCTGTTTGAAAGCATGCAAGGCATTACATGAAGTTGGAGCACTGACCGATTATCTCTTGCCAGAGCAAGATGATAAAAATGAAGAATCGATATCTGATTCTGATGACATCAATGGTCAGGATATATCTTTTTTATTTATTTGATTGACACTCAATTATATAAGCTGAAGGTTTTAAATTTTAGTTGTTGCACTTATTTCAGAGGAGGAGTCACGAGCTGTACTATACGAGATGCTTGTTCCTGCTGCCCTCAGGAAAACATGGACAGAAGAGAAGAATTCCACTTCTTTTAGCTCTTATTACATTAAATTTTGTCCGAATCCAGCGGATAGGATATACCAAAGATTTGGTCTTTTCGTTAAGGAGCCACTCTCAGAAGAGGCTGGGAAAATGAAAGTTGATCTTTGTTTGGCCCGTGGTAGAACGGTGATGACAGAGATTATTCCATCTGGAGTTGTTAGATTGGATAAAGATGAGGTAGAGTTCTTTAGTTTTGTCCAAATTTGTTTAAAATGATAAAACATATTGTGGTTCTGAATTTCGTGTTTCAATTGCACAGATTGCCGCAGCTGAAAAGTTCCAACAAATGTCTCTCAAAATTATTCTTGATCGGCATCAGTTTATACCGGAATACGTGTCACTGGAAAATAATGATGTGTATGAACCAAGCTCGTCGACCTTCTATCTGTTGCTTCCTGTTATTCAGCTTCAGCATGAAAAAATCTCGGTGGACTGGACACTAATCAATAGATGTTTGTCGTCTCCAATTTTCAGACACCCAAGCATTCGTTTGGGCAATGAAACATATCAAATGAATAACCACGTGCATCTTGCAAATGGTTGCAAAAGTGTAGATGATGTTGTGGATAGTTTGGTGTATGTCCCATGCAAAGATATATTTTTCTTTATTTCTGATATTCTTCCAGGAAAAAATGGACATAGCTTATACGATGATTCAGAAAGTCATGTCGAGCACTACGCTGAAAGGTAATTTATTTTTCTACTTTATCTGTTAAATTGTCAATACATTGTATCATGATTTATTCAAAAAAAAGTCTGTATTTAGGGAATTCAAGAATGCATAATTCTATGTGCCTTTTAAACTATAGCTTTTGTATTAGACAAAACGTGTTACGTAGTGGCAGCAGATAGCTTTTATACTCCGAAGTCAACTTGCTTCTGTGTACATGAACTATCTCAGGGTCCACTTGAAGTTTTTTGTGCAGTAGCTTAGTCACATTCATGACATGCACTGTATCTGAAAATAAACTTTCAGCAATTTTTTTGCAGAAGATCTTCATATTTATATTTCAGAAATTTGGTAGATATAGAATTATTTCTAAACCTTTAGCTTGTCTTATATCTCTCACATCACAGCCATGGGTGCATATTCAATTAGCTTTTCTCAAGCTTAGAGGTTTGACTGTATGAGATCAAAACATTACTATTAATTTGAAAATTGACCTATTTACAACAATAAATATTATTTGACTATTTTGTAATTCTTTTGCTTGCTCTGATTCTGGAACCTCTGTTTTGGCATATCTGAGCCGTTATAAAGTCTGCATTTTATGAGGAATGTTCGTTATCCTGCTAATATCATTTTCTGCTCCTTGTGATGGTTCAAATATTACTTTACAGGTTTGGTATTCATCTCACTCACCCTAATCAACCCCTACTCAAAGCCAAGCAACTCTTTGTTTTGGACAACTTACTGCGAAAGAAAAAACACTCAGGTATAGATTATTTATGTTACTAGTGCAGAAAATACTTTCTTTTCTTAGTTCCTATATTTTCTCTCAGAGTTCGAATGTATCAGCGACGGTAGGTAATATAATAAATTTAATGTATTTTTATCTGCCTTTGCATCCCAATTGTATATTTTGAGTAGGACTTGGGAGGTTTTTTTTTCTCCCCCCCCCCCCCCCCCCACCCAAACCCAATCCAACCTCCCACCAAAAAAAAAAACTTATGTATTGACTTATTGAATTATTTGCTTGCTGATATGTAGAAGAATGGCGAGAAAAAAAGGAACACTTCATTGAATTACCTCCTGAGATTTGTCAGTTGAAAGTCAGTGGTTTTTCGAAAGAAATTGGAAGTTCATTGTCGCTTTTACCATCAATCCTGCATCGGCTTGAAAACTTTCTTGTGGCCATAGAATTGAAGGATAAACTAGTAGCTGCATTCCCCGAAGGAGCAGAAGTTACTGCTGATCGTGTAAGTCTTTTCAGGATTACTCGTGTCTACTATTTTGATTAAGTTAGATGGCACAGTATGTTCCCCTGTACGCCGTAGTATTACTATAGTACATCACATCTTGTTTGCATACACATACATTTGTAATGTGCTGAATATTCATTTTGACGTTGGGTCAGATTCTTGAAGCACTCACGACAGAAAGATGCTGTGAACACTTTTCTCTTGAAAGGCTTGAAGTGCTTGGAGATGCATTTCTCAAGTTTGCAGTTGGTAGACATCTTTTTCTTAAGCATGATGCCATAGATGAAGGGCAGCTAACTAGAAAGCGTTCCAACATTGTCAACAACTCCAACTTACTCAAATTGGCAATAAGGAAAAATCTACCGGTAAGGAATGTAACTTCTATGGTTCCTAGTTTAAAAATAATTAAGTGTTGAGGTTTAATACAACTTCGTTTCATGAATCTTTGCTATTTCTCTGGACAGAGAGCCTGCAATGATACCTTGTTGAATGACCACTTCATCTAAAAGCTTAAGCTTTTAGTTTATACTAATTTGAGGTGATAATATTTAATTAATTGACCCGGATCTAATCAAAAGCTAATTATTTTGTGCCGCGGTCCTTGTTTTATCTGCTTCTATATGCATATTTAATTTTCCTCCTGAAACTATTAGTGTAGCCTAACAAATAGATGAAGGACCTCAAGAATTATCATGAACTTGGTTCCTTACAAAAAAATGCATATCAGAGAATTTACGAACAACTTGTGAAACTTAAACATGTGAAAAATACTTCACTCCAAAATATTTTCTGGGGGTTGTTCGATGTAGTTTGTATAAACAAATATATGTCAGGTATATATACGTGATCAATCATTTGAGGCCGACCAATTCTTTGCATTTGGCCGTCGTTGTCCTTCAACTTGCGAAAAGGAAACTGAGGCAAGTATTCACTCTCAAAGCCATGGCAAGAAAAATGATGCAAATGCCGAAGTTAGATGCAATAGATGCCACCATTGGTTACATAACAAGACCATTGCAGATGTTGTTGAGGCACTTACTGGAGTTTTTATAGTTGATAGCGGCTTCAAAGCAGCAACTGCATTCCTTAATTGGCTCGGCATAAAAGTAGATGTTATACAGTCACAAATTGATGATATGTGCTCTGCCAGCAAGGCGTTTCTACCGCTTTCGGATCAAATAGACATCAATACCCTTGAAAGTCTGACAGGGCACAAATTTGCCCACAAAGGTTTGCTCATTCAAGCCTTTGTTCATCCATCTTTCAACGGTCATTTGGGAGGTTGCTACCAGGTATGTACTGATTAATACAGTCTACTCTGAATATTAGTTATTAATTGTTAAAATTTCTAATTTATATTATATAAATTTCATTGCTTGAACCAGAGACTTGAATTTCTTGGAGACGCTGTCTTGGATTATTTGATCACTTCCTATCTTTATTCGGTGTACCCAAAACTGAAACCTGGCCAGTTAACGGATTTGAGATCGGTTTCTGTCAACAACACTTCATTTGCTGACGTGGCTGCACGCCGGTCCTTCCACAGATTTATTATTTGTGATTCTAGTGTTCTTCGGGAATCAATGGCTAAATATGTGAGCAACATCGAAAGATCAGCACCAATAGGACATATTGAAGAGAAAACTTGTCCAAAGGTCGTTTTTTATGTTCCTTCGCTGTAGCTTATAATTATTCCATATACATGATTACTCCTATTCCTTATTCTTCTGAAATATTCCGCTTAATTTGGAGTACTGATTTGCACTGTTCGATTATTGATGGAGTAAATTTTACAAAACTATCAAGCTCAATTTATTAAAGTTGATCCTAATCTATGTTTTTCGAAAAAATCCCACAAATCTTATATCACAAAAAGTGTGAAACTACCTGATGTTGGCAAAGTGCTAGTGTATGACGTGTACCCTGTTTTACTATAATGGTTATTTTCATGGAAAATTTGTTTGCGATATCAGTTGTAATTTTATTGTAATGCTTTCAGGTCCTTGGTGATTTAGTGGAGTCTTGCATCGGTGCCATATTTCTCGACACAGGGTTTGATTTGAAGCATGTCTGGAAGATAATGCTCTTTTTATTGGATCCGATTATTACTTCTTCGAAACTGCACTTTAATCCCATAAGGGACCTTCATGAATTTTGCCAATCCTATTACTGGGAGGTGCAGTTTTCTTCATCGAAGAAAGACGGTAAGTTCTTGGTCGAAGCTAAAGTAGATGAAGGAACTGTTTCCGCCACTGCATCGGCTACCCACGTCAGCGGCAAAGTCGCCAGAAAGATGGCTGCAAGACAAATTTATGAATGCTTGAAGGTGATTTTTTCCGAATTTTTTTTTAACCATTCTCAATAATTAATTACTTGATTTTTCCCTTGTTCTCATTGGCTCCAATTTTTGTAGGCTCAAGGTTACAAATCCAAATCAAAATCACTGGAAGAAGTGCTTAGAAAAAGTGTAAAGAAGGAAGCAATGTTAATTGGATACGATGAGACTCCCTCTTACGAAATTGCTAAGGTCAAAATTCCGGAAAATTCTCAGAGTGATTTTGAACCGAGAGTTTATCCTCTTAACGAGACCTCCATTAGACCTATTAAAGATCTTCCTTTCCGACAGAGTTCTTCAGAATCACATGTTGCAGAGAAACCCATTAACAGTAATGGCCGCAAAATTAGTTCAACTGCTGGTCATCTAAATAACGGGAACGAGGTTGATCAACAGGGAATAGCAGGTATTGTGTGACCTTAGAGACTTTTGATAGCTTGGTTTTTTAATTTTTTTTTAATTTCTTTAAATTTTGTATTTCACATTCTCTTGCTAAAAACTGTAATATATTAGGTTCTCAATCAAATGTATCGGCAAAATCATGTTTATATGAACTATGCGCTGCTAACTGCTGGAAACCACCTGTTTTCGAATGCTTCAAAGAGACAGGACCAGAACACATAAAGGAGTAAGTTATCAGCTTTTACAACATTATATATTAACTTGTATTTGGTGCTTTGTCAAGGTTTTCGTGTAATCTAAATATAGAGTGTTTTTTTTTTTTTTTTTTTTTTTTTTAGATTTGTTTTCAGGGTGGTGATGGAAATCGAAGAAATGCCAAATGAGACCTTTGAGTTCTACGGAGAGCCTCGAGCAAGAAAGAAGGATGCGGCTGAGCATGCAGCCGAAGGGGCGCTTTGGTACCTCAAACACGAAGGGTATATATGGGATAAAAAGCGAAATAATTAATCATGTTGTTGGTTGGGTCTAACTATTTTGATTAAGCATGAATATATATATAATGTGTGAAGGTATAGGTATATATTAGGATCAAAATACTGGCTGCCCAAACAAAGGACCTGTTGTAAAATATGTATGGTTGTAGTAGAATATACTTTTGAGTTATGTGAAGTTCACCAAGTCTAACATTAAACCATTTTGAGTATAAATTATTATGAACAACTAATTTTGGAAATACTTTCGAAGAGTCTTTGCTTACCTACTATTTTTCATTTATTTAATTTATATTGTTAACTTTTTAATTAATTGTTGCAAAATTACTAAACACGAGTTATCTCCAAAGGAATTATTAATCATAGAAAAAATTGTGAAAAAATAGATAATTGCAAATATTAACAAAATGAACTCTTCCATAAAAAAAAAAAAGAACAAAGGGAAATTTATAGTTTTCGCTCCTCATATTTGCACCGATTTCATATTTGGTCCTCCATGCTAAAAAAAACACGATTGGTCACTTATATTTCAAAAAATTAACACATTTGATCATTTTCGTCAATTTACCGTCACTTCGCCAGTTAAGGGAGTGATGGGCTAAAGCTTGATACCATCAGTATTAACGGAAATGGCTAAAATCGTTGAATTTTTTAAATAGGAGGGACCAAATGTATTTTTTATGAACATAGGGGGTCAAATATGTAATTAGTGCAACGTTGAGGACCAAAAATGTATTTCTCCCAAAAAGAAAAAAAAAAAAAAAATGCCCCTATTAATGATGCCTGGTCGGCGCGCCTTCCAAGCACGTGCTCGTCGCGTGAGGAAGCCTTCCCGCCAAGTCTTTCCCGCCAAAAACCCATTTCCAACCCCAATTGCCCAAACCCTCGAGCCCTCTTCACCAGAGCGTTTCACTCACACCCACCCACACACGCACACACAGAGAGAGAGAGAGAGAGAGAGAGAGAGAGAGAGAGAGAGGAGAGAGAGAGAGAAGATAGAGAGATGTCTGGCTGGGACGAAGGAGGAGTGTTCTACAGCGACCAGGCGCAGTACCCGCACGTCGGCGGTGAACAGTCAGAGACGGCTAGCCGGCATACGGCGCTGCAGAAATTCAAGGAATTCATAAGGAATTTCCAGCACAAGAGCCAACCCAATGTATTTCCCTACAGAGAGGCCCTGCTTTCGAACCCTAAATACGTGCTCGTCAATCTCGCCGACCTCATCTCCTACGATCCTGATCAAAACCTCCCCCAGTTTCTCCGCCAAAACCCCGCCGACTATCTCCCCCTCGTATGCACAATTTTCATTTACTCTCCTTAAAAGAACACGAATCTGATCTGTTTTTACAATAATGCATTTAGATATTTTCTCATTGCATCTACATCACATGGTAATTTTGCCGCGCTAGGGCTTTTTCTGTTGGTTAATCAAGTTTCAATTAGACTGAAACAATTATCATTTAGTTGAAAGTTATGTTAGGAGAAGAACGCTTACCCTTTCTCTTATGTTGAGTAGTTTGGAAAATTGAAAGTGCATATGATAAAAGAGGAATGTAGAACTCTGATTTTTTTAATACAGATAAATAATACTTCTGTCTACTTTACAAATTCAATTATGTTAGAATTTTGTATCAGTTTACTGATATCTTTCTTTTACCTTTCTCTTATTTTTGAAAAAAAAAAACAGTTTGAAACTGCAGCAGCAGAAGTTCTCACAGGTCTTAAATCACGGGTAGCTGGAGAGAGTGGAGAAATGGAAGAGCCAGTGACTGGGGAAGTTCAAGTATTGCTTAGATCAGAGCAAGATCCTGTTTCAATGCGTTTACTGGGGGTTAGTTGTTTTACCTCTGTTTGGATTCTTCTTACCTTGTTTACGATGTAAATTTTACTGAAAGGTTGCTTTCTCTTGGCAAAATGGCATGTAGGCGCAATATATTTCGAAATTGGTGAAGATATCTGGGATTGTCATAGCGGCCTCAAGGACTAAGGCAAAAGCTACGTATGTGACTTTGTTATGTAAAAATTGCAAGAATGTAAAGCTTGTTCCGTGTCGTCCAGGGCTTGGTGGAGCTATTGTCCCACGATCTTGTGATCACGTCGCTCAGGTTTTCAACTAATGATTATTTTTGTACTTTATAGTCTCTGTTTATTTTTATTTGACTGGGTTAAGAATTTACTGCGCATTTTCTAGGCTGGGGAAGATCCTTGTCCAGTTGATCCATGGCTTGTGGTTCCGGACAAGAGCAAGTATGTCGATCAACAGACACTAAAATTGCAAGAAAATCCCGAGGTGAGGAGTCCATGGCTTGCTGTAATTAATTCCATTAGTGAATTTTGCTAATATAGTTTCATAAATTATAGCTCATATGATGCTTAAACCTACATATATTTTTCGTCTTTTTTTAATTTCGAAGGATGTGCCGACTGGAGAGTTGCCAAGGAACATGCTTCTATCTATTGATCGCCATCTCGTGCAAACAATTGTTCCTGGACAAAGGTTGACTATAATGGGGATTTACAGCATATTCCAAGCTGCCAACTCATCGACTTCGTAAGATTTTAATAGTTTTATTGTTTAAGAATCAAAATATAACCTGCTAGGTTGTTACTTATGTACTTTGAATTATTTGAGCAGTCATAGAGGAGCAGTAGCAGTTAGGCAGCCCTATATTCGGGTGGTTGGATTAGAAGAAACCACTGAGGCTAACACTCGTGGTCCAACCAACTTAACCAGAGATGAGGTAATTGCATGAAGCTATCATGATATTTTCAATAATTATTTAAATATAATATTCCACGTGTAGATTGCATTTGCGGGGCTTGTTTTCAGAAATATTAGGTTAGGAAAGTAATCTTATGTTAACTGAAGTATACCTTTTATCAGATTGAAGAATTCAAAAAGTTTGCATCAGATAGTAATGCATACCAGCAAATATGCTCGAAGATTGCTCCTTCGATATTTGGCCATAGTGATGTGAAAAAGGCTGTTGCCTGCCTTTTGTTTGGAGGCTCAAGAAAGGTATACTACAAACTGGTTATGTTACTAATGTTATTAAACTGGTTCAAATGCTTAAAAATAGTTCTTTGGAGATGCAGACTTTGCCTGATGGTGTTAAATTAAGAGGTGACATCAATGTTTTGCTCTTGGGGGATCCATCCACAGCCAAATCACAGGTTAGTATTAATTTTTTTTTTTAGTAGATCACATATTTCATGTGATATTTCAACTTATATGTCAAACCCTACCCCATATCAGCCCATATATAAGAAATTTAAATTGAATTATTGAAGACTGTTAAAGTTTGTCCTCTTTGCAAACAAATACGATAAAAGATTGTGGCTGAAGTTAGATTTGTTTTATTAATGTATAGTTCCTGAAGTTTGTTGAGAAGACAGCTCCAATAGCTGTGTATACTTCTGGAAAAGGCTCATCTGCTGCCGGTCTTACTGCTTCTGTAATTCGCGACAATAGCACAGTAAGTGTGCACTTGTTAATGTTCATTGAGGAGCTATGATGAGATGGATGTGTTTTGTACTGCACTTTACTTTTATAGATAGCATGCAATTACTTTTGTACTTAAATGATTTTTCATGGTTCTTACTTACACTTCAGCGGGAGTTTTATCTGGAAGGAGGTGCCATGGTCTTAGCAGATGGGGGCGTTGTTTGCATTGATGAATTTGATAAAATGAGGGCGGAAGACAGGTTAGTACATTTCTGTTGACATCAGAATCACAGTTCTCTTCTTGTGTTTTAATTTACAACTAGGGTACTCAAATTAGTGATGCCTGTGGTACAGGGTTGCCATTCATGAAGCTATGGAGCAGCAAACTATATCTATTGCTAAGGCAGGAATAACAACAGTTCTCAATTCCCGGACCTCTGTGCTTGCTGCAGCTAACCCTCCATCCGGGCGTTATGATGATCTCATGGTCTGTTAGTTTCTGTTAAATGACTGTTTATACTGTCACTATTTCAGTCAGTTTTAAGTCTTTTGACCGTTGAGAAACTAACAGTACTCTTATTTTCTTTTTCAGACTGCTCGAGACAACATTGATTTGCAGACCACCATTCTTTCAAGATTTGATATAATATTTATTGTGAAAGATATCAAAATGTATGCGCAAGACAAGGTATGGAAGCATTAATCACTCTAGATAGCATTTTTTCTCATACATAAGCGACCCCTCAGACTTTTGCTTTTGCGTCTCTCTAAAATTACGGTCGTGGTAAAATCTTGGTTTATTTAATCATCGGGGGACTCTATCTCATTCACTAACATGATTACATGAAGACATGCAAAATGGATAATAAATTCCAAATATCTATATTGAACATGAGTATAGGTTGTTACTCAGAATGTTGTAATAGAGCTCCTTAAAAGCCAAGTGGAGAAAATTAGCTAAACCTAATCAGATGCTATTCATTTGCAGAGTATTGCCAGCCACATCATCAAAGTTCATGCATCTGCTGATGCAACTGCAACTGACTCGAAGACTACCAAAGAGGACAACTGGCTGAAAAGGTATGCAATTCTATTTAGATCCTTGTTTTTGTCGTAAGGGTTGCTGAAGCCTTGTTGGTTGGGTTGCTGATGTATTTAAACTTCGCGTGCAGATATATACACTATTGTCGAACCGAGTGTCACCCCCGTCTCTCAGAGTCTGCAGCGTCTAGATTGCAGGAGAGTTATGTAAAAATTAGACAGGTATTTGTTATACTGTTCTAAATAATATTAAATTGGATGCTACAATTAACCATTTGTAACCATCTTAGTGTAGCAATGGCTACTTAACTATATGCTTCAAATATTCAATTCAACATTCTGGAAATGATTCTGTTGGATATGCTATTTAACTTTTTATTGAATAGTTTTTCAAGTGTTATTTTCTTTTCTTGCCATAGTGTTGGTTAGTGCTCCTAAATCTGCATAGAAACTTTAGGTTGACATTGTCTGACTTGCTAGGATGCTTGTATTTGCCCTGTTTGTTATCGATGCATAATGTTATTACATGTTATCCATAAATTTCTTACGCTATTTGATTCTTGTAGGACATGAGACGGCAGTCAAATGAAACTGGTGAGACAGCCGTAATACCAATTACAGTGAGGCAGTTGGAAGCTGTTGTGAGATTAAGTGAATCACTTGCTAGAATGACACTGTAAGTTGACGCGTTCCGTGTTGTACCGTATGTGATTATTATACTTCCCCTTGCCTAAATCGTATATGGTTCTAAATTTGCAAATTTGATGTACGTTGAAAGCTCAAGAAGAGTAATAATTCTTAATAATATCTTAACATGAGAATTGTATTTTATCGTGTGAGAAGTTGCTGTTTACTGAACCTTATTTTTTCTGACAATTAGGTCTCATGTTGCAAATGACAACCACGTTCTTGAAGCAATAAGGCTCTTTAACAACTCTACAATGGATGCTGCACGTGCCGGAGTTAATCAACATCTACACCTTACTCCCGAGATGGCAAATGAGATAAAGGTGACCACTGTTTGGCTCTCAATAACCTGGTCTATTTTTACGTATTAATAAATTATACCGATGCTAAATCTGATAAAATGTACAGCAAGCGGAAACCCAGATAAAGAGAAGAATGGGAATTGGAAGCCACATATCAGAGAGACGGCTGATCGATGAGCTTACAAGGATGGGCATGAATGAATCTATTGTAAGAAAAAATCAATGTTTTGGATTTTAACCAGTAGTAAATAACAGATATTAGAATTTTTAAATGTCTTTTTTCTATAATTGATCAATGTGTGTGTATCTGACAGGTAAGAAGAGCTTTAGTGGTTATGCATCAAAGAGATGAAGTAGAGTATAAGCGAGAAAGACGGGTAATTGTCCGTAAAGCGTGAAGCCCGATGCTATTGCGTTTGTAATCTGCCATTTTTCTGCAGCAGTGTAGCCCAAACCATATTTTAGAAGAATATTTGTTCTATGATGCGGTTAATGATGTGTGTTATTTAAGTATGTTTGTAATCGAACGCTTAAACATATTGATTATATAATCTATATGGTGAAACAACGCTTTTGCTCTTTGTGTATCTTACACAGAAAACTGCCAAGGAAGCTTCGTGTTGCTTTAGAATAGCAACTACACTAAAGCTTTGTGTTGTGTGAATATGTACAAGTGTGAAAGTCGAATGGATTCTGAACCACGAAAGTTGAGATATTAAACCTTATAAATTGACTTGTGGATTCATATGAATCCCGTCTGGATTGGTCCAAGTCCGATACTCTTATTTCATTCATATAGGTTGATTTTCGATTCGATCCTCGTGAAATCCGAATCGGATCCGTTCCAAGTTAAGCAAATCACCACCCCTACCTCATCTTAATATTAATTCCCATTTCGCTCTTTTACGTTTGATTTGTTTAATTTTCATGATTCTATCTCTATAATCCATCTCATTACATTGAAACAAAATGGATGTGCAGAGTCATTGTAAAACAGTGCGGAGTATGTATGAATTCAATCATCTATACGGTCTATATACGCAACTATCGTTTATGCTAAAACACGATATTCCTATTCACCATCAAATAAAATAGAGATTAGCGAGATGATTAGTGGGAGAGCGTCACGAAAATTACAAATAACAATATTCACTTAATCATCCTGCTTTCGAAGTTCTAGCTACCGGTGGCAATACAACCAAATCAAGATTTCCAGGATAAGGCGTCCACAGCCCTAATCCACCCTTGCTCTCTATCAACTCAGGGTGCTTCTTTAACTCACTAATAGTTTTCGCCCATTCTACTTTAGAAGAATGCTCTCGATTATGCGGGTGCAATACGAATATCGAATTGTACTCGCAATTCGGAAACATAAAAAAATTAAACGCACCCCTTAGTCTATAGACGACATATCCAAAGCTTAGCTGATCTCTTGGCGTAAATAGATGAACCTCGTTGAACCACAAGCAACTAAACAGATTATTCAGTGCAGTATGCTCTCGTATAATGATTGCTCCTTCAGGCACATCTGCATTTTTTACCAAAATATTTTTTGTAAAAAAGATAGAATATATATTTGTGAAAATATTTGATTCTTACCACTCAATGTGTTTTTATGCTCATCCCATGGCTGCATTCCTTCATAACGATATATTTTCATCTGTAGATCAATTAGAGGGCGAGCGTATCTCTTTCTCCGTTTGTTGGAATCAGCCTCTTCGTATACATTACGGTGATGTTTATGCTGAGCAATTGCAAACGTGTTTTTTCCCCTCCATAGATATCTGCATGTTATAAATGCCCAAGGATTTATAAAGCATGTTTCATTCTAATATTTCTAGCCCAATTTAACAAACGATAGTAACGGTAGCAATTTCAATTAAGATTAAATTCTTACACAAAATCGTACCTCTCCAAAAGAAGCAATGGATCAACTGTAAGCTCCATTTTACCATCAATCCAAATGCTGTACTCGGCTTGAGGAAATAATCTATGGGTTAATATCTTTGGAACTTTCCCGTTTCTTCGAGGTTCGTCATAAGGCTGGTGCTTAAGTGGAATCAAACGCCAGATACCCACCCATTGCCCTCCGTCATTATCCTCTCTTACAGTAACATTGTCTTTGATGAATTGAAGAGAAACTTCATCAACCACCATTAGGAAACAAAATAGACTTTCAGACCGCTTACTGATATTGGATGGCTGGTGAGGGGTGTCGTACGCGTCGAAAATGCCTGTAGCAAGAACGAATCTACATTTCTTCACATATTCGATGTCTTTTTGAGCCATATCTTCTCCTCCACCTTGAATAAATCCACAATGCACCTGCAGGTATTATAAATCTACAATAGTTAACATCATATATACCATTGATCTCAACAAGTACACATGGGAAATATTATTTATGAATATCAAATGTGAAAGAAGTAATCTATGCTTCGTCGTTTCATTTTTTTAAAATTATTTATGTAGCACTCATTCTTTGGACTAAAACCAAAAAGAAAATAAAAGAAAAGAAAAGAAAAAAAATTAAAGGAAATTGTTACAGATCGTTTTTAATACAGCAGGCTGAGACGATGTTTTTTCATACTGGCAAAGGAGATATAAGAACTTCAAAGTCTAAATACATGAGCTTTTTGTTACGTAATCTAATGTCTAAATCAACTTCTTTTTTTAGGGAAGGCAATTGCCGGGGCTTTGAAGTCGATTTTTCTGAATAAACTAAAGGCCAAAAACGGGACAAAAAAAATGTCGAGATTTCCAATGTCTTTCTACATTAAACATCCACAAAAGGATGCTTGGTGTAAAAACAGAACTGATAAGAGTCTGATAGCAAAGTTGCGTATGTAACAACATAAGCAGATATAAAGACTATGTGCAAGAAAGAGTTAGCTTATCACCTTCATGTCCGGCTTGATTTTAAAGCTTTCGTCTCTTTCCTTCCAAGTTTGATGTCCCCCAAAAAGAGGAGAAGATTGATTTCCGTTGGTTGCAATCTTATCTTCCATAATGTAGGACAACCTTTGGACCACTTTATCAGGTGTTCTTTTCTCTGGAATGACAACACTGTTTGGGTCATCAGCAACAGGGATAGCACAACCTAATCGTGAAAGAGAAGAAAGAGTTTCCTAAACATCAATAATCGAAAGCAAGAATAAAAAAAAAAAAAAAAAAAAAAAAAAAAAAAAAAGCAAGAAGAAAAATTATCGAGCCTTACGATGTGGTGGTGCCACGAGTCCCATTGTGTTTAACATACCATATACTTTGCTATCTTTATTACAAAGAGCTGCAAATCAAAAACAAAAGGTACAAAATCATTCATCTTCGTTCAGAAGGAGGCAGTATGACTTTTGGTGCAAATGTTCAACTTTCACAGCATTTCTAGTATAACAGATATACAAAGCAGCCGTAGCATTATCTTATTGAGCACACGTGAGAACACACAGCCTAGTAGCTAACCTTAACTCCATCTTCTTCAAAGTTCCGTAACCTAAACTAGCTCTTGAATTTATTTTAATAGCTTTTCTGTGAGTAGTTTCTCAATACGATTTATATCACCGCACATTACAACTCTAGAATAACTATTGAAGTATAAGCACACAAACCAGTTCCCATTACCAACTTAAAGATGCTAATCATTGTCTGGAATAATACTCACATCAGATTAAATCAATATCCCCATATTAATTCTCGGGTTCTCATAATTAAATATACGAGGAAAAGATTAGTGACAAATCAATCAGCAATAAAGTAACGAGTCATTAGCCAAAAGATAAAGAAGCAAACAAAACTGCACAAGTTATCTTACTTCTTTGAGTAAAATTCACAAACACATAGAAGGCAAAAATTCAGCTACTGACTTACCTGCAAAAAATGCAAGAGAAGATTGGCAAGACCAAATATGAAACAACAAAACGGTGAGAATCAACAGCATCCAAATAATCCCTCCGGTAAGAATCAACCGAATGAAACCCCTTCTCCATAAAATCTTCATCGAATACTCTTGCGATAATTTCCCACCGTACAACCCCCCTTCTTCAGGATCTACATTCACAATTATTGTTCAATAACACAACATTACAACATGTTAACAGAATGGAATTAAAAAAAAAAAAAAAAAAAAAAAAAGATATGCACCTTTCGTCTGCTGGTGCTGATTTCTTCGGGCAGCCCGTGAAGAAACGGACCGGTGAACATCATTTTCCATTGATTACAGCCTCTGTTCAAACGAGTTGTGCTTATTTTTCACAGAAGCAACGCTAGGAGTGGTGGGAATCGCGGAGATCTGATCTTGAAACTCTGATTTCCAGTGATGCTTGAAAGAAAATTAATGGAACGCATGAGTGTTACTGTATCGAGATCTGCCTTTGCAATGCGAGCGAAATGGTTTCTATGAAAAGATTGATTGTTGAAGAATTGATTTCAACGATTTAACTCTTTTGTGAATATTAACTGTGTTGGTTTTCATTTTGTTGAATCCAGGTGCGAAGAAGATGACAAGTTTAATCCAAATTGAAACCGAGCGAATTCATTTTCAATTTTTCATTCATTTTTCTTACGGGTATGGGTCGGGTCGATTCGGGTCGGGTTGAGTCATGTCCGGATATATACCCGTTTATATGATTGAAGTAAGCAAGATTTTATTTATTAATTATCCAAAAAAAAAAAGTTTAACAAGATTTATTTATTTCTTTACATTTATTTTTCCTAGTAATGTTTCTTTAGATTTTTTATTTTTTTTGAAAAAGTTTCTTTAGAATTTCAACATATGATAAAATTTCTTCTATTCAATATTATCTTATACTATTGTAATAGATTAATAAAGTAATAAAGATATGGAACACTACAAATTGGATAAGTTGGCCAAATAATTCGGTACTTGGGAAAAAAATGGCATTTCGACTAAAGGTAAATTACGGCTACTTCTTCAGGTAAAGTTAAATTACGAGAGGTCTATTGTTATGGTATCAAATTCAACATAATTTTCTAGATTCTGCGGAATATTTTCTAGTTTGTACTTGTTTTGTGCAAAAATACAGTTTCAGATGCACCACAATCTATATTTACAAGTCAGGAGACACATATCTTATGATCATCATCTTGTTTCAAAACGTGAAGCTTGAATGAGATAAAACGGGCACAAACTCTAGAATATTTTCACATAATCTATGAGATTCAACTAAATTTAACACCACAACAGTAAACGTATAAGAAGATCTATAATCGAGTGGATGGTTATAATTACCGAACACCAAGGACTTTTCCGTAATTTAATTTTATTCAAGGGCGGCGGTAATTTACCCTTCGGGTAATTAGCTTGGTTTGATTATGAGTAAAACCAATGGCAAAGTATACATCGTCGGAGGGATATTGATATGTTAATGTTCGCCCAAACCCCCAAATTCATTTCCTGGAAATGGCAGAGAGAAACACACAGTACACACAGTAGCATTGGTATCAGTTGTTCTTCGTCTTTTTCGCGCTGCTCGTTTTCGTCTTCTCCATCCCAACGCCCACTAAGGTACCTGCTACTCATTTTTTTCTGATTTTTTTTTATATATATATTTTTTTCAATTTCACTCAAATTGTTCGTAGAGTATTTAATTTGTTTACTGGAACTCATTTTTCTATGTCTTGTGTTATTATTGATACTTAATTGTTAGGTATGCAGTTCTCGGCGCTGGCTTTGCTGGCTTATCCGTGGCTTGGAACTTGCTTCAGGTACTCTTAATTTTATATATATATATATGTATGATATATATACTGATATACATGACTGTGTGTGAGTTGTGTGTGTGTGGGTGGGTGAAATTGTGTGTTTTTTCGGAAGATTTTCGTGCCAATAATCTAGAGAATAGAGACGATTATTTGAAAATAGGGCATGTTTAACTTGAAGATACTATCAAAATTGATGACTGTTCATGGATGTGGCATAATATTGACAGCACGGTTGTAAGGAATCGCGTATTTGCGTTGATATTTACGATGAAGCCGGGATTGGTGGAGGTGCGTCCGGAATTGCTGGCGGTCTTGTACATCCATATTCACCAAAAGGTCCGTTCAATTTTTCGTCACCTCTATTTTCTGTCGTGTGCATTAGTTTTTTATTTATCCGTTGTACTTTATAGACGAGTTACGAGAGATTTAAATACGAGGATAGCTTTCTCGCTGAGTTGTAATTCAGTGTACTGTTTTCAGTCAAGCTTCTTTGGCGAGGTGCAGAGTGCTGGAACGAGAGTTTAAATCTCATAAATATTGCCGAAGAAGCACTTCTTAATAAGCTAGTAAATGAGGGGAAATTTGAAACTCCGAAAAACGGCGAATCCCCTATAGTCCGGAGAAGGTTTGTTGTCCACCTATTTAAATAATAAATTGATAGTATTTTTTTATAATTGAATAGGTGTGTACACACTTTGTACTAATGCTTTCTTCGTTTTCGATATATTGATAAAACACTAAAAGTTTATGTTAAGAGTTAATTGTTTATTCTCAGAGGGATCTTAAGGCCGGTTGTGAATTCGAAGAACGTGAATATAATGACAGAAGTAAGATCTTCTAAGCTACCGAATTATTTATGCAATTTTTAGTTCGACTTCTCGCTGACGCAAAATTCATCTTATTTTGACCGATTAGAATGCTCGGAATTGTTTAGATAATTGCAGAATTGAGCCGATCAACGAGGAAGCAGCTCAAAAGCTTGTCCCTAATCTGTCGTTACCTTTAAACTTGGCATTTTATATGCCGGACGCTTTGAACATTAATGCTCAAAGATACCTTCAGGTTGGAGGAATATGCTCAAGTGTCTGAATCGAAATTCGTTTATAGTATTTTTTTAATATTGTGTCATTTTTTGTTTTGTAGGGTCTATATTTAGCATGTGAAAATCTAGCGAATGAAATGTCTGGAAATTTGAGTTTTCACCGGAAATCTGTCCCGAGTTTGAAAGAACTAGCAGGTAAATCTTATGAATCTGAAATAATTTATTTTTGAGAGTTTACAAATCAAACTGACATAAATATATGCAGGGGAATACGAGGCAGTGATTATCTGCTTAGGAGCCCGATCGGCCTTTCTTCCGGAACTTTCGGGAAGGCTGCCTCTGAGGGCATGTAGAGGCATCATTGCTAAACTGCAACTTGGTGATGAAATGAGGTAGATTTTAGTGTTTCTTGTTTAAGTTTATCTCGATTATTTTGTCACTGGGGATTGCTTCTGTTGACCTAAAGCAAGTCCATGGGGGACAAGTCACTTGATTTTAAGATGCACTCGATTTTGAGATTCCATCAAAGATGCTCTTTCCTGTTAGGGGTGGAAATTGGGATGGAATTTCCGATTACCGCTGTTTCCGATCCGAAATTTTTCGATTTTGGAACAATATTTTTCATTCCTGAGTTCCAAAAATTCTTTTTACCAACTTTTCCCTATTTTTTTGATCTCCCGGGATTGGAATTTATACAAGATTCCGATTTTCGATTCGATTTTAATTTCTGAAATAGTTCGGAATTCTTCCCCCAAAAATTACACTTAAAATCGGATTTTTTTTCCGAAAGTGCTAATTTTGATCCGATCACTTGTTCAGTCTGATTTCGACCACCATTAATATTAGTGAAATGCTAAAGTTAATATCTTTGTATGGATTTATGTTTAAAAAATGATCTTTTCATTTGCAGAGAAGAATATCAAGAGCACAGCCCCTCGATTCTATCAGATGCCTGGCTAGCAGTACACGGACCCCGCAATATAGATTTAGGATCCACTTGGGATTGGAAATCGGAGAACTACTCGCGTGACATCACATCCGATGAAGCTTCCAATTCTATTGAAACCCTAATCGGAAAGGCATCTTCTGTTTATCCAGCTGTAAGAAATTGGACAGTAACTAGAGCAGTTGCAGGACTGAGGGCAATGCCACCGCTCACTGAAAATGGATCGCTTCCAATTTTGGGTCGCTTAGATGAATGTATCGATTTGGGGCATTCTTGTAAATATTGGTTATTTACGGGGCTTGGTGCAAGAGGTTTATTGTTCCATGGTTGGCTTGGCAAACTTTTGGCAAGAGCTGTGATCTCCTGTGATGAGGATTTGCTCCCTTGTGAATTAACATCGTGGAAGCATAAAATGCACCGGTAAATAATTAACGTTCTCTAATGAGATGGTTTACGACAAAATTAATAATTAATTTAGATTTGTTCCCTACAATTTCTTCATCTTCTTTTGCTTGCTTAGCTCCACAAACTCGGACGGATCGGAATTAGCACTCTAAAAAACTAATTCCAATTAGTTCCAAAAACATTCAGAAAAATTGGGATTTTGGGAAATTGGAATGAAAGATACTTGTTTCAAAATTGGAATTTTTGGAAATATTTTGAAAAATTTAAATCATATAGGAAATCGAAATGTAATATGTATTCAATTATATTCCAAGAAAATCAAAAAACCGAAATTTGCAACGAAAAATGTTATTCCAAAAATTGGAAATATTCGGATCGGAACCGGTGAAATTCGAAAATTTCACCCCAAATTCCACCCCTACCACAAACACCATCAAAGTTGAACAAATAAACAGATTAAAAAAACGAGGAAAACATAAAAACTCGCTAAAATTACAGTTTAAATACACCCGAGTAATACTAAAGTTACAACATAGTCATAACGCAACTACATGCAAAGCAAAGATGCGTCACGAAATCATTAAAATTGAAACTACCTAGTTTCTTTTGATACCTAAAATATAAGCATCTTGTGATCTTTCTCCATTCTCACGACTGAGTCCAAATATAAACCTGACCTCCACCTGTGGCGCCTGCAAGCATACCTACATTGTATGGATGTGCCTCGTAACGGCATGTAATAGCAGACACCAGATCACTTCCTAAAGTAGTAACTGTTTTTGCCTCCTCAACAGAGATAACATCGAGTCCTCTCTTCATATTACCAATGTAGATGGAAGAATCGTCCCAACCCCATATGCCTCTGTTTTTCGACCGTGCATTGCATAAGAAAAAAAGGAAAAGAAGAACGGGATGCTGTTAACTAAATTAATGCCTGTTATTTTTCATGTTTATCGAGTCAAACTATGTGTTCGTTTCTTGAAAGAGGAACTAGACAAGTTTGAAGTCAAGACAGATTCATCGAAACCTTTCTTAAACAAGAGAGAATTGTTATACCTGAATGTGGAAATCCAACAGCCTGTTCGGTTATAATGGTACACCATAGATGTATCCTCGTAATTAGCTCCACTTGATAAACCAACTTTGTCGTCAAGACTGCAGGAACAGATAAAAATGAGTATTATAATTGCACAAGTCACTTGAGAAAGAAATGCTTGTAGCCACTTAATTTGATACAAGAAAAAAATACTCAGCATCGTATGCTATATATGCTCCTTCCGCCTCGACATTTAACTATAACCTCCAATAAGTATCAAGACTTTAGTGGTTAGATTTTAGAGATATTACGTATAAAGATAAGATTTAACATCATCAGCATCGAAACAACTTACTTAAGATCACTTTGTTTTAACTCATATTCTTGGATTTGGAAGACTATTTCAGGCAAAGAAACTAATCATTTCGCTAAGTTAAGATCTTCAAGAAAAACAGTTCCATGAATTCTATAACCCAAAAGACACTGAAAACAAATAAAAAAACGAAGGAAAAAACCACACTGCATCATTTAAAAAAAAAAGTTAAAAATTGAATACTATTATTGCAACATGTATTAAGCTCAAAACAGACCTTGTTGTTGCCAGAAACTTTCCAGTGGGAGAAAAGTAAGCAGAGTGGACAGCTCTTTTATGACTAACAATCTTCAAAGGTGTTGGTTTAACTGCATTAATGCGTCTCAGATCCCAAATGCGAGCAGTGTTATCTGAGGAACTTGTAGCCATGATGTTTTCGTTTTCCGAGTTAAAGTCTATGGTGTTGATTCTTTCATCATGTAAGTCGCACTTTAAACATGATTTTCCTGCTCTCACATCCCACTTATTGACTCCACCCCTTCCCTCGCTAAAGTATAAAGATTTTACGTCATGTGGACTCTGGGACATTGAGTATACAGTGTAATCACTGTAATAAACCATATCAAATATCTCTTTCTCCACATCCATCAACCTGATAAACCCATCATAGCAAGAAGTGTACATCTGCATACAAGTAATAATAGGAAAATTTTTTATGTTATAAACAAAACACGGAAACTGCCTGATAAAGACGACCATAATGAATAATGATTTCAACTCTCCAATTAAGCCAAAAAAAAAAAGCCGACACATCTCGGGTATACATACATACCTTTGATATGCAAAATGGATCTATTACAATCCCAGATATAGGCCGCGAATGCGGGTGGTACAAATAAATCCCACCACCACCTTCGTTCTTGCGATTAACATTCCAAAAACCAACATCTCCAAATTTGTTACCAGCAACAACCATTTCCATATCTACTGTGGGAAAAAACTTCAAACTCATAATTCTACTTGGTACTACCCGTGCAATGTTCTCGGGTTTCAATTGGAATGCGTTCACATCTATCGAACCCGTTAACCTTTTTCCGGGTATGAATTTTTCAAATTCCTCACTTTTCTCCAACTTAACAGTGGAATCACGAGGACCTTTATCCCCATCACTCGACAAAACAGATTTTTTAGAACATTGCAAAATGGTTCGTATGAGCTTCTGGTTCAACCCATCATCACCACCTAAGTATGTTCCGCTCATTTTAAGGGGTCCTTCCACCTCAGTGGATTCCCTCGAATTCCACTGAGGGTTTTTAAAAGTCAGCTTCCGACCGGTCAAATCATCATTTGGACCACTGGCAGTAGCGGCATCAGGCGGCACCCCTCGACTCCTGAGGGAGCGGCGCAAAACCACAGGGCTTTCAGATCTAGGCTTCTTTACGGGGCTCCGTTTGGAGGATTTACTCTCATCCCTGCCAAATCACACATTCTTAACATCACAAATACTGTTTCGATAATTTCTCGATTATCAATCAACCAATTACATAGCAGTAAATCCCAATTGAATGGCCATTTTTCGGACGAAATTGTTGAAACAAACCTAGGGTTTTATGTGGAACAAAAAGAAACAAAATTTCCCCAGATGCAACGAATAATTGAGATCTAAACACATACGGAGGAAGAATCCTGAATACCTCTGGCGCTTGGAGGCGGCCGCGGCGGCGGATAGGTCGTTGAGCCTCGAGTGAATTTTGAGCGCCGCCACCATTTCGTCGTTCCGCTTTATGTTTTCCAGTCTCCGCCGCTCGTACTCTGTCAATTTCTCCCCCATTTCAATTCAATTCGCCCAACCGTCGGAGGTTTCAGTCGATAATTTTCCGGTGGGAGTACAGTAATCAATTTTTTTGAATGATTTTCGCTGACTGCCCGCCCAGGCGGCGCGTAACCCAATTAGGAGGAGAGAGATTCTGAATTGGCGCGAAACCACTCTATATGATGACGTGGCATGTTCATGGCCCGTTAAACTAAGCCCATGGATTCTTCCTTCACTTCGGGTCCATGTATCGGGCTGGCCCATTTTTTATTTTTATTTTATTTTTTCCTTCCTTTTTTTAATGTTTTATTTATATTAATTCCATATTAATTCTAAATAATATATATTAATAGTACTTACATAATAAAGTAATTCATTTTTTTTTTTGACATATCCAATATTTGTTTTATTAATAACATTCGCAGAATAAAAATAACAAGTATTATTAAAAATACAAATTTTATCAGAAATCAGCCCAAAAAAAAAAAGGAGTTACACAGCAGTGATTATTGATTTATTCCATCTTCCCCCCAAAACCTTATTTTCAACACCCCTACAAACTCTACCATAAAAAAAAAATGAATTGCCACTTGTGAATCTTTCGATTTCACGCGTCTTCGTCGTCTCTTGTTCAACGTCCTCCAATTTCTTCCAATTACTTTTTAGACAGTGTAATGTTGCTGGATCGTCTCGATATCCAACCCCTTCAGCTTCACCACCGACTCGACGTGCCCTTTAAGCGTGTGAAGCTCCCTCAGCCTGCATGTATCGATCATGAATTTCTCTCGTAAGAATATATAAATTTTTTTTGTTTTTTTTATTTTAACGTTTCTATCGCGTACACATCACATACCTTGCAACTTCAGCTCGTCGTTTAGCTTGCTCTGCGATTTCCGACAATTCTCCGTAGTTCTTGTCGTGAAGAAGGGCCGGAGTTTCTCCGGCCGATAGGCCGTGTAGGGTTCGCTGCGCCACTGCCCATTGTGCTTCTCTCTCGCCTCTACCGTAATCCTTCTTCGTTGTGAAAGCAACCTGTTTTTTTTTCCGCAAAAACAAGAAATGATTAATAATTTGTATTGGAAGATATATAGATAGCAAATGTTGATTTGATTTATGTAAATTCATAATTATTATACGTACCCTGTTCTGGATCATTGAATCCCAAGCTTTGCCGGTTAACGCATATCGGATAATGAACTTCAAAACGTCGAGTGGGAAGTAAGTGACAATGCTGTAGATCCAGATAATTCCGGCCCACCCCCATCCAATGCCTTGAATTCTTGCAAATCCCCAGTTTGCATACACAGCAATAATTGTAGCCACCTGAAATATTAATTACAAACTTTAAATTTATTGATTCTTTTTTTTTTAAATGAATTATTATTGTTTTTTCTGTTTTTTTTTTTTTAATGGGGTTTGCTTACCAACTGGGCTATCAAGAAAGCACTCATGAGCAAGAAACCGGGGCGTTCGACGAAAGACCAGCTTCTTGACCTCGTCACGAAAATGAGGGCTTGACTGATAATACTCACTTGAAGGTATAGAGCAGCAGTCAGCTCGTCTGGACTGTTTCTTAGGGACCTAACTTTAAATTTTTCCTATTAAAAAAAAGAGAAAAAACAAAGGTAAGTATTATTACACTTTTCGGACATAATTTAATTTTTGTGAAATATTTCCGAAAATTCCAGTTCTTTTTTTCGAACATTACACTTATAAAATATTATTATGTATTTATATTATAGATGAATGAAAATTCCGAATTCCGCCATTTTGAAACAGGTTTTTTCATTCCAATTTTCGAAATTTCGAGTTTTTTGGAACGGAATTGGAATTAGTTTTTCACTTCCGAAAAAAAAAATGGATTTTTTCCGAAGCTGCTAATACCAATCCGAATAAGAAATAATATACTCACAGAGAAGAAGTCGGTGTCGGCGGCCAAGTAAAAGAAGACGACAGTCATAAGAGCCATATAACTCCCAAGCACAACTCCAGTAGCGAAAATCTCTTTCAACTTCCACGAGTCCGGCAAGGGAGAAGGCTTCACCCTATCCTTCGAAATGGTCATGATAGTCCCGTCGTTCAGAATCGCAATAATCAAAACCATAAAAGGCGAAAAATCAAATTTCCACAAAAGGGCAATCAGCATGAAGCCCATCACGATACGGATCGTAATCGAGACTGCGTAAATCGTGTAGTTCTTCATCCTCTGGAAAATGGCTCTGCTCGTCAGAACTGCACTGACAATCACACTGAGCCCGGGCTCAGTCAACACAATGTCCGACGCGCCCCTGGCGGCATCGGTTGCGTCCGCCACCGCAATTCCGATGTCGGCCTTTTTTAGAGCCGGTGCGTCGTTCACACCATCACCCGTCATTCCGCATATGTGCTTTCTCTCTTGTAGTCTCTTCACAATCTCGTATTTATGCTCTATATATATATATATATATATTATTGTTTTTCGTAATTAGTAACATATTGAATTTTGCATGTTTCTATTTAAAAAAAATTAAAAATAAAAAATAAAAAATAAAAAATAAAAAAATTGTGACCTGGGAAAACCCCGGCGAAGCCATCGGCTTTCTCGATGAGTTCGTCGATCGGCATCGAAGCAATCGACTCGTCTTTGCACTGGCCAAGAAGAGAAGAAGACGGATACATATTTGTGCCCATACCAAGTCGTCTGCCCGTCTCTTTGCCGATAGCTAATTGATCACCGGTGATCATTTTCACATTCACACCTAACTCGAGTGCCTTCCTAATTGTCTCTGCACTATCGTGCCTTGGAGGATCGAACAATGGCAACAAGCCAACAAACTCCCACGGCCCACCGGAACCCTCTTTCGTTTTCTCCGGAACAGTCTGTGAAAAGACATATATACCCCCATAACTCAAATTAGTATTCAAAAAATTATATCTTGTTTGCTAAGACTATGTAAAAAACTCACCTGTCTTGCAATACCAAGAGAACGAAGACCGCGGTTTGCAAAATTATCGATGATATCATGAGCCTTCTTTAGAACAGCCCCTTTGAGTTGGCAAAGCTCGATAATCTATCATTTTTTTTAAGACAGAGTCAAGTCCATGTGTATAATATGTATACGTATATATGTGTATATATATATATATAAATGTACGAGTTAAAGATTGTCTTTTACTTGCTCAGGAGCACCCTTGCTACTTCTATGCCAGTTTCCTTGAGCGTCGTAATACGTTATTGCAGTTCGTTTTTCCACCGGGTTGAAAGGCAAGAAATGAACCTCTGTAATGCCAGCTCTTGCCTGAAAAAAAAGAATAAAAAAAAAAAAAAAAAGCTCACTACAAAAATATGCAAGTTTTCAGACATCATTAATTTTCGCAAAAAAAAAAAAAGAAAAAAAGAAAAAAAGTACCTCCTTTGGATCACTCAACATGTTAACGATGGAAGCATCGATAGCATCTTGATTCTCTACCCTCGAAGCACGTGCGGCGAGCAAGATGACAGTGTCCTTGTCAGCATTATCTGGGAATACCTCGATCAAGGTTTTGTCGACTGTGAGTTTGTTTAAGGTGAGTGTTCCGGTTTTGTCACTGCAGAGGACATCCATGCCAGCCATTTCCTCAATGGCTGTCATTCTCTTGGTGATAGCGCCCTGCTGTGACAGACGGTGGGACCCGATGGCCATGGTGACAGACAGGACTGTCGGCATAGCGATCGGAATACCACCGATGAGGAGCACCAGCAGGTTGTCGATTCCTTCTCTGTATTTCCTCCTCTGAATCGGGTACATCACTACAATCTCGATAATCATTCCCAATGCAATTGAGCAGATGCAGAAGTTTCCAATTGCAGTCAACACCTAATTATTTAAAAACTATTAGTAATAATAATCGAAATCAAATATAAATCATTTAGGACGAGGAGTGCAAAATTCGAATGGAAATTTTAAATTCACTCGATTTCCGATTTTGGAACGATGTTTCAATTCCGAATTCTGAATGTTCCGTTTTTTTTTCGATTTTGTTTTGTGGAACGGAATTGGAATACATATTATATTCCGATTTCCGATCCGATTCTAGTTTTTCCGATCTTCTTGAATATGTATATATATATATATATATACCTTTTGAAAGTGGCCGACGTTGTTGGTGCTGTCAACGAGATGGGCGGCCTTGCCGAAGAAGGTGTGGACTCCGGTGGCAATAACAACAGCCTCGATCTCACCTTGCTTGCAGGTGGAGCCGGAGAAGACCTCCGCTCCGGGGTGTTTGGTCACCGGAAGAGATTCTCCGGTGAGCGCCGATTGGTCGATCTTTAAAGGGTCCCCTTCCAATAGACGAGCATCGGCAGGGATAATATCCCCTAGTTTGACACTGATCAAATCTCCCGGAACCAGGATCGATGCATCCTGCTCACTCCATTTGCCATCTCTCAAAACCTTTTTTTTCCAATCACCACCGAAATCGAGATCAGTTCAATCCAATAACATGTCAATAACGAATCGATAATGAAGAAGAGTCGGAAATCACCTTAGTTTTGGGAGCAAGACCAGCCATAAGGGCAGCAGCCGCATTTCCAGCGTTGTTTTCTTCGATGAAACTTATGGTGGAGTTGATAATCAGCAGCACGAGAATACCGACGAAATCTTGCCAGTCCGGCGGCTTGCCCTGCATTTCATTTAACAATTAATCGATGTCACAAAATAAGTAGGCGAAAATATATGAAATTTATACCCCTCCATTGGCTAAAACAATGGCCATAATGGCAGCAGATTCCATGACCCAAGAAAGAGGATTCCACATAAAGCCCAAAAACTTCAAGAATTTGCTCTCTTGCTTCTCCTCTAGCTTGTTCGGGCCGAAAATATCGAGCCTTTTCGCCCCTTCTTCCGATGTCAAACCCTCCCTCGTACATTTTAACTCGGCGAACACTTCTTCAATGGGCATATGCTCCTTCACGCATCAAACACATCAAACATTAAAATCACAAAAAACCAAAAAAAAAAAAAAAAAAAAAAAAAAAAAACACAAGTGTTCTATTGTTTTTCGTTTTCATGTTCTCAGAGGCATTTACACAAACACTTACAAGGTCAATCGTTTCATTCTTAATCGCCTCTAACGAAATGTCTGACGCCATTTTTTCTTTTCTTTACAGGAAGAAGAAGAACAAATCTCTGTATCCCCTCTCGCTAATTTTATTTATTTATTTAATTTATTTATTTTTTATTTCCTCTCTCTTCTTTACAGGCCCGCCATGCAAGAAACAAAACACAGACAATTCAGACAACTGTGGGTGGTGGAGCTTTTTAAAGGCGCATTCCCACCTCTATATTTAGCAAATTCTCGTTCGCATTAGCTACTCTAAAATGGCGGACGATCGAACATTTTCTAACCTATCATTTTCATTTGGTATTTAAAAATAAATAAATAAATAATATGTGTTGAGGAATTGAAGCTTCTTACCTTAAAATGTGGGTTTCCATTACAATCAGGAACTTGATTGAAACCGAGTATCTTACATTACAACCACAATCAAATATATCTTGCATTATAACCCCAATCAAAGATTTTAATTTGATATTATGATATATATACATATGTCATATGTGTGTATTGTAAGTAAATATACACTTCTCCTTTTTTTTTTTTTTTTTTTTTTTTTTTTTTTTTACATTATATCGAAAATGAGAGCTTATTGCCTTTACTACCCCTGTAATTTGAGAGCTTATTGCATTTACTACCCCTGTAAGATTTTTTTTTCCCCTGTTATAAGAAATATTAACAAATATACCCCTATTTTTATTAGTCAAATATTTATAGAAAGTAAGACAAATATATAGAATCTAGATCAATAAATAGGATGTATGAATAAAAAATAAATAGTAATAAAGATGTGATTAAGATCTTCTAGAATTCTAATTGAAATTAATATATATTTTTTTTTTAATGAATGAATTTATAATAGATTTTAAATCTTTACACTCTTATTACATAAAACGAAATTATTTTATAGGTTTCGATTCTATTCCTTTTTCAGGTTCGATTATTTACCCTTTGCGCCATACGTAATCGAAGAATTCAATTTTTCGAAAGTAAAAAATCATACCAATATTTTGATATTCAATTATTCATAACCGGCTCCATGTTTCGGTTTTCGATTTTTTTCCTCACCCGTAAGCCCGATGATCATAAAGCATATGGGCTTTGCCAAGCCCGGAATATATATATATATGTCTTTATTCTTGACATTTGCTTTAATTAAAAAAAAATTGTTAATAAAATTGATCGGTTCGAGTTTGCCTGTTGTCACGGACTTTACGATTCGTCCCCGGCACAAGTTGAAAAGGCGAAATATGATATAATGAATTTTGACATCAGTTTTGAACCAGCTTAGCAGTTATCGAACTTCCAAAGCAAATTATAGCAAGATATTGACACTAGTTTCAGACAAGAGCGGTCAAACGAGGACAAACATTTTTTTAAGGAACTCCGCTCCCAAAGAAAGAATCAAAACATAGTTATTCATAAAAAAAAAAAAAAAAAAAAAAGGATAATTGTGTCGTTTACGTTGTATTAGTGAAGCTGTATTATAAACATATATAAGCATATTCCAGCATGCTATATTCTGTAGTAGTAGTGTGACCAATCCAAGAATAGAAACTAAAAAAAAAAAAAAAAAAAAAAAAAAAGGGTATCATGGCGGCCAATAACAAAACCTTTTCACTCTCTCTTTCCTTGATGATCACTACTCTCTATGTAGCCACGTGTCTTGCTAGAGATCTTCCTTATAATAACGTTGCAGTTCTGATTCCGATTCCGCCTCCGCCTTACCACGGCGTAAAAGCCGCGTACTGGCGGTCATGGGAGGCGCAATCCCTGCCGCCCTCCGCCATCCCGACGCCGTACTTCACCCACGTCTTCTACGCTTTCCTTCTAGTGGACCCCACCAGCTTCCAGCTCCTCATCACGCCGAACGACGAGCAGTGGATGGCGGCGTTCACCGCCGCCCTCCACGGCTCCGCCCCGCCGGCCAACGCCATCCTCTCCATCGGTGGGGCGGGGGCGGACCCTGTCGTTTTCTCCAACATGGCCGCCAGCCCGGACAACCGGGCCGCCTTCATCCGGTCGTCGATCGACACGGCCCGAAAGTACGGGTTCGACGGCCTAGATCTCGACTGGGAGTTCCCCCGGGACCCGCAGGATATGTCGAACCTCGGCTCCCTATTTAGAGAGTGGCGGTTAGAAGTCAACCGGGAGTCGTTGACTTTCTCGGGCCGTAGGCCCACGCTACTTTTGTCGGCCGCAGTGTACTTCTCCCCCCACGTGTTGTACCCGGGGAATATTCCCCGGACTTATCCGGGGGAAGATATTAGGAGCTCCCTCGATTTCGTGGGGCCCATGTGCTTTGACTATCACGGTGGGTGGGACCCGCACCAGACGGCGGCCCACGCACTATTGTACGACAAGACTAGCAACTTGAGCACTAGCTACGGGGTTTCAGAGTGGAAGGGGGTGGGTGCCCCCTCGGGGAAGATAGTTATGGGGATGCCGGCTTACGGGCGGACATGGCAGTTGGAGGATCCAAATCAGCACGGGATTGGGGCCCCGGCTGTGGGGGTGGGCCCCGGTGGAGGAGTGATGGTGTACTCGGATATTGTGGGGTTCAATGCGGAGAATAATGCCACCGTGGTTTTCGATAATGCGACGGTGTCGACGTACTCGTACGCCGGGACTAATTGGATCGGATACGATGACGCTACTTCGATCGAGTATAAAGTGAAGTTTGCTAAGGCTCAGGGGCTTGGTGGGTATTTTTTTTGGGTACTTGGTGATGACAGCAATTGGGCTCTTGCTAAAGCAGGTATAGTAGTAGTAATAAACCTATCCCATAATCTCACATTTAGACAACTAATTGTACTTCATTAATTTAATTTTATCCATTTTTGCATTAATTAGATTACTGATATTTAATTTTTTTTTATTTGTTGTGTATTGTTTTTGCAGCTTCCATGGCATGGGACAGTGAGAACTGATGATGCATTCATATGAATTTGCACAACAATATATTCTTTGTTCTTTTCTTCATTTGTGTTCGTTTGTAATATATAATTAATGTGTAATGTTGTTTATTTTTTTTTATAAGATATAAATATATATTGTTTGTTATTAACAAGTCTCTGTAATTTAAATTGACTGTTTGTACTCTTGTCGAAACTAAATCTCATTGAAAATAAATAAAAATTGAATGAAATACAACACACAGAAAGTGGTACAAAGATATCAGTGACTACTTATTAACCAAATAATTCTTCAATGAGACCACAAGTGCGAAGCTGCAAAACAATAAATTAAATTAAAAAACAGAACATGTTAAAAAAAAAATCATACGCAATATAAAAAATAAGCACAAAATGCACTTCCCCCTATAAATATCCCATTTTGACATTTTCTACAGTAAAAATTCAGAAAATAGATAACCCCTAGAAATACTGATTTGGTTGCACTTGATCCAAAAGTCTATTTTCGGTGGACATTGTGCAACGAAAGTAACATTTTAAATGGACAATGTGCAGAAAAATAGTGTTTTTAAGGGGCAATGTGCAATCAAAAAATATTTAAAGGGGCAACGTCCAATAAAAACACTCAATTTTGGCTAATAATTCATTGGAATTTTGCTATCGGGCCAATGTGCAACAAGTATAACATTTTAAAGGGGGACATTCACTTTTTCTAGGGGGTAAATTGCGAAAATTAAAAATTTATAGGGGGTGACATGCAATTTTCCCTAAAAATAATACCGAATAATAAATTATATATATATATATATATATATATATATATATATATATATATATATATTTATTTATTTATTTTTTATTTTTTTTTAATTTTATTTACCTCTTTTCGAAATTTTCCACTTGTAATCGCCGTTGACAGCCCAAAAGAAGTAACCACGAAGCCCAAGCCCACGAGCGTACCCAATTTTCACAGTAACCGACGTCGTATCGTCGTACCCAACCCAGTAGTTTCCCGCCACGGAATAAACCGACACCGTTTCGAGCTTCGCCGGATCCGCCGACGGAGAAGAGTGATTTGGGCGGCGGTTTGTTTCCCCGGAGGGATGACGTGAAATTGAGGAGGCGGAGGGATTCCGCCGGGTCGATTTCGAATTTGAAAGTGACGTTGCTCGGATTGATGAATGCGTAGTAGATGTGTGTGAAGAGCTTTGTGTTAATGGAAGATGGGCCGAAATCTTCAGCCCATGAAGGAAAGTAGGCGCCTCTGACCGCCGCCGCCGCCGCCGCCGGAGAAGCTGATAATTGGGAAGCCATGGCAGCAGTACATGCAACGAATATCGAAAATGTGCAGAATTTGAGAATTTTGATCAGGTTTGCAGCCATTGTTAAGTAACTTTAATTTGCCAATATTCAGTATGCATCCAGTATACAGTATATATAGAGAGAGAAATACGTATAGTGTATGTATGCGGATGTTCAAAATATTGTTTACGTAAAATTTGGATGTTGTGTTTGTATTTTGAAAATGAGTACTAATATATAAAAAATAGGGTAAATTACAAACATCCCCTGAGGTATTGTCGAATTACAAAAACACCCCTCTTGTTTGGATAATTACATTCACCCCCTCAACTCCTCAAATTTAGTGGAATCTTCAAGATTATATAGAATATTATCACTTTTGTACCCGTTTTATCCCATTCAAACTCTACATTATGAAGCAAGATGATCATAATATGTGATTTTTAGCTTGTATATATCAGTTTGTGGTGCATCGAAAATTGTATTTTTGACACAAAACGAGTACAAACTAGAGCACATTTCACGGAATCTAGATGACTATGTTGAATTTGGCACCATAAAGGTGGAGGTCTAAGAAAAAATCATAGTCGAGGGGGTAGATGTAATTATCCAAACAAGATGGGGGTTTTTGTAATTTGACCATACCTCAGGGGGTGTTTGTAATTTACCCATAAAAAATATGGTCACGAGTTGAATAGTAAACAACAGTTGACTCACTGAGTTATACTTATTTCACCACCCTAGATTCTAGAAAGCCGCCCGGTTTCATTGATAAGTATATTTAGGACCTGTTCAACGTTTTTATGAAATATTGAAATTAATCTATGTTAGGGTTTATTCTTTTGCATTGATTTAGTCTTCATTGATTTATGAAGAGCTTGTCGTTGTCCTTTTAATTGATACATTAACGCGTACATCAGGTGATTATTAACTGTTAATTAATCTGCACATAATCACACATACTCATGAGTCATGTGTATGTGTACTTAGTGGTGGCTATTTAACAACATCAATAGTTGAAAATCAACTGGCGCAAATAATCTAGTGTAGCATCTCAATGACCGATAATTAAATAGTAATTTAGTTTTCATTTTTTACTAATGTCTGTTTTTGCTTGTCATACTGTCTTAACATTTTCTACTAAGCAAATTGTTTAAGTAGTCTCTCTCTCTCACACACTCGTTATTTTTTTATTTATTTTTTGATGGGTCACACACTCGTTATTTATTTTATTTTTTTTTGAGTAAATTCAAGTCCATTACAAGGGGAAATAGGGGTGGGGGGGACTCGAACCCTAGACCGTTACCCTATTGGTAAGGGCTAGGTACCAACTCTCCTAGCGTCAAATTTCAATCAAGTGTATGTACTCAAGTCAAAAAGAGGGTAAGAAATGAACAAACATATATAGATAAAATAATCATGTACGTAACATACATAATTCCTTGTACAATCTTTTTAACCTTTTTTTATATATTAAAGCATCTAACGTTATTGAGAGGCAATTTGCCTAGTCTTGTAAGCATGTGTTTGAAGTTACATAATTTGATTCGGTCTAGGCGATTCAAATTCGGATACACCCCACATTTTTATTTAAAATTGAATATCAAATGTCTCGTAAGGGATGACCTAACAATTCGAATAAGTGTGTCAGTGTTAATTGACTCAAATTCGAACTCTTATGCAAATGGTAGCTAGATCGAGATTGTTAACATAATATAGTTTACATCTCTCGAATAATTTGCAAGCTATTATACTAGAGTATATATATATATATATATATATATATATATATATATATATATATATATATATATATATATATATATATATTGAAAATTGATGAGAATAAGTATATTTGGGCCCATCTAGATCATGGGCTTGGACTATACGAGCCGGGCTTTGTTAATTGGGCGATGTTCATAATCATATATAACTCTATTAATTTATTTAAGTGTATTTATATTAGTTGGTAATTTAGTTTTGGAGTCCAAATGTAAATTTTCATTTAAACCGTGGATTTTTTTTAGAAGATAAATCGTGGATGTGATCTGCTGGCTTTCCATTGTTTTTGAATGAATCGTTCGGAATTGATCCGCCATTTCATTTTCCATCGTGAGTATTTTCTCCAATCGACTCGCATTTCCACTGCCTTTAATCTGTTTGTTTAAATGCGCAAAAGAAACCAACGCTTGTGTATCTTTATGCATGCCTTTTCATTTCTTTTCTCGTGTTCAATTGTCAAAATGTGGGGTTGTTCTTGTTAACACCATTTTAACTCCTGAACTTGCTTGGCTGATACGGGGTAGTTCATCATGTATACTGTTTTGTTAAGAGAGAGAGAGAGAGAGAGAGAGAGAGAGAGAGAGAGAGAGAGAGAGAGAGAGAGAGAGAGAGAGAGAGAGAGAGAGAGAGAGATGTTTGATGGATTAGTGGATTAGTTTCGGTATGTTCGGTTTCGATTTCGGTTTTCGGGTTCTGGCTTCCGATTTCCGGGTTCCGGTTTGGCTCGGGCTCGGGTCGTTCCGGTTCCGGTTTTGGTTTTGGTTTCGGTTCGGGTTTCGGTTTCGGGTTTTCATCCATGAATTGTTTGTAGGTTCCACATTGGTCAATTTAATAGTGAACTAGAGTGAAGATCTTCAATGTTTACTTATATATACCACGGTACTTATTCTTGATTTTAATTCGATGCCATTTTAGGAATGTGAGAGGATATGCGTAAATGGAGAAATATTAATCACACGCTTCTCTTTACATATCGAAACCTAGTAATAACCTGTGAGGAAGTTAGACTTATTTAACGATATTTGCTTATTGCAATTTTCGAGTAACTACCGAACTCGTTCATTATATTTGTCACTTACTAAGCATCTGCATTCTTTTCGAATCCCCTTCATATAGTTAGAGCCTGATTTTCTTGGTTATTGCCATTTTTAATTCCCTTAAGAATCCTTAGTGAAGAAAAAAATTGAATTATTACATATAATTTTAAAGCATGAAACACTTTAAATAATAGGTTAAGTAACATAAAGAAGAAGCCTCGAAAAATACCTCTTTGGTTGAAGATTGAAGCAATTACCGGGGCATTTCTTGGGTAATTGTCAACATGTTGGCCGAAAAAACTTCTACTTCCGAACTGTATATTGTTTCTTCACGTGAAGTTTTATTTATCGAGAAAGCAGGAATTTTAGGAGTCGGCACGATTTCTGTTTCACTTTTTAGCATCGATGAAACTTCCAACATAGATGGCCTATCTTCCCATTTTTCTTGAACACACAACAAAGCCACTTGCATGCACCTCTTCATTTTGCATGGGGACGAATTATCGTCCAGTGATGGATCCATAAAATCCATGCATTTGTCGTCTTTCCAGATTTCATACGCCTGGTCAAATTTCAGTCAACCGTGTTAGCTTAATTTCCACACGCAACATATTATAAATCGATTCGATCCATATTGGACGGTTTATCGGGTTTTCTTACATGCTCTAGAAGGTTTACATTCTTATGCAAACCGTACAGACATGAAGTCTTCTTCCCACTTAGGATCTGTAGTATAAGTACACCGAAACTGTAAACATCGTATTTTCTCGAGTATATTCCTCCTTTTACGTACTCCGGTGGAACATAGCCACTGTATTTCAAGAAGCATCACAAGAAAGTATTGAAAATGAAAATTTCTAGGGGTGACAGATTTACGAGTCGTTCCACTTACTATGTCCCGATAATCCTGCCTGTGCTCGCTGAATCCTCATCTTTCTCGAAAATTTTAGCTATACCGAAATCGGATATTTTAGGCTTCATTTCTTTGTCCAGCAAAATGTTGCTAGCTTTCAAATCTCTGTGAATTATTGTGACTGCTGAGTACTCCTGGAGATACAGTAGACCTTGAGTAATACCTTCGATAATTTGAACTCGTTTCGGCCAATCTAAGCACAGTCTTTTTACTGGATCTACAATATATATCAATATAAAAGTCAACGCTGTGAAAGTATATTTATAAAGTATCATGCGCTGTCGACGACAGAAAACGTGAGTTAAGGTTGAATCGATGTTTGCATGCTTCTTATATTTTTCCATTTTTTTTTTGTAAATGACAAACTTTAATTTGTTGTTGAAGTGCAGAGGCATTTACTCAATACTAGCATGGAAAAACACTGGCGAGGTTAAGTGATGACTGACCAAAGAGGTACGTATCCAAGCTCCCGTTTTGCATATACTCGTATATCAGCATTTTTTCCTCACTCTCTGTACAAATTCCAACAACTTTGACTAAGTTGACATGTTGTAGTCTTGTTGTAAGTGCAAGCTCGTTCTCGAGCTCCTCTGTTCCTTGTTTAGAACCTTTCGAAAGTCTTTTTACAGCAATTTGAAGCCCGTTTCGTAATTCACCCTAGCAAAAAAAAACCACGTGTCATAAATGCATTTAATGCATTATTGGTAATTGGGGCTTTTCAAATGTATTCTCCGGCGAAATAAATGGATTTCGCCTAATGAAATAAACATTAATATCTTAAGTTTGTCTAGAAGTTGATTTTTGTCTTAAATCCGTTCTTACCTTGTATACAGGTCCAAATCCACCCTCACCGAGCTTATTTTCACATGAAAAATTATTCGTGGCTGTTACTATCTGAGCGAATTTGAACGCTTGCAGATTAGAGCACTCGTTTCTTTTGCCCGAAACCGATTCTCCCTTGACTGAAAGAAAATTTAAAAGCCGAGAGTGCAGTTATTCTTTTTTTCCGTTTTGGAGTGTACAAGTACAACATAATACTATAATGTCGACGGGGTACCTTTTAGTTTTCGTTTCAGGAAGTATATTCCGGTGCCAAGTAGTAGAAGAATGGCTGCAATAGTTGTTGGCAATAGAATCACCACTAGTTGTCGCTTGTTTCTCTGTTCTTCCTCGTCTTCTTGAGCTGAAAAAATGAAGTCGTTAAAGATTGGCTAGACTACATTGTTACTCGTTTTGTACCGTTCGAATCTACGTTGGATTTTTCATCTTCAGACATCGTAAAAGAATATTACAATGTTGCACTTCTAACCTGTCCGGGAGAGACTCCAATCCGTATCATCGTTCGGTATTTGAAAGACACTATAACCAAGAAGACCCTTCTCCTTCGCATAAGTAACTTTTGCCCGTACCGCTTCCACGTCATCGTAACCAATCCAGAAAGATTCAATCTTGCAATAGTTCACAACGTACGTAGAGTTAAACACCGGTTTCACACCATAGCTATTGAGGTACCACTTAATATATTTATAGCTCATCGATCCATCTGCAGTTATAGCAAGCCCTTTCGCAGGTGCACCTATTGCGTAGTCGTTCGGGTTTACTAATGTCCACGCATATCCATGGTAAGGCAAGCCGAGAACCAGTTTCTCGGCAGGTAACCCTCTACGAATCCATTCATGTACCCCGTAATCCGTGCTTATATTGCTGTGCGGATCGTATAAAGCCGCGTGTGCTCCTGTAAAGAATCTATCTTGTAAAGGCACATGATAGTCGAACGACCGAATATGCACCCAATCGAAGTTTCGACTGATTGAGCTCACGGGGTATTCTGTGGACCCCACCACAGGCGAATATTTAGCTCCCAAAGTTAAAATTAAAGGTGAAGTGCTCGAATTCGAACTTTCTCGTTCCGAATTTATTGCTTTTCGCCACTCGTCTAGAAAAGTTTCCATGTTGGCGGTTTTCTCAGGTGTGCTTGGAAGAACGCCGTTAAGATCGAGCCCCGTGAATCTGTTTTGTCGCGCTGTAATAATCGAGGATGCAATGAATGATTTTCTGGTGGACGGTTGATTTGTCATGTTGTAAAATACAGAAGAGTTTGGTGCACCTGCCCATATGGACAAAAGTGTCTTTGCCGATGGATTTCTTCTGTTGACGATTTGTGTGAAGGTCGAAAAGTACGGTTGATCGTTCGGCGAAATATAGATTTCGTAATTGGTGGAATTAATGTGCGCGAATGCGCAGATTAAATGCGTAAACAGTTTGGAATTTATGTCCGGTACCGGGAATTCGCTGCCGGAGTACCAGTAGCCGGATTTAATCCAGGTGTCTGCAGATGAAAAAGTGAGCAAGGAAAGAAGGAGAAGGATATAATTGATTTTGATCATTGTTAATTTTTGAAGGTGAAAACTCAGGCAAGTTTACTTTGATTATTATTAGTCTTGATATTTTTATTACATTTATTATACAGTGTGAATATGATTGTGGAATAATTATGTGATATTTGATACTGACAGCATCGAAAGAGTTTTATGTTCTGAAAATATCTGGGACAGGTGGTCCGAAGAATCGCATTGTAAGTTTCCCAGGTATGTGTAGTCAACAATTACAACTTTTTCCCAACTAACCTTTTTTTTTTTTTAATTTATATATATATATATATATATATATACTTGGATTAACATACAATTGTGGTTGAAGTTTAAGATATTTTACTTTCTCCTTTTTAAATTAAAAAAAAAAAAACTATTAAAAGTAACCTTTACTTTCTATAATTGAATGTTGAAAACAAGTCAAAGTTATTTTTTTGATTATTAGAAGATCATCTAAATTTTGACTAGTTAATTTGAGGGTAAATTACGGTCCTCCCTGAGTTAAGGTTAAGTATAGAAAAAATCATTCATGTTTGAGTAATTATAATTAGCACTCAACTATGAATCTTTTTACACGTACCCTTTTACAGCGTCAAATTTAACAAAATTTAGAAGATTCCGTGGAAATGGTCTCTAGTTTGTACTCGTTTTGTGCAAAAATGTAATTTCTGATGCACCATAATTTGATATTTATAAGCCAAGATACACATCTTATAATCATCTCCGTTTAAAAAATGTGTAGCTCGAATGCAGTAAAACGAGTACAAACTGGAGAGTAGTCTACACAATCTAAAAGATTCCACTAACAAAAAGAGATATGTTAGAAGATTCATGGGGTGGATTGATTGTAATCACCCGAAAAAGAAAAATGATTTTCATAATTTGACCTTGGCTTAGGACTAGAGGTAGTCCTAATTTACCCAAACATCTCAAAATAAAATTTACCTTGAATTTTACCGGTTGGTTAATTGGTCAAATGTCAACAACAAAATCAGGCCTCCAAATATTATGCAATAAATGTAAAGACGTTTTCTAATAATAATAATCATAAAGTCAAATTGCAGGTATTGTATTACAAAATTAATTTTCAAGGTGGCAGCACTTCTTATAATCCTCGGACCAAACAAAACGTTTTACAATTATTATATATGTATGTATATTGACGCATTTTCTACCTGCAATTAATACACACACGCGCAGATATAGAACTCCTCACACAAAACACCCACCGCCACACACATTTACACACACAACTGTGTGTACTCTTTTGAGGGCCTGCTCGGATCTGCGATTCTTGGTGATTTAATATATATACATACATATATATACAGGTTTAGCCTCTCAGCTTGTTTTCTTTTCGGGTTTCTTGATCTTGTTTAATGGTGTACATTTGTTGATTCTTGATTTTTGATTTTTTTTTGCAACATTGAATCGCAAATATAGAAATCACACACAGGAACACATGCCATTTTTCGTGGATCATTTGTTTCAATGAGGTGGCTGCGCGAATTTGTTAATTAGTTTATTTATTTATTTTTTAATTTTCATTTTTATTTGATTACAATTTACATGTAATTGTTTCTGAAACGAATTTTACGATCTGTTTTAAATTTTGTGAAACACATGCATGTTGTGTATCTAATTGCAATTTTCGTGTTTTTCCGGTAGATTCCGAACAAGGGTTTCAGCTGCATGTAATTGTTTAAGCCCAAAAGAAAAGAGGCAAAAAAAAAAGAAACCCTATTATTTAAGCTTTTTTCGTAAGCGAATGAACTTTTAAAACCAATCTGATGTTTGAAAACTAACCTTTTTTTCTGTACATGTGTGTATTCAGATTGTTTGCTTAGCGTAAGCAGAAACGTTTTTATCATGCACGTTCGTATATAAAAGGTTGTACGATGCATGTTATGTGACGTTGATTTATACGCGTTTTGAATTTTCTTTTTGCCGCGGCAAAGGACTATACGAATTTATGATGGTGATTTTGTATACTCTGCATTTTTCTATTAATCATATATATATATATATATATATATATATATATATATATATATATATATGTATATATATATGTATATGTATATATATATATATATATATGTGTGTGTGTGTGTGTGTGTGTGTGTGTGTGTGTGTGTGGTCATCTATATGAGTATAAGACGAGCTCGTAAGTCTATCTCTTAATAGGCATCTTTGGCTGGAAATTTGTCATCGTATATAGCAGCTTACATGATCGACTCGATTATTCTTTTAGCATCCAAGCTATCGTTGCTATCGGTTTTAATTCTTGTTCAGTTTCGTAGTAGATGATTTACAACAATTTAATTATATTCTCTAGTTTTACAACCCTTTTGATGTTTTTTAGTATGGATTTTTTTTCAATTTACGAACACGTATAGTACGCGGTTTTATAAATTCATGACCTTATTTCTATAAATGTACGAAAGGTGAACACCTTGTAGGAGTTTGAATCACCTCATCCCGTTTTTGAAATTAAGTGGGAACCGGAATATACCGTTTAAATCGTTATGAACTTTTAACTTGTATTTGTCTATCTACTTAAATAAAATCGATAGATGTCTGATTTCTTACAACCTGTGAGATCTTCTTCTCTATGTCAGTGCATTGTGTTCATGTATGGGCTCGACATAGTTACACCAATGTCCTAAGTTTGAACGGCTTTTCATTTATGGTGGTAGTTTATTTCCGAACCGTTATTGCACTGATAAAAGAAAAGGAAATAAAGATACGTATACACGTGTAAGAATTTTATACCACCTATCTAGAAATAGAATTCTAAATGCATCTAGTTGCCGCCAATATTTCCCGTTGTTGTGTAAGTTTATTCCAATATAATTTGTAATTGTTCGTTCTTTTCTTGATGAAAATTCGCGTGTGTTGAAAATTAGGCGAAGAAGATTCTATTTGGTCTAGATTTTTCCCGTGTTGTGAAATTTTGCGAGTCGGATTCTGTTTCTGATCTTCCCGATTGTCTACATTTTTTGTTTTCGAGTTTTGGTTGGAGTTCATTTTTTGTGCATAATTTGTGCTACGTCAGAGCATAATTAGTCGTGAATTTGAGCAGTGACTAATTAATTGCAGCTCTTCAAAGCAATGGAACAAGAACAAGGTATAGCATCCGCAAAAAAGGTGTGGGAATCCGTGAAGTACTATACGGTTAAATGCGCCGAATGCTCGAAATGGAGGCTCATTCCATCAAAGGAAAAATACGAAGAAATACGAGAAAAGATCGAAGAACAGCCGTTTGTATGCGAAACAGCTCGCGAGTGGCGGCCCGAAATATCGTGCAAAGACGAATCCGATGTCAAGCAAGACGGTACCATGCGTTGGGCGATGGACAGACCTCGGATTCCCCAAACTCCTTCCGGATGGCAACGGATTTTAAGGATCAGAGCCGAAGGAGGAACCAAGTTCGCTGACGTGTACGTATATAATATAATTTTCTTTAACTTTTTATTTATTTATTATTTTTTCGAAATTGGAATTAAGGATTTCGATTTATGTCTTGTACAGTTACTATGTTGCACCGTCTAACAAGAGATTGCGTTCTATGGTTGAACTTCACAGGTATAAATTATAATGTTCGGACTTCGGATATTGCTATGGAATTGTTTTTTCATTATTAATATTATTATTTTTAATGCGTAATAAATAAATGTTTCAGGTATATAGACGAGCACCCGGAATATGCACAAGAAGGTGTAAGCATCTCGCAGTTTTCGTTTCAACCGCCCGTACCGTTGGACGAGAAATACAGTGCAAAGCGTCGATCAGGTATTAATATTATGATCATTTCCCCTGTTTCTTTTATTTTTTATTTTTTAATTTTTGTAATGAGTGAGATTTCGTGATCTATTCGCAGGCGCTTATGGTGCAATAGAGACGCAAAATAACGACTCTGCTGCACCACAGACTCAAAATTGAGGTATTTTACGATTCTGTTATAAATTGTTTGCTATGATCATAAAATTACTCGTTGAGCTTAAATCGATAATCTAGTTTAAGGGGAGTACTTATCGCTCTAAATGTGCACTTGCACTACACTTGCATTGCACAATTTGATCTCGCGCGGAGCTTTTTTAACTCCTAATTAAATTCTTGAAAAAATATATTTATTTATCTTGTCGAATTTAATTAATCCACATAATTTGATATTATTAGTGTCTTAACGTAGTTTCATTAATTGCTATTTGTTGTTGTTCGAAGACAGGGTTCGACCTTTATTCCGAATGATAATCGACAGACAAACATCAAGTGCACAAATCATATGTAATAGGATTCCATTTACCTCCCCTTTTCGTTTGGCGGATCGTCGGTGGTGATTGCTGGTGGCAGCTGGTGGTGATGGCCAGTCGAATTTTAATATAATTCATTGAATTAGGAATAAAAATTGGAAAATGTATAATTGATTTTAGAGTAATTATGTTGAAATTTTAGTTTTGAATTTCGTAATTACATGCCCCTCAACGGTCATATGTTGAGCTTGCGAGACATTGTTAGCTATAGTGCGATTTACATCCCGTCCCAAAATATTTGCTTTTTGGAGATTTTTTTGGTCCCAAATTATTTGTCATTTTAGAATTTCAAGAAAACATGAATTGCATTTTTTTTCAATTTTATACTTGTCACTCTTAATTAGTTAGTTGAAAAACAATTACCGACAATAGTATGTTAGTACTACTACACTAGTATGTTGCTATACATATTTAATTAATTTCGACAATGGTATTTTAGTATTTGCTATAATTTATACATATTTAATTAATTTATATCAATAATAAAGTCAATTTGCAATATTCTGTAGCAAATTATATGTTTTGGAACACGCGACAATTATCCTCGGACCAAACAAAAAGTATAAAATAGTTAATTATATTGTCGCATTTTAGCGCAGACACACACACACACACCAAAAAAAGAAAAAATACACTAGGCTACGACTTCCATGGTTCCTTCGATGCTACACCCGGTGAAAATCACCGGGTGTAGCATCGAACAAATCGACTTCCATCACACTCTCTCTCTCTCTCTCACACACACAATGGCGGATCTTTTAAGTAAGGGTGTGCACGGGTCGATACGGCTCGGTTTTTCCAATAAACCAAACACGTACCGATAATATCGGTTTCTCATATTTTAAAAACCGAATATGTCGGTTTTCTTCGGTTCGGTGTGAATCGGTTTTTCGGTTTTCGGTTAACGGTTTCGGTATCAATTCGGTTTATTTTTGATTTCGATTTCGTCTATTTGTTCGAACCGGTTCGGCATAAAACCCATATATTTGGACTTTCATTATATTTATTTGAGAAAATTAACAAATAACAACCGAAAATTAACTAATAAAAAACACGTCACAACCAAAATTAATTAATAGAAAACGATGTCACATGGAGGCGCTCGAAAGATAGAGGCACGCTAGGGTAAGTATTTATAATATATATCAAAAATACATTATTTTGTATAAATCGGTTCGGTTCGGGAAATCGGTTCGATAATTTTTAAATTCTCCATACACAAACCGATATTTTCGGTTTTTCAAAAAAAAATTACCGTGTATGCGGTTTTAAGTCGGGACGGTACATATCGGCTCGGTTTTTTCGGTTTTCGGTTCGGTTTTTCGGTTTTTCGGTTTTTTTGCTCACCCCTACTTTTAGGGGGGGCTGTTGCCCCCCAAAGATTAAAAAAAAATTTTTTTTAGGTATTTTGGCATTTTAATTTTTGAATATTACTTTTGATCCCCCTAAAGTTTTTGTAAATATGTGTCTCAACCCTTAATATTTTGTTTCTTCTCCACAATCTTATATAAATTATACTTGTATACATCATATCTAATTTAAAAATATTTAATAAAATGGTTAAATTTGTATTATTTTATATAATATTTATTAATATTTACTTTATTTGGAATTTTTTTATCAGTGTCTCTTAAAAATAATATGAGACGATGCCATTAATTTCCAAAATATTTAATTGTAATACATTAAGATTTTTTTGTCATGCTTAAAATATGATAAAACTATAATGTATATGATATTTAATTAAAAAATTATCAATATAAACTTATTTTTGCTATATCTTGTGAACCTAAAATTTTTTTTCTGCCCCGAACCCTGAAATTTTAGTTAGTCCCCCTATATTTTAATCCTGTTCCGGCCCTTCACACACACACACACAAAACCCACCGCCGCGCACACACATTCACACACATCTGTGTGTACTCTTCGCCTGACAGGGATCGGCGATTCTTGGTGATTTATATAAATCCAGGTTTGGTCTCTCTCAATTCTTGTTTTTATTTAGGGGTTTCTTGATCTTTGTTAAATGCTGTATTTCTTGATTCTTGATTTTCGAGTATATTATATAGCAAACACACACACAAACACATTCGAGTCGATCTGCAGATCATGCGTTTCAATGAGGTGACTGGGATTTTTGTTATTAATTTTACTTTTATTTTATTTATTTTTTGAAATTTTGTGATCTATTTTAATTTCATCTCTCACTCCAAAAACCCCCAATTTAATCGCACAAATTCATTGTACAATTGATTAAATAACAACAAATGCATTTATACTTGGGCATCTCATTGCAAGGTTTTTTTTTTTTTTTTTTTTTTTTTTTTTTTTTTTTTTCATTTTTCTGAACTAGGGTTTCAGCTGAATATCTGATTTTTTTAAGCCAAAAGAAATAAGGAAAAAAAAAAGACCCCTAGTATTTTTTTCAGCTGCGTTCCAATGTGTGTATTCATATTGTGCGCTTTGTGTAATCAGAAAAAGAAAATGTATCATGCATGTATATATAATATATGTATATGTAAAGGTTTTACGATGCATGCGATATAACGTCGATTTTTACGTGTTGTGAATTTGAATTTTTTTTCGCGGGCAAATGAGTGTATGAAATTATGATGGTGATTGTTTCCGATCCTCAACGATTTTACTATATGGTTATAAGATGAGCTCGTACGTTTATTGCTTACACAAAAGCGTATCTAACTACTTCGTCTCGTCAACAATCTAGATTTAATGTTTGTTGAGTTTCTTAGTAGATGATTTGTTTTCATTCACACTAGTCCTTCATTTGTGTTTCATTCCGATATATATATATATATATATATATATATATATATATATACACTGTATATATATATATATATATATAATTATTCTCGTTTTTTTGTTGCCGATTATTCTCGTTGTTGTGTAAGTTTATTCCGATATAATTTCTGAATTTTGTTTCTGTTCTTGATGAAGATTGGTGTCCGTTGAAAATTAGCTCAAGAAACGTTTCTAAATTGGTCTAGATTTTTCTAAGTTGTGAGCTTTCCCGAATTTTGCTCGGAGTTCGTTTTTTGTGCATAATCAGCGATATATCAGAGCGTAATTAGTCTCATAATCGCGCAATGACTTCCCCTTCGTATATAATCGCAGTACTAATTAATTCGAAACAAATGGAACAAGAACAAGGAATAGCATCCGCAAAAAAAGTGTGGGAATCCGTGAAGTACTACACGGTTAAATGCGCCGAATGCTCGAAATGGAGGCTCATTCCATCTAAGGAAAAATACGAAGAAATACGAGAAAAAATCGAAGAACATCTCTTCGTATGCGAAACAGCTCGCGAGTGGCGGCCTGACGTATCTTGCAAAGACGAATCCGACATTAAGCAAGACGGTACCATGCGTTGGGCGATGGACAAACCTAGGATTCCCCAAACTCCTTCCGGATGGCAACGGATTTTAAGGATCCGAGCCGAAGGCGGAACCACGTTCTTTGACGTGTACGTTATAATATAATTTTCTTTTTAATTAATTAATTTTTATCTTTTTGGGTTCGAAATTGAAGTTACGGATTTTGATTTTTTTGAGTGATGTTCGTAAACAGGTATTACGTCGCACCGTCTAACAAGAGAATGCGTTCGATGGTTGAACTTAGTAGGTATAAATAATAATGTTCATACATTGCTAAGGGTTCGCTTATCGTTATTATTTATTATTAATAATTTATTGTTTTAACGCATAATAAATAAATAAATGGTTTAGGTATATAGACGAGCACCCGGAATATGCACAAGGTGTCAATATCTCGCAATTTTCTTTTCAACCGCCGGTGCCGTTGGACGAGAAATACAGTGCAAAGCGCCGAGCTTGTTCTACTAGAGATGACACTAATGGTATTATTAATATTATGATATGCTTTATATCGATTTTTCGAGTATCCGTTCAATATTAATTAGGGTTACACAAAAGTTTCTTCTATGAGTGGACATAAACTCGTTTCTTAATGTGTGCGATTTTCCGACCTATTTGTAGGCACATATCATGCGAGTACAAACGTTGACGCACCTTCTCAAAATTGAGGTATTCGATAATTGTTTGCTGTGATAAGATAAATATTCGACGTTCGTTTTCTTCCGTTTTGCTCGAAGAATAATTAAGCTTAAATTGATGATCTAGTTTAAAAAATGAACTACTTATGACTCATATTATCCGCTTGCACTGCACTTGTACTGCACAATTTGATCTCGTGCCGGGATGTTAAAGTGCACGATCTTCATAATGATCTCTAATTTGGAATTAATTTAACGATTTCGATATTTTATTGCATTTCGTAATTTTGTTATATATTATTACATGGTTCGACTTCGGAAATGGATAAACATCGAGTGTACAAAGTACAAACCACATTGCTGGAAGTGCAACCTTGTCGAGATATGAAGTTTATGAACTTGTGGAATTAGGGGTGGAAATCGGACGGAATTGATCGGAAATGTCTTTTTCGGAAATTTTCAAAAAAAAATCGGAAGTTAAAAATAGGTTTCAATTTCTGTTCCAAAAAAATCGGAATTTCAAAATCCATTCCAATTTCGGAATACCTCGGAATCGGCGGAATTTCTGAATTTTCGGAAATTGCATTAATTCTTAATTTTTTGTTCCAAAATCGGAAATAATGGTAATTTTTAGCATTTTTTTCTTCTAATATTTTCGTAATTTTCCGGCAAAAGGCAAGAAATCCTAAACAAATGTCAATAAGATGAAATGTAAACACTTGTAAAAACAACATAATCAGATTATCAAAGCAAACATTGCAAATTTTCAAAATAAAAGAAAAGGTAAATATAGTTCTTGCAAAACATGAATAGAAAAAAAAATGGATCATAAATCGGAATTTCCAATAATTTTATATGTAATTCCATATCCGTTCCAAAAATAATCGTCGGAAATCGGAATATTGAAAATCGGAATGAAAAAAAAGTATTTCAAATTCGGATATTTTCATATCGGAATTGGCGGAATTCGGAAATTCCGTTTCACCACCCCTAAGAGAAATTGATCAACTTGTTTATATTGTGATGAGGTTTTAAGTTTTAACTTTTTAAGAATAAATTATACAATTATACAAGTTTCAATTTTTTTTTAATTTTGGAGTCATTGTTAATGCAAACATTGTCAAATATAATATGAATTTTGAATATATATATATATATATATATATATATATATATATATATATAATATCTAGATAATTAAAATTATTTTAAATTAAAACAAAATTATTGTCATCAAAAAATATTTTTGTGCGTATAAAAATTAAAAAAAGTTATAATATAAGTCATTGTGTTTAAACAAACTATAGAAATTTTTGTTTGAATAATTTTGTTAATCTCATCGAGCGCGGCAATATATATAGGGGTAAATTACAATCATCCCCCTGAGGTAAAGTCCTATTTACGAAAAAAACCCTTATTTTTCTATAAATACATCCACCCCTGCAATCTATATATTTCTTACATTAACACCCTTTTGTAGGGGTGGATGTAAGAAATTTATAAACTAAAAGGGGCTGGATGTAATTTATAAACCATAATAGGTCTTTCCGTAATTAAACTTTATCTTAGGGAGATGGTAGTAATTTACTAATTTAGCTTATATATATATATGCCATGCTTAATTTTGCCAGGCCCAAAAAATCATCGAGACACAAACACATCAACACACGCTAGGGTTTTGTACCTTTCTCTCTCTCTGCACCTTCGTCCCGTTCGCTCCGGCTCCTCCGCCGACGGCCGCCACCCTCCGACTTGCTCCCAAACTCTGTTTTGTTGAATCCACCTCTGTTGGGCGCAATTGCGGTATATTAACACCGTGAAAATAGGAGAGAGAAAGAAAGATGGGAGAAAGGAAAGTGCTAAACAAATACTACCCGCCGGACTTCGATCATTCGAAGCTTCCGCGGCGGAGGCAGCCGAAGAACAAGCAGATGACGGTGCGGATGATGCTGCCGATGAGCATCCGGTGCGGCACGTGCGGCAACTACATCTACAAGGGGACGAAATTCAATTCACGCAAGGAAGATGCCGTCGGAGAGAAGTATCTAGGGATTCAGATCTTCAGATTCTATTTCAAGTGCACTAAATGCTCGGCCGAAATCACCTACAAAACCGATCCCCAAAACTCCGATTACATTGTCGAGTCTGGTGCGACAAGGAATTTCGAACCCTGGCGTGCGGCGGATGAGGAAACAGAGGAGGAAAAAAGGAAGAGAATTGCCGAAGAGAGGGGAGATGCAATGAAATCGTTGGAGAATAAAACTCACGACTCGAAGAGAGAGATGGATATCCTTGCTACTCTGGATGAAATGAAATCGATGAAATCGAGACACGCGGCTGTGAGTGTTGACGCAATGCTGGAAGCTCTGCAGCGTTCGAACGAGCGCAAGGAACTGAAATTGGAGGAAGAAGACGAAGCTCTGATAAAATCGGTGTTTAAGGGGAAAAGAGAAGCCGTTGTTTTAAAAAGGATTGATGATGATTATGATGACGATTCGGATTGGGATTTGGATTCATTATCCGGTTCTTCAAAGAGGATTAAAATGTCGGATTCTAAATCAACTGATTCTCGGATAAAAGAAAGCGTTGATGACAGCTCCGACAATCGAGATAATGGTGGCGTTCACACGGCTTCTGGTGATAATGGTAAATTTGTTTTCAAGTCTCGAACGGTTCGAGTTTCTGTGATGAAGAAATCAGGTGCTGATTCTGATGGGAACAAGGGGAATGAAAAACGGGGTGCAGAACGAACCGCCTCTGGTTTACTTTCTTTATGCCAGCAGTATGGAAGTGATGATGACGACCTTTGATTCGATATGGTTTGTAAATAATAGGAGATTTATAAGCAAACTCTGGATTTCAATGAAAAAATTGAAAAGATAAGTTTGGTTATGCTAATTTTACAAGTTAGACACTGCAATTAGGACTTGATTTTCAGATCAATAGGCTCTTATCATACAGTGAAGTGAGAATCGTCCTTTTCGATCCAAGAACGAAACTTGTCGACGCTTCCCATCTAATTTTCGTTACATGTGATATGCCTAATTGGCCCAACCCAATGGGCCTACACATTATTTATCTACCGGGCCACGAGCCCAATATCGAAGACTACTATCACCGAGGCCCAATCACCTTCAAGCAAGGTTTGGGCCCGACAATCTCAACTAAGCTATAAATACACATTTGAACTCATTCGATAAGGTACGTCCTATTATCTGAGCAATACTACTAATGGTATTCTCTGGACTATTTCTATGATCAGCACGTCTGACTTGAGCGTCGGAGGGGTTTCCGCCGGATCAACCCCCGGCTTAGCTTATGTGTTCTATGATCGCAGGTACCTCAGGATCATCAAGTTGTCAAGCTACTGATCTGCTTTGCTCTCCCAGTTCGTTTTCTACACCACCCTAGGTGAGCTAGTAATTAGCATCATCAACATGTTATACTGATTTTTTTTTTCAATATAATATTTTATTTTTGTTTCTGTTCTTGATGAAAATTGGTGTTTGTTGAATATTAGCTCGAGATTATATTTGGTCAAGGTTATTCGATTTTGTGTGTTTCTAGACGGGATTCTGTATCCGATTAACTTTCTTGTTTAGTTTCTAATCCGACATTATTTGTGCACACTCTATGCTATATCAGAGCATAATGCATAATTAGTAGTGAAAATTCTGCAATAACTTCTCCTTCATAATAATTGCAGGTACTTCAAAGCTATGGAACAAGAACAAGGAATGGCAGCCAAAAATGGTGTGTGAATCCGTAAAGTATTACACAGTTAAATGTGCCGAATGTTCATATTAATGGAAGCTCATTCCATCAAGGAGAAACACGAGAAAAAAACGGAGAATTGAAATAGCTCGTGAATGGCGGCCCCACTAAGGGCTCGTAAATTTCGTAATTTGACCTTGTCTCAAGTAACCATAATTTACCCTTAAAAATAGTTACGTGCACCTAAGAAGTTATAAATTCAACTATGTTATTGTTAACCAAGCCAATTTACTAATATGTATGAGATTATTAGCTAAAAGTTCCTTTAGGTGGTGTTTGCAAATGATTACTTAAAAGCATAAGTTAGTGATTGTGATTTAAGTTAGTTTTAATTGCTTATTTCTAAAAGTTGGGGGTGTTTGCAAATATTTCGGAAAATGAACTAAAATTGAAAAAGCAGGGTTATGGGTGCTTTTAAAAATATAGCTTAAAGCAGATTATTTTAAGAGAAGCAAAAGTAAAAGTTGATTTTGCAAACACCTAAAAATAGATTATGAGCAAAAACAACCGTATAATCACTTTCAAAAAGCATTTGCAAACACCACCTTAGTCCTGAAATGTAAGCACTTCCAAAATCAATTATGTTAACCACCATTAAAAAAAATTAAATTAAATAAATAAAAACAAATCAACTATGTTAACCAAGTCATTTACAAATAAAGAAAATTAATAGTGTTAGACCGGTCTTTTAAAAAAAGAAAATAATAAGTGTTGGACCGGGCGAGTTTTAGAAAGCGCTTGGCACGTAGAGTCAGTGCAGTCAAATTAAAACCCTCAATAGATTAATGCTTAGCGGTTCGACGTGGTTACACGCGCCGCCTTTTCGCCGTGCAGTCTCCTCCTCTCCGCCGCCTTCCGAACTCCTTACTTCCTGTAACGTTCGTATGGCTACCTCCGTTCGAATCGCCATTGTTGGAGACGTTGTGAGAAACCTCAACCCCCTCTCTCTCTCCGTTTATACATGTTTTTAATTTGGGTAGATGTTAATTAATTTCGATTTTCTGCTTTTATTTTTGAATTTATTTTGAAGCATGACGACTGGAATCTACAAGAGGATACCAAAGCTCTGCAGCTGTTGAAGGTTTCGTTTTCTCTCTCTACATTTGTTTGTGTTAATTCAATTTACTCTTGCCAGTTTCGTGCTTCATTTTTGTATTGGGAATTTCCACTTCCGTTATCGACAGAACAAACGCATATTTTTTTTATGTCAAATGTTTACAGATGTGTAGCTTGTTTTAACGAGCGGGGTGAAATTCGCATTCGATTTGATTTGTGAAAACAAAGTTTAGCTATCCTAATTTTGAAAATTAGACAGTGTAATAAGGACTAATTGAGCTCTTATCATACAGTTGAGTAGGAATTTTATTCCATTTTTTTTGCCAATATACATGTTGTATTCAAAATGTAGCTCACCTTATTCGATTGAATTGTATGCGTTTCACAATTGTTGCTCTCTGTCGATTCTTATATTTTTTTTGTAATTTGTGTTTCTGGGGAAATGCAGCCGGATCTGGTGCTGTTTACAGGCAGGTCTTTGTTCCCGACCTTCTGTACTATTTATCTATGGATTCGGCATTTGTGTAAGCTTATTTTGTTTTGCTTATTATCGTGTTGGAGTTTGTTCAGGTGATTTTGGTAATGAGAACGTTGATCTTGTTCGAAGCATTTCGAATCTCGATTTTCCAAAAGCTATCATTTTAGGGAACCATGATGCCTGGAGAACCCAGAAGTTCTCTACGAAGTAAGCGTAACTGATGTATGATTATCTGAAGTAATTAGTAAATCGTGTCGTTTTAATATGTTAGTTTACTCCGATATATTCACTTGGTATGTATGACGGGATTTCACAATAATGTTTAGTCGTTGTATTTAATGGAAATAACTACTTAAAACTATGTACCACTGCTTATCGGGAAATTACTTTGTCTAAGGAGAAAGTATAAGCAATTAAATTTCTCGTGTTTCACTTTAGTTTCATTGAAAGTTATAACTTATAATCATCTTTGCTCTGCTGGATACCCTTGACCTGTCATCCTCCTATTTACAGTGATTCGCTTCCATCCATTGTATATATGTAGTATGTTTGTTGTGATTGTGACAGCAATTTAATGCAGGGAAAAGGATGGTGTTCAATTGCAGCTTGAATCGTAAGTTCTGATCCTATATTTTTTTCTCTAAAATTTTAAGTATCTGCAGTTTTTCTCGTGTTTTTGGCTTTGCATCCGTTTTTAAATTTCAAAGGTTTTATACAATATGCTTCACTAAAATTCTCACTATCATGAAACATTGTGTGGATAATCAGACTTGGTGACGAGCATGTTGGATATCGACGGATGGATTTTCCAAATCTGAAGTTGAGTGTAGTTGGTGGACGGCCATTTTCATGTGGTGGTGAGCATATGTTTCGGAAGAAACTTCTTATTTCTAGGTTAGTTATCTTTAAAATGTCATTTTTTAAATTTTTTTATGCTGCACTCTGGCATCATCGTACATTTAAAAGACATGGGAATGTGTTATTTGTTAAAAGAAAATTGAAGATTCATATAAAAAGAAAAGATTGATTGAAGTGCTTATCAAGTAAATTAAGATTATAAACCTCTAAATCTTTTAAATAAATTTATAAATCTTTTATATGGAATATATTTTATTAAGCCTCCTGTTTGTTTTGATCGATTAATATTTTATGAAGAAAGTTGTATATTCTTATAAGATGTATTAAAAAACATTTGTATCTTACAATAACAAATCACATAATTTTATTTTTTCAAAATTTGTAGTTAAAAAAAAATCATATAATATGGTCTGGACTATATCCAAATTATCCATGTTGCAATTATTTTCCTAGATACGGTGTCCATGATATGAATGAAAGCACAGAGAAGATTCACGAAGCTGCTTTAGGAACCCCTGATGACCACTCAGTTATATTTCTTGCGCATAACGGGCCCACAGGTATCAATTCGTGAAGAAAAATCTGCTTTGTTTACATCGTACTTCAGAGAGATATCTGTATATAATCAGAATTGCGAATTTCATGCAGGCCTCGGTTCCAATGTAGACGATATATGCGGAAAAGATTTTGTTCGTGAAGGCGGTGACCATGGCGATCCTGGTAATTCTGAATCTTTGTTTCTCTATTTGTGTATATACATGCAAACATGGTTTTGATATGCGGACACACTGAAATTTTTTTGGTCTATGATTATAAATAAATAAAGCAATTTATATGCAGATTTAGCACATGCAATATCCTACCTAAAACAAACCACCAACTTGTCTATCAAGTTGGTAGTGTTTGGTCACATGCATAAAGGGCTGGCATTTGGAAATGGTCTTCGTAAAATGATAGTGGTTCGGGACGACAGAACCATATACCTAAACGGGGCTATTGTTCCAAGAGTTAAAACGATTGGCAACGAACAAGTAAGCTCTAGCTCTGATAATACCTCAGCCATGACATCGAATTTTGGTGGGACCCTTCGAGTATTTACAGTTGTTGACATATTAGATGGGAGTTTGGAGAAAATTTCTGAGACTTGGGTTTTAGTCATGGAAGACAAGGTCATAGTCGAAAACGAGTTTATACTATTTAGCAAAGGAGCTAAGCTATAGTACTACCCTCTATTGTTTGGTGTTGTATATTTATGAGAAAGATTCTTGTGATGCTACATAACGGTTTGGGATCTTAGCAATCCTAGTATACTGACATCTATTTACTAGAAAGATGTTTTTCGATGTAAGATACTAGGGAACATGTTAAGGATGTATCGTTTTGGTTTTACCGATAAACTGGCAAAAATAAAACCATGTGATTATTTAATTGAGCTGCAGAGAGCAGATTTAAGGTTGAGCCTCGGAACGATGTTGCTTGAGTCAGGTCATTAGTTGTTTCTTGGGCTAACGGTTGATATTTGATTTAAGAGAAGACGTGTACTAATTTAGGGAACAAGAACGCTCATTTCCTACTTATACGGAATATTACAATTATTTATATAAACGGCATTACTGGAAACGGCACATACATAGGAATGGCAACGAGTCGGTTCTGGGCCGGGTTTGCCTACACCCAAGACCCGATCCACGAAAAATATATAAACCCAAGACCCGCCCCAACCCGTTTTAGCTTAGACCCAGACCCGCCCCAACCCAGACCCTAACTAAACGGTTCTGACCCGCCAGAACCGCTAGACCCGTTAACATACAAAAAATTTAATATTTTTTAACTTTCATAACATTGACAATTAGCAGTGGTTGACAAATGATAAATATTACTCACGAGAAATGAGATTCAATAAATAAAACAGTGAAAATAGGTAAGTGAGAATAGACAAGATGGAAATTAATAGTTTGATAAATGAAATTCGAATATATATATATATATATATATATATATATATATATATATATATATATATATATATATATATATATCGGTTCTGAGTCGGTTCCAATAGGACCCGTAACCCGACCCAGAACCATCCGGTTCTAGAAACTTAAACCCATTACCCGACCCAGAACCATTTAGCTGACCCACACCCGCCCCAAACGGGTCGGTTCCGGGTCTAAGACCCGCCAAACCCGTACCCATTGCCATCCCTACACATACATCGAGGTTTAGGGAAATCATTTTTGTATATGCACGTAATTCTTCGTAAGTTTATTATTATGTGATCATGGTTGTGATTGTTTTTCTTGGGGGTCTTCTACTAGAGCAAGTACATGAACTATTTGATGATGAGTTAGGTATGAAGTCCAGCTCTAACTAAGTTATTGCTCAATTCTGTGACCAAGCTGCACTTGTTTATCTTGCTATACTTGCATTTATGATTAGAAAATTAGCAACACCCCACCCCTACAGAAAAGAGAACTGATATAAAAATGATGAGTAATTATTGTAGACTTTATCTAAACTACTTGATGTTATTGAAACTGAAGCAGGGCAGTCTGCAACTGCAAGTAAAATAATTATATGTTTTTTTTTTCTAAATGTTTGACTCCTTTTTTTTTTTTTAATAATAATAATAATTTGGTAGGGGTATGCATGTTTCATGTTTAGTTTTATTAAATAGGTACTAGCTTTTGTTGGTGTGCATCAACTCCCAAGCATTCCTTGGCTGGCTTTTTTGACTCAGTCTTCTCCTTTAAACTACTCTCTCTCTCTCTCTCTCTGAAGATTTGAGGAGAGAGAAAAAGAGTAATTGCAGATAGCCCCCACATATTTTTGTTTGGTATGGTTTTGGTTATGCAATGACACACAAAGAGATGTGCAAAGTTGTCATTGATAGTGATGGCTTCTTAATTTGGTAGGGCCAAACCCACTGTTTGTGAACAAATCAACATATGCTTATTTATTTAATAATGCCAGTGGGGTTTTTGTTGTTATTCAGTGTCTTGTCATCAATTTAATTTCTGCCCCTCTCTCTCTCTCTCTCTCTCTCTTATAGATCACATTTGGTATTTAGGATAAGACTCAATATTTCATCAAAGTCATATTAAACTTGAATTAGGCTCAGGATTTACACAAAGTTTAGATATCAAAAATTTACCCAAAGGTTAATGGTGGTGTATTTTTCATATCTAATTTTCTTGAATAAATTAGGTAATTGGGTCAAGGAACAGTCAAATAATGTAAACAGTTAGGGCTAAAACAAAGAGGGAATGTCTGATTCTGACAAGTCATCTGACAAGTCATTCTGTAATTCTCCTCTCTCTCTCTATCTCTCTATCTATTATAGATCTACAGCAGCCTTTGACCGAATCTTAGCCGTCCATCATTCATTCTCCCCAACATATATTTTTTAACCTTTCTTTATTAAAGACATCTACCAACCTGTTTTTTAATCTTTCTTTTGTCTTTCTCTCTCTCTTTTAATTGCTTTGGACTTTGATAGATGTGAAATCTCAATTATATCCAAATTCCAGAAGATTCTTGTTGTGTTCAATTTGGTTTGTTAAATTATTATAGAATTGTGCCACGTTCTTCCTTTTTGTATATTGCATTGCACTTTATAAAAAACAAAAACCTATTTTATATGTATACATATGATTGGCCTTACTAGTATAGCTCAAAGTGGCTAGTTTTAGGGAGGTAAGTTGGTGCAATTGTCTAAGGAACGAGTACTGGCAGTCGTAGTGTAAAAATTTCAACCCGATCATCAATTTCTCACTAAAACTAATTATATGAGAGATTTCAGTATCATTATCATGTAGAGCTTATGTAGCGTGGAAACTTCAGCGGCTTAATGTTTTCGCGTTTCGAACACATTTTGTGTCCGACACTCGAGGACACTTGTCGGACACCTTATGAGTTATTTTGTAATTTCTAAAAAAATAGAAATATATCTTAACAGATCACAAGAACACCAATGGTTAATAATATAAAGTATAATCAACAAGAAATGTGCAATAAACTATGAATCAAGAAAGAGTAATGGTCTAATTGCATAGGTCAAATTACGGCCACCCCTGAGTTATGGTCAAATTACAAAAAACTCCCTCTTGTTTGGGTAACTGCAGTTACCCCCTTAACTATGTATTATATTATGAAAAGACCCATCCCGAGGTAAATTTAGGGATGTTAATTCGGTAAAACCGAACCGAAATTTCGGTACGCCAATATTTCATACCATTTAGCAAACTAAATATACTATTTGGTTCGGTAAATAACCGAATTACATAAATTTTATGTAAAAATATTTAAAAGAAATAATGACTGTAATTACCCAAACAAGATGAGTTTATTCATAATTTGGTCATATATCAGGAGTGGCCGTAATTTGGCCAATGGCATATTATAAAAACTCTTCGTAATCATTATAACTCCAATTGTCATAGATTTAACCACTTGATTAACAAATTAAACTCCCACCAAAATTTAGGCATAATAATTCTTGTGATATCACAACAAAGGAATCGAGGGCAAAAAGGAGATTTCACATTACTCATAGATAATGGGGGTCCATAACTAAGAACCATACATTAACACTGACTCATTTCTTTATTACAATTTTACAACTCATCCCATAAACAAATACCAAAAAACAAAAACAAAAACAAAAAAGAAAAAGAAAAAAAAAAAACCAACAAACATGCAACACAAACACAAAAACACAATTCGTTTCTTTTTAATTCCCCTGTCTCCATCTTCCGCTTAGATCGGATCTTCCCATTTCCCCCATTGTCACCAGCACAAAATTCCAAAAACAAAAAAAAAAAAAAACAGAGAAGAAGGAAAACAAAAACCCAACAATCAAACCACAACAAGAAAGAAGAAAAATAAATAAATAAATAAAAGGGGGGAAAACGAGGTCCCATATTCTCAAAATCCCAGGAAAAAAAGAAAAAAAAGAAAATTCATGCCGGAATAGCTTGAATTTCCGTACTTTCATGTTGAATATTGGGAAAAGGAAGAAAGGGGGGTTTGTTGTTGGGCTAATAAATTAATTAATTAAATAAATGGGAAATGTGACCTCGAGCGTGGCGGCAAAGTTCGCATTTTTTCCGCCGGACCCGCCGACGTACGACGTGTACAGAGACGACGACGAGGATGGGCGGTTGCTGATGAGCGGATTGACGGCGGACAAAAACGTCGACGTTCATCTTCTCGAGACGAAAGGAGGTAATAAAATCGTGGCCACCTTCTGGAAACATCCTTCCGGCAGGTTCACCATATTGTACTCCCATGGCAACGCCGCCGATTTAGGTCAAATGCAGGAGCTCTTCATCGAGCTCAGAGCACATCTACGTGTCAACATTATGAGGTTCATTCTCTCTCTCTCTCTCTCTCTCTCTCTCTCTCTCTCTCTCTCTCTCTCTCTCTCTCTATTTTATGGCAATTTCGTAATTGTTGTTTTTAATTCAGCTGGATTTGTTGGTTTTTTGATGCTTGAATTGTGATTTAGTAGAATTCGAGCCGAATATCTCGACTAATAGTATGCGAATAAGTAGACAATTGATTATTATTAACCGAATTAGGAATTTTTTATTTTGTTATAATTCAGCTGGATTTGTTGGTTTTTGAGGCACATTGTGATTGAATTGATGTTTTGAGGGTTGTTTGTGATTTAGTAGAATTCGCGCCGAATATCTCGACTAGTAGTATGCGAATTAGTAGACAATTAATTATTAACCGGAAAAAAAATACCGGATTAGGAATTTTTCTCTGTTATTCAAAACACGAACACGAACACCGAGAGTTTCTTCTCGTTCATAATTAATAAACATTCAGATTTTCTTTAACTACATTGCAGCTATGATTATTCTGGATACGGAGCATCTACCGGTAAGGTGAGAAAAAATTCCCGATTCGGTATTGAAGTAATTTAAAAAAAAAAAAAATTACGATCGTCTCCTAATATTTTGCTGATGAAGTTATTTGATGGTTATTACAGCCATCTGAGTTGAACACGTACTACGATATCGAGGCAGTATATAACTGCCTGAAGAGCGAGTACAGTATCAAGCAAGAGGATGTGATTCTGTACGGACAATCCGTTGGGAGCGGGCCCACGTTGCATCTTGCTTCTCGTTTTCCGAGGTTGAGAGCTATAGTTCTACATAGCGCAATTCTTTCAGGCATACGAGTTTTGTACAATGTTAAGATGACATTCTGGTTCGACATTTTTAAAGTAAGTTTAATTACAAAAAATACTTGCATCTCTTTTTCGCTTTTTTTTTTCCGATAGTAATTAATATATTATAAACGGTCGTCTCTAATTGAAAATGTACGTCTGTTATTTTTCAGAACATAGACAAAATACGGAGCGTCAGCTGCCCTGTTCTAGTCATACATGTAAGAAAATCTGTTACTTGTGAACAATTCTACATTTTGCAAATTGCTAAAAAACTCGTGTTATAAATATTAGCGAAAAACACCCTACGATGCAATTTTTTTAGCACGCAACCCCTTAAATGTTGCGTTTTTAGGGGGTAGTTTGCTAGTAAAATTGAATTATAGGAAGGGTTCTGCTAATATTTATAACACGAAGAGTTTTTTAACAATTAGAGTAAACACAGGGTGTTAAATGCAATAAACCCAAAATACAATATACGTTTTTTTAGACACAACGAGAGGGGCCATGGCCCCCTGTAGTCGTTTATACAACCAACGCCTTTCGATTTATGCTGCAATCACAATCAATAGTAAATGTCAACCGTAAGGATTTCGTAGCGTTGTTCCTGACTTAATCCATTTTTATATCAATGTCTCGTTATTTTTCGTACTAATATTTGTTTAAACGAACCTATAATTTGATTAGATTGTGCATATTCTTCTCTTAATGGTAATTTATTTTATTTTTTATTTTTTTTAAATGTGTATTTTTTAGGGTACGAACGACGACATTGTTGACTGGTCACACGGGAAGAGACTATGGGAGCTGGCGAAGGAGAAATACGACCCGTTGTGGGTCCAAGGTGGAGGGCATTGTAATCTCGAAACGTTTCCGGAATACATTAAGCACTTGCGGAAATTCGTAAACGCAATGGAGAAGCTCTCGTTCTCGAAAAGGGGCAAGGCCCGTGCGGGCCCCGCCCCGTCTATAACAGAAGCCAAACACAACAAATGCTTGAGATTCGGCAAATGATAACTGCTCTGTTCTTATTCTTTTGTAGGATTGTCGAAAAATTTAGTGAAATAGATTATTATTTTAAGAAAGAAAAAAATTGATTTTTTTTTTTCACTTGTTCATCCTTTCTTGGCTCTTGACTCTGACACGTGGAATTGTATTTGTTATGATGTTCAAACGTTTTATATGATAATATCTTTGTGTAGATATACAATCTGTGTACATCTAGTAGAATGTAGATAGTGATTTTTTTCTAGTCTTGTTTTTAGGCTATATTTTAGGTATACAGTTAAACATTTATGAATTAATACAGTTGGACCAGTCGAATCCTATGAATTTAGCGAAATATTAATTTAACAATACTAAAAAAAATATATTAATTAAACAAGATTTTACTGTACAATGTACGGAAACTTAGGTTAATATATTGTACCAAGTGTAACATAAATTTGACTCGACTTGAAGATATATCGATTATTGATGATACCATTACGTTAAACAAATTGATAAATACATGCAATAAAATTAAATCATTCAATATTTTAAATAGTAGGAAATATGTTTTACCAAAATTAAAAGATTCCAATACTAAATTTATTACCAAAGATTCCGATGACTAGATTTTCTATAGTTACTGGATTGTTCTATGGTAAAAAATATTAATTCTATGCAGAAAAGACCAAACTACCCCCAAGTAAATTACCATAATTTCAATTTACAACCATTTTCTTTCCAAATAACCATTTAATTTCCGATATTGCTAAAGCTTTCCATGAGGCAGATGCATATACATCTCTCTCTCTCTCTCTCTCTCTCTCTCTCTCTCTCGTATGTATCATATGCTTTAGTATAATAATATAGCCTTTTATATCATCACTGGTCTGCAAAAAAAATGACTGTGGAGGAAATAAGGGGCAACGGCGATAATTTTCCGGTGGGGCTGCGTGTTCTCGCCGTTGACGATGACCCAATTAGCTTGAAGTTATTAGAGACTCTGCTCAGACAATGCCAGTACCATGGTCTGTTTTTTTCTGAATTGATTCTCTGTTTTACTTTTTAGTTTTCAATTTGCCTGCAAACTGTTTGATCAAATGTTTGTTTGATAAAAGGTAAAACACTGATTAGAAAAACATGCTAAACTAAAGCAGCCCTAATATTTGTTACGTTTGAAAACACATGCAATCCAAAATGTATACACAATATTTTATACTCTCACGAATCACGATGCATGTTAATGGAAGCACAATCGTTGTACCATTCGATATGTCGAAAATTTTATAGGATTTTTTAACTTATTCAATGTGATTATATTCTTTTGTTCGTTTTCTTTCTTTTAGCCCAAATTCAGTATGCTTCTTAGTTCGTGTAATTGTGCTTGCAGTTATGCTAAAGATTTAGACGATTTTTCTGTAAGAATAAGAGCTTGTTGTACGTACGTAGCAAGATATTGGGCATTAAACAATTAAGATTTAAGAACACATCCAAAGAGTTAATAGAGTTTATTGTTGCAGTTAATGCGAGTCTTTTTCTTACGGATTCTTGAGCGTATAAATTTTTGTGTATACACTCGTTAAGTGCTAATGTTTTCGCTATTTACATACAGTACTGCCTCTTTCAAATATGTCTTGTCGTTCTTTATTTTTTTGCCTAACAAGGTCAAATTTTGGTTAGTGTAGGGTTCGATTTTAATTATTTTGATTAATATCTACTTCCAGACTCTAAACTGTGGTCTAATGTATCATGTTGTTGAATTTAGAGCCTTGCTTTTGCGAATATTTACTTGAAGTACTAAAATCCACTCTTTTCGTAACAAAAAAAAAAAATTATTTCCATGTACAGTCGCTGCGATGAGTCAGGCGAAAATGGCTATGGAGATGTTAAGCGAAAACAAATACAGATTTGACCTTGTTATCACTGACGTGCATATGCCCGACATTGATGGTTTTAAGCTTTTGGAGCTTGGTCTTGAATTGGATATACCTGTTGTTAGTAAGTTCGTATTCTTTTTTTTCATTTCTTCATCCCCTTTATATATATATATATATATAGGGTCAACACCACGTAAGCCTCGATACTCTTTTAGGTTCTTGATTCTTGAATTTTATAAATATACTCTTAGCTAGGTGTTCAATCTTTCGGTTTTGTTTTTTGATGCTTTGTTATTATTATATATTACAGTGTTGTCGGCAAATGGTGATCCCAAACTAATAGTGAAAGGGATTACACGCGGTGCTTGCGATTATTTGGTAAAACCCATCCGAATTGAAGAAGTGAGGAATATATGGAAACACCTGCTCAGGAGGAAAAACTGTGATCCAAACAACCAGACGAAATCCAGTGATCAAGTTAAATCTCCGGAAGTGCTATTTAATGGAAATAGAAAAGACGGTGAAGAAAACGAAAATGATTGCAAAGACCCTTCAATACAGAACAACGGTGAAGAAAACGAAAATAATTGCAACGACCCTTCAAGACAGAACAAGCCTCGGTTCATCTGGACGGTAGAGTTTCACAAAAAGTTCGTTGAAGCCATTAATATTTTGGGAATCGAAGGTGAGTCTAATAATAATAATAATAATAATAAACAAATGAATAAATAAATAAACCCGTGTTTGCTTGTTTTTTTCATCTAATTACGGGGCCCGTTAGATATCACATTTTGTCTTTTTCCTCGAACGCAGTAGCTATTCCCGAACAAATTCTTGACCTGATGAACGTTGATGGGCTTACCCAAGAAATCGTGGCGATACATCTCAAGGCACTAATTTTTTATTTTCCTTCTGATAGGTTTATTTTTTATATTTACTTGACTTAATAATGGATGAGAAGTTGTATATATATCTAACTCTTTTAACTTGTTTTTACGATTGCAGATGTATAAGCTTTATCTAAGAAGACTTAGAGAAATTCAAACGTTGCCAAACGTGGCCTTATCTCCGTACTCAGCAACTGTCCAGCCGAGCCAAGCTCAGAGCTTGAGCAACTAACTGCATTGCTTCACTCGGCGAAATGAATTTAAATAATACCCCCCCCTTTTATTATTCTTCTTCGAGTGTCGGTTTAGAACCTTCTGAGAGCGAAACAGAGATTGCGTATGATCAAACGGTTTAGAATATTCTGGGAGCTTTATTCTTATTTAGTGCAGTAGATTATCAATAAATCTTTTTCTGGAGGAATTATTTTTTCTCTCGTTTATCGTTTATCGGTTATCGGAATTTGGCTCGTGACCGTGCACTTTGTTATGATGCTCAAACATTTATGTGAATTTTTTCTAGGTTTTCTTGACTTGTTTTCAGGGTAAGTTTTTGCAAATACAATGTATGTAAACTTAGGCAAATATTATTGGAGAAATCAACTCTCTCACCTTGTGATCTTTACAAAATGTCAAATCCTGATTAGTAGGGATGTGTATAATTAATCCTCCATTCACATGGTGCCAAGTGGCAATCCTACTCTTCCTTGATCCAAGTCCCACTCTTCCCCTCAAATAATTTCTCATTTATAAATTATAAACCTTTCTCAAATTGAACTTTAATTTTTTTTTTTGGGGAAAAGATTATAGAGTTCAACATTAGTAGGAGTGCAACAGACAAGGAATTTTCGAATTTCGCCGATTACAATTAGAAATGTTTCGACTTTATAGCAAATACCTCCATTATGATATTCGATATTTTGTATTATTATGGATATTTCAATTTTCGATCCAATTTTGATTCCTGAAAATAATTTATATTTTAAAAAAAAATATTGTATGAAATGAGTATTTTAAATATAATTAAATTTCTAATTGTGATTTCTTTTTTTAGTTTTTCCAAAAAAAATTATTGTTTGATTTTTTTTGGAATTGGAATAAATTTTGGGCTTGGACCTTTAGGAAAAGTGTCACATGTTTGGGGGGCCCACAATCTGTATAAACCTGCGGTCGACGTGTCTTTATCAAAAACGATGCCTGAGTTGGAATCTCACCTGATCCAATCAAATACCGAAACGTGGAGGAACCCCCAGCACATCCTCATAGATGGGGCCCACGTGGCATAAGGTTATACTTATACCATAGCGCAGCTTTACCTGGTTGTACGTTTGGGTATCACAACTGAAGATTATGTTCTGATTTATTTTGTCTTTCTTCTTATCTTTAAATTTCACACGCAAAGGAAAGTGTACGTTGCGCTAACGGGGTTGTACATTTAGCTCATCTATTGTCTCCTATCTAGATACGATGATTCAACATATTTAATTGATTATTGAATTTTATTTAATATTTAATTGATTTAATAATTTGGCGTGAACGTAATTATGGGCAAAAGTAAAACTTAAATCCTTATAGCAGTTTATTATTGTGGATTACACATTATTAGATAATATAATTTAATTTCAATTAAATCATTTCTTAAAAATTAAGGGACTTGCTATTTGCGGTTTGAAAATTGCTATTTGCAGTTTATAACAAAAAACACTTTATTTCTGTAAAACCTCAAATCTTCCCAAAAAAATCCAAACACCCCCCCCCCCCCCCCCAAAAGCGGAAAAACCCCACTAAGGGGCCCCTTTCTACAGGGGACCCCCCAATTGGGGGGGGAAACCCCTTTTGGCCCCCCAATTGGGGGGCCCGGGCCAATTTTTTTTTTTTTTAAATGGTCCAAAGCCCCAAAAGGGCCTCCCAAGGGAAAGGGGGTTCCGACACCCCCTGGGGGGTCCAAAATTTTTTTTCCAAAAAAAAAACCCCACAAAACCAATTTTAGGGGTTTTTAACATGAAAATGGGTCCCTAAACCACCCACCCCATGGCTATTACCCCCCAAAAAGTCCAAATTTCCTCCAAAAATTCAAACCCCACCCCTTTTCCAGCTTGAATTTGAAATTTTGAATTTTTTTTTTTTTTTTTTGCCAATTGCCGGTTGGGGGGGTTTTTTAATTTTTTTGAAAATTTTTGAAGGGTTTTTGAAAAAACCCCAAAAA